TTTAATTATCACACGCCGTCATTTAAAATGTACTAATTTCAAAGTAACGACGGAATTGAACCTTGACTAGGAATGTTAGCTTACGTCCGAAATATCGTGCATCTCTATATATCAAAAACCGTATAAAATAAAATCATATTTGTGCGATTATTATTACGAACATACTATTACCGAAAACAGCTTCTTACTAATAGACAGTTTTTCACTGATACCAGAGATGCAACAATTTACAACCACCTACCCCCTATTGCTTCCAACCCACAATTTTCAATCACCAAAACGGAAAGGATGCTTTGAAACGTTAAAGCATGATGTTTTAGTGATAAATTTATGTTTTTGCCTGTAGCTCCACCAGCACTGAATCAAATTTCAAAACTACTACTTACTTTTTCATCCCTAGCATAATAATCACACGGTGCATCCTACGATTGTATGTATTGCAATTGTGAGCACATTATTCACCAGATTTATGGCATTTAAATTTTCCGTTGTTACCGGAGCCGAAAGCTTCTTAACGTTAGAACTTTGCGAAATAAACATAAATAATACTAAGATCGATGTTGAAAAGCTAGGAGCAACAAACTAAAAAAATAATAATCGCTTAAAGCTTCGTTTTTCCACGTTTCAGAAGCTCCTAATCATTTCATAAAAATTTCCATAGAACAGTATCAGTGAAAGACGTTTTATTATTCAGAAATGTATGATGTTTCACGCACCTGTTAGACATAGTATCACAAATGTCTCCCATAATGTTTACACCTGTAGCAACAAATTTGTCCAGTATTGCAAGGAAGGTACAGAGTCAATCTATTTGATTCCATTTTCATACTTTTTGGAAATTATTATTTTAACAATAATTTTCAACCATCAGTTTAAAAGTGTTAATTAAATGGAATATTACAAAATTATACGTTGCATGCTTTTAAAACATGCTTGAGCTGTTTTTCATATTTTTAAATCAATCAATAACAAAATGGATGTCCGCTTTTGGGCACGTTCCTCTGCTATTACATTTAGGCTGTAATACGAAATTTTCCTGCCCAAATAATGGAATTGACGCCATTTAACTAATTAATTAATGTAAGATATCCCAATTTATTCACCTGCTATGCACAAAAATGACATGCCGTATCAAAGTAATTTGAAAAATATATGTGAGAATTTGTAATGCATTATACCAAAACAAATCGATGACGCTATTCAGTACCTTTTGTCACTCAAAGTTAATTTCAAATACGGCTATTCGCCTTTGCAGCATAAAAGCAATTCTATGTATCATTTAGATAACCCATTACAGCTAATAAGCTAACTAATAAGAACTGCGTGGAGTAACTGTCACTACAGAATAAGGCTGAGCGCATACATTCGTTTTCCGTATACGGTTTCCTAATCAGGAATTCCAATTCGGAATTCCGTGAGCCTAGCGCAAACTTTCAGTTTTTTTAAGTGAATATTATACTACCAGTACGTTCAGTGGCGGCTCTGTGAATGCTTGGTGATAGTTGCGATTGCACTTCTATTATCATTATCAAAAAAGAAGAAAAAGATACGTCGGTATTGGGTGCATTCGTTAAACACTCGGAGAATCTACGAGAGTCCATTTTATCTAGAAAGAGCAAAGTTACGAGCACATCCAGATAAATTCTTTGATTTCTACAGGATGTCAATACAATCTTTCGATGAACTTCATAATGGCATACGTGATAAATTAAGGAACCAGGATACCTGGATGAGATTATCTCTGGATACAAAATATAGATCTACAAACCGAGGCCGAAGCATAAGAGACGAGTTTGCTCAATACTTCAAGACGCCGGCAGGAGAAATGTCATAACTATATAACGAAGGAATTACCAATTTACAACAATGAAAGTACAGTGTAATAAAAGTGAAAGAAAAGTAATTTTACTTTTGTTTTTTGTTTCTGTATAATTCTGTATAACCTCTTTGAAAACTTGCTCCCACGCAAAATCTTTGACATCTATATCTACTATTGTGGTAGCCCTTGTCATGAATATCCCACAAGCAGGAGTGCTTTTCAACAGCCAATGTTAGTTCTTCTGCTTCACACATTGTCCTGATGCATTCGAGCTCTTGATGCAACGACTTGACGTCCAATACGTACGTCACTGCGAAGTTCAGGATGGGAATTTCCGACTGTGTGCGGCGGTACATTATAAATGTATGCCAGTGCTGCGTTTCGCGTGACGTCATTAAGTTTTATCCGTTCCGTTTCCGAAACGTACGTACGGAATGTGTTCCGTTCGGGAAAAAAACGAACGTGTGCGGCAGTCAATGTATTTTATCAGCGTTTGATGCATTCGGATCTCCGAATACGGAAAGCGAATTTGGAAATCTAACGCGGAAAACGAATGTAGGCGCCCAGCCTAAGTTCGGCCATACACGTACGGAATTCATATTCGGAATAGCCCATGACAATTAGACATTTTCTGGTAAAAATTCCAGACACAGGGTTGTTTAACGAAGGAAAGGTTAATTTTTCTGGGCTGTTCCGAATCGGAATTCCGTACGTGTGCGGTTGCGCTAAGATTTCCCATTAATATACTGTCACTAAGAAAATAGAACACCCAATAAAAATGGTTTTATTTGAACGAACTTTTATATACTGTTAGAGATAGGTAAGGAGAGATTATGAGTAAACTTTGAAGCGGAAACATTTGCTGTATTGCTAGATTACTAATAACGTATTGTGACCACCGTCCTGTCATCTGGACATATTTCTGAAAAGGAGATTTATATCTTCTTGAGATATCTCCCATCATATCCCACACATGTTCAATGGGCGAAAGCTCTGTACATCTAGAAGGCGAAAAAAGGAGGGTGACTTAAGCGTTATTCAGATTGTTCATAGTAGCTCTAGCAATATTATACGAGGGAAATAGGTATAAAAAATTCGGGGCGTCGTGGAGGGGTGACCCTCTCTATGCAACCCTCTCTATGCTCAGTCCGAGCTGGAGCGCTCTGCGAGTAAGTGGGACTTACGTGTTCTTGGTGAAAGTAACCCTTTTTTACCTGCCGTCGGCATGGAGCTCTGTCTGATCGAGGAACAGCGCACCAACAAGTTTCTTGCAAAGCTAGGCAAGAATGGTTTGACATTTTTGAGTGTTTTAACAAGTTTATGGAGACAATTTTCTGGCAGAACCAACCGTCAACAAGTGGTTGAAAAGGTTTCGGGGAGGCCGAGAAGATGTGAAAGATGACCAACGCTCAGGACGCCCCTCTACATCGAGTTCTAAGGGAAATGTTGAACGAATTCGGGGCTGTGTTCTTAAAGACCGTCGATTGATAGTTGGAAAGATAGCCGAGGAACTGTCAATCCCCAAAACAATCATCCACGAAATTCTGAGAAAAAATTGAAATAAAAACATTGTGAGCGAAAATCGTTCCGAAGGTCTTTACTCCAGAGCAGAAAGCAAGGAGGGTTGCTTGCTGTGAGGATTGTTTAGAAGCAGAGAAAAGGGGGGAACTTTCTCAACGGGATCATCACTGGAGACCAGTCTTCGTTCTACGAATTCGATATGGAGCTGATATCTCAAAGTATTGAGTGGAAGCAAGCAGGCAAGAACAAAAAAGTCGAAAAAGTCAAGGTCCAATGTGAAAACAATGTTGATTGTTTTCTTTGATTCTCGGGGCACTGTTCGCCAGGAATTTGTCCCTCCCGGCCAGGCAGGAAACGGAAATTCCTAAATTGAAGTTTTGGGCCGTCTCAGAGCTCGTGTGGCCCAAGTTCGACCGAATTTGGCACAAGCGGACAGGTGGATCCTTCATCACGACAACGCGCCTGCTCACACATCTCTCGTTGTGCGTGAGTTTTTGGCCCGAAGCTCAATCACCCAAAACATCGCCTTATTCACCCGATTTAGCCCCTTACGACTTCTTTCTGCTCCCAAAATGCGAAACGGTGATTCGGCAGTTGGGGGATGTGGAAGCCATCAAGGTAGAAACGACACGGCAAATGAAGAGCCTCACAATTGAAGTATTTCAGCAATCGTATCAACAGTGAAAACGGGGTTGGCAATCTTGTCTTAGGTGGAGTACTTTGAAGGAGACCATATTTAAATACCTGAAACAATTGTAAAATAAAGTTGTTATTCCACTTTTATACGTATTTGCCGGACAAACCTCGTATTGTTGGAAATGACAAAAAATAAGAACTCGGTATTTTCTGGATGTACCGTTACACCAGCATACCTCCTCTAATGAGAACTCGAGGCGATTTCGCAACATATGTAGTGGCGTTCCCCGCATGACGTTAAACAGAACCAAGACTCATTGCTACGACCATTTTCATCCCAATTTCTTCGGTTTGTGTAACCTCATATTTTGCAGTGTCTGAATGCTTGAAGATTGCTAGAGCTACAGTGAAGTACCTCAATAATGCTCAAGTCAGCCTTCTTCCTTGGCCTCCTAGATCTACAGAACATTGAAAATGTGTAGAACATAATGAAAAGAAGAATTACCTCTTCACATTAGTCTCCACAAACACTAGTACACCCTATTTCAAGAGTATCCATTACGCTTTGACGAGGTGAACAGCTGATCAGCAAGTGACATTTTTGTGATAGTCTGCGACGTTGGCAATAATGCATCGGGAGTAAATCTAGTAAAACTTGTTTAAAGCGTTTTGTTTTTGTATGCAAATGAATATAATAAAAGAGCTGTTAGCAAGTACAAAATGAATCTGTAGCGTTCAAGAAACCAAAACAATTCATGGCTCTGACTATCTGACGTTGACGGATCCGTCAGAATTATGTATCCTGTGCCGATATGGACAATTTTGAGATAATACTAATCAGCTGTCATTGTACCGTGATGGATACTCGTGAAATAAGGGTATAGTAGCTCTTGTACGTGTCCGTCCATCATGCATTCCTAAACATAACCAAGAGAATAAGCGGTCGTGTTCTCTCTCGCTATCTTTCTCTCCCTTTGTCTCTTTCTTTCTCTCTCTCTCTCTCTCTCGAAATGAAAGAACCTTATTAATAAGTGGATTTTATTAACGGAAACAATACTTTCATTATACAAATTTTTGTAAATTAGAAAAGTTAATGTTAAATGGATTTCACATCCCATTCCAAATAATCGGATCTAAAAATCATCAAAAATACAAAGGTGTACAAAACCGACTTATGATATATCAACATTTTTGGTCCGTTTAATAAATATCTAATTCACAAACTAAAGTAAAAAAAACACAAATTTACATGTAAGGATAAAATAGGTTAGGTTAGTGCAGCAGATATGGAGTAATGGAAAGTGGTGTTCTCGACATCAGAGGGAGAAAGTCAGATTGAAATTAAGCAACTTCTGTGGAATATATAAAAAAAATCATTTGAGAAATTTACATTTTACAGCAATACCATATATGAAATGAGGTATCATGACAGCATCCCTGAGAATTTGTCAAAGCTGTTTCTCCTTATCTGCAATAATTAGAAATCTAGTACTACTACTACTCATATATGTAGTTCTCTACAACGCCATCTGTGAGACACTACCATTTTCAAAGTGGATTTCGTATTATTGTGGAGAGGAGAAACACAGCTGTTATAATTTTTTGGACGCCGAAATACTGTATCAGGTAGAAGATGCTGACCAACGCTAACATAAGACTCAAGCATAATAAAGAATGTGAATGGTAACAGTGACCCGTTGCTGCTCACCTCACCCCGTAACTAATTCTCCTGTCTACTGTTTTAACAAATCACAGACTGCTGAGCGGCCAGCTCCAAGCCAGTGTTGCTATTTACACCTCTTGTGATTCTTGCGTTATGTAATATTCCACGTAACATACTGTACTGTCTAACAAAAAATATGGTTTCAAAAAGGACCAATGTGTCTCTTCGCATGGCTAAGAAAACAAAGGTTACCAGTTCCATTATAAGAAAATCATGCAAGTTAGCTTGTTAGAAATGACAGAAACTTGAGGCAACAACTTCCTCACCTCAGATGTCAACATACAACATACGTGTTGCAATAACCCTAATTATATAACACCGTTGATCAACGTATTCTACCTGAAGATATCCAACCTTATGCTAGATTCGCGCGTCCGAAAAATTATCCGAGATGAAACGAGATACTGTAGTGTCATTTATGACAATTTCTCACAGCTATGTTTCTCCTCTCCGCAATAATTATAAATCTGCTTTGAAAAGGTTAGTGTTTCATATATAGTTGGCTAACCTTTTCAAAGTAGATTTCTAATTAATGTGGAGAGGAAAAGCATAGCTGTAGGAAATTCTCATAGTACGGTCTCTACAGTATCTCATTTCATCTCTGATAATTTTTTGGACGCGCGAATCTAGTATTAGGTTGGTTATCTTCAGTTAGAATATGTTAAACAGTGATAACACTAACAGTGTTTTCTCAACATCATTTTCAGTTACCGCCCAATGTGTAGCCCCTGCCCCAACTATGGCCGCCCCTGAATATCCCGCCTGCACCTGGTGAGCCAGCAGCTGCAGTTCTTGGTGGAGCAGTTCCAAAACCTGAAATAATCGCAACTTATTCATTAAATTCATAGAATATTCAATATCTTATTCAAGTGTTATTATGCGGATGCTAAATGCATTGAAAATAGAGCGTATTTTTCGGTAAATGCGCGACATCATGGTCACCGCGATCAATTTCACTCCCACAATTGTTCCATCATACCAAATTTTAGGCAATGATAACAAAAAATCACTCACAAAAATGTAGGTTTCAATCGTTCAAAACTAAGTAGAGTATCTGACTGAATACTCAGTCACTCAAATTGGTTGCAACGCACATACTAGGGCGGCCATAAATACACAACATAGATTTAACCTTTTTCATTGCATTTAAACCTTAAAATACAGTTGTACAAACATGAAAATACAATTTATAAAATTCTTTTTTAGGGCAAAAAAAATGCTAAGTAGGTACTAAAAATGTTTCTCAGTATTTTTGTTTTAGATATTGATTCAGATCAATCTTATATTAAAGAAATAAAATAAAACAGTTCATAATAAGGGCAAACAAGATATATTGAAAAAAAATTAATCACTAATACTTATCATTATAATGGAAACAATTAACAAATCTGACACACATTTTGACAATATGCCTTTTTTTAACAGGTAACTTTCGTAAACGCGAAATCAAGCGATCCAAATGAAGTAGAAGCCTATTAATTAAATCGGTATTGGTTGCTTCTTCAGATAGCTACCCAATTGACAACAAAGCGTGATCTATAACATCACCACCATGAATTAGTATTTTGTGGCCAGAAGCAGTCATATAATACCATGGATACTCGGCATCTAATTGTCGAGCAGTATCTAAAGTAAAATTTTTAAATTTCGATTTATTAACGGTGCATCTCGAATTCAAACACTGAAGTATAATCCAATAACGATTTATGTTGACGGTTTCTCGTCAGCAAATTGCTCAATGCATCGCGGAATATCAATATTTTCAACAACATTTAGCCAATCTGAATACTTTCCGTTTACATAAATTTCTAATTCTAATCTCCCTAAATCAACATTTTCAATGTTATCTGAAAGATGCGATGTTGCAGTCAACGTGTTGAGAATAGATTGCAATTTGTCTTTGGTACTACCCTCCTTAGAGTGCTAAATATCAAAAATAGTCCTCCTCGAAACTGAATATTTAAAAAAATTACCTAAAACAACAACAAAGTTGGATTTGGAAAACACATCTTTTTCTGTACTATGAACATAACATAGTTCGGCACCTCACAAACCTAAGAAGGGGCAGCAAGATGCAGATGAAAGCTATATGGCGCTAAACTAGACATTCTCTACTTTAAGATAACATTTATCTCAGCTGCAGCAAGACGCAGCCAAAAGTTTATAACTCGAAATGAATTAATTTTGTGAGAAAAAAATCTAGCAAAAACAACTTTCATTATAAATTTATATATCACTCCAAAACGCATGTTTTTACATAAAACAGGTAAATAATAAGAGTACATACTATATTCTTGTACCTCCATATTATCACTATGTGAAAACACTAGGCTTGAAATTATAATCCACAAAAAAAGTAAGTTGCAATGACTTACCCGTCCCGGTAATTAGACTCCAGAAGGTGTCACTTGCGATGGACGAAAGTAAATGACAGTTTAAACTAGTTGCCTTGTTATTCATATTTTTTAAAAGCCTCGCGCCTACTCGATAACTTAGCTACTCATTTAGACCGTTATAAACTCATGAGTTTTTGGGATTTTTGGCCTATGGAGGAATCAATGTGCGGAGTGACGTGATCTTAAGCCGTTTGTTGTGACAGTAAATGTTGTCTTTTATACCACACTCAATGCTCAGTCAAGGTAGATGCATTGCCGCGATTATCGTTAGTATAAATCTATTTGCAGGAGCGCTATGCTCATAGACCATCAATAATACAACTCAAAAACCCACGCAATAGCATTCGTATACGATGTAAATGAAAGAAACTATACACATTCAGCCAGACCCAAAGCTATTCAGGGTCAAGTGGGGCCATTACCCTGGAGCCCCTTGCATCCAAAAATGCAAAACATGAAGAGAGAAGTCCACAACAGAGAAAAACTAATTTCCTCCAAAGTGAAGTGGTGCTATTATCTATTCTATCTTGTTCAAAAAATATATTATAGATATTGAAAAGCCTACCACTGGTTAGGAAGTTTTTGAAATGGAATGGATAAATGAGAGTGAGAGAGACACATCAAAATTCAGTTGACTATACAATGAAAAAAGAAGCAGGTTTCGTAAGATTCTGAATTAGTAGAATGAGCAGTAACTTACCATGTACACCGCCAAGTTGATCTGGGAACCACCTCTTGAGGAAAGCTGGTGTCCTCAGCAAAGTGGCGCCTCCAAATTCTTGTGGGTATTTGAACATCAAGAAGAAATACAAATGGCCAACAAGGATGCCAAAGAACTCCATGACACCTCCACCATTTAGTACCAAGTTAAATGCTAGTAGGACCCATGGTAGGTAGACTGCCTTAAAGCGAGTTCCAAACCAGAAGCTCACTATCACATCCTTGTTCAGCTGGCACCATACATACAGAACTGATAGTACCATTGGGTCCATCAGTAACTAGAAATAAATGTGTTTCTTATACAGGATTCATGTCGTAGATGTCCACCGAAGTTAAAAGAGTAGTAATAAGATATAATGTAAATCTTCATGCACTGTCTGGCCACCAAATGAAACCGCATAATTATGTTGAATTGTCTACAGGGAAAACCAAATTTGTCTGACAGCTTGAGTTCAATGGGTACAAGAGAGAAGCGAGAAGGGTGTATCACCACATGTTAGAAAGAGATAGAAGGCGGCTGAAGAGCGAAGGTCACAACCACATTGCCTAGTAATGGTCACGCAGAAGGTCGAGCAATCTGCTGCGTTGCCAATATATTACACCAGAAAATGTTCGCACAGGCTGGTACAATAGGTTAGGTTACTGTCAAACCCAAGAAGGTGGTCTGTTAAAACATTTAATTTAATATTTTGTTTTCATTTTGATTAGAATTATTTACATCAATTTTGATGCGACTTAGTGTTTTAATTTATTTTAGAATTATCTCTGATTTCCACGGATGGTGATAAAATCGACACATCCTGAGTTATTGTTACATTTTGCGACAGCGAGCGATCGAAAATGTAACAAATACCATTACGCAATACAAATTATCACTGCCTGTGTGTACGCAGGTGAAGGTTATTTCGCAGTCCCCTGCGAGCGCTAGATGGGTACTGACCAAAATCGCTCAACTATGTCCATGGATGTGGAAACCTTGCCGTGGAATGTACAAGATGTGGTGTTATCGAACGAACCAATCATGCCATGTTGCAGAATTTGTGACAAACCTAACCTAAAATAAAGCGCCGCACAGTGGGGCATAATACCTCAAAAGTTGGTATTAATTCAAAAAATCAAGTGCTGTAATCACGTTCGCTCTGTTGACGCAACGAAAGTCATCTTGAAAAAGGCATCTTCCATAGTGCACGAGTACTATTCGTTAAGTCATTAGTTTCTGTCTATATTAAATATATTGTGGATGTGGTGAATTATTTTCAGATTTCAAATGTTTCAGATGAAGATGTCAGCTGCAGGTATGAAGTGTATTTTCATAATCATCACTTATTTAAATTGAGTATTCACAATGAATTATAACGCTTAGAAGTCATCAATGTAATCTTACAGAATATTGCTTTTCTCAGAAACATGCAGAGGTTTACTTATATATCGAGACATATTGAATACTTTTGTTTGTATGACTAAATGATACTGTTATTGGGCAATTACAGGACGTAAAAATCATCTGCGATTTTTTGCGATTTCGGAGAGAAATAGGATTATTGATATAGATAATAATATTTACTTTACTTATATTAACTTTAGTAACTTATAATTTCTCTTCGTTCTAGGACCTAGTCGTAACAAATACTTAAAAACATCTCAGAGGAGGCTTTGGTTCCAATAGTTGCTGAGTACCAAAGAAAAAATTTATTATATTTTTTTGTTACACCCTGTATATTTTAAGGGAATGTGTTTCTCAGCCACTCGTTACTGTTTAGTCTACGAGTGGTTTGTTATATCAAGGAAATATAAAGGTCACTTGAAACTCTTTTTGGGTGTGATTTAGAAAAAAGGTAGATAAGATATTTTGTGAGGACCATCGAGAATAAACTTAAAATAGTATTATAACTCAATATTCTATGTCTTGAAATCTTGCGTGAGCTCTCATTTGCTTTAAAAGGTTACTATAACACTTTTAGTATACGATTCATGGCCATTGGGAATGAATACCAACGTTTAAAGTATGCTGCCCCACTGTGCGCCGTTAGGAGAATCAATCCTATACCTTATTTCACGAGTATCCACCACGCTTTGATGTCTACTGAGGTGAACAGCTGATCAGCAAGTGTAATTTTTTGTTAGTCTGCAACGTTGGCAATAATGGATCGGGTATAAATCTAGTAAAACTTGTTTGTGGCATTTTTTTGCATATAAACTTATCTGAATTAGAGCTGTTAGCAAGTACATAATGAATCTGTAGCGTACAAAAGACCAAAACAAAAGTCGGCTCTGTCTACCTGGCGTTGACGTATCCATCAGAATCATGTGTCCTGTGCCGATATGGGGAATTTTGAGATATTACTATATCTAGTCATTTTGCCATGATGGATACTCGTGAATTAGGATATAAACAGATTCGACACCATTAAAAATAAAATTATTATTTGGGCGTAAAGAATAAACTAACGCATATTGACGCATATTTTCAATATGCGTCTTAATTCAAGAAACTGGTGAAACATATCGGCAACGAGACAGATTGCCGCGTCAGCGATGCTAGGCAACGCGAAGATGAGCTTCACTATTCAGCCAGCTTCAATCTCTTTCTAACATATCGAAAGAGGTGGGCAAAAAGCTAAGAAACATTCAAATCAACATATGTGGTTTCATTTGGCAGTCAAAAAAAATATGGAGATTTACCAACATAAAAACCACAGAATAAGTTTCAGATGTTACAAAACATAATATGTATGTAAGTATGTATATCTTTTATAGAATAAGGTTACCATAATACAAATAGTAATATACTAACATTTCAGCAAAATGAGCAAGTGCTTTTATAAATTTGAAGATTGGACTTACAGGGATATCAGCCGCTATTCCTAGAACGATACAGCAGCTCCAGTTGAACAGCAACATGAATAAGTAATCAGCAGGTTTTCCAGCATATGCTCCTTTAACAAATTAAAGATACGATAAAATCTTCCAGAGATTCATATTCATATAAATTCCAAATATAATGCTATGGTAAATAAAAATTCAACTCTCACCATTGGGATCTCAGAAATGGTAAGAGAGTTCATTTAATGGGGGCAAGGTTGTACATTTAGGTGACTAAGAAAGTAGCATTTACTACAATTTTACCACAAGATGACCTAAATAGCTGTTTATATCCTTCGACCTATTAGTAATAAATGCCTCATTAACCTAATATTGATTTCTAAATTACTTTGACTTTATTCCCCACTTTGGGAAAAAGGTAAATGCTTGGAAGTAAATAGTACCTTTTTGGAATTGCTTATGTAATCATTTTAATCTATTTTGTGGTCAAATTATCAAAATTATAACTCAAAATGTTTGTTGGGCCAAATTTGAAACTCCTGATATAATAATTTAAAAAATTTAAAAATGTGATTTTTAAAAATATCTCACTTCCAGTATCGATAAAAAAATAATTTTCTTAAAACTAAAATATTATAATCATGTTTTATAAATCAATATAAACAATATAAGATTTGCAAAATATAGTGCATTTACAGACCACATGTTATAATACTTAATAGGACTGTTATCTGATTTTTATATTGAACTTATGTCATAAGAATTTGGAAGCATAGCCAGGTAGGAGGAAACAGGCAACTGTTCCTAGTTTATTTGATATCACTCAAATAATTTTTGGTTTTGGATCTCTGGCCCCCTTAAAAGGCTTGCTTCAAGATAAAATGTGCAATCCACAGAATCCTGGATACATGATGGTGAACATCTTTAAAATCAATTTTACTTATTTTGTTTCAGCAACCGGTGAAAAAAATTTATTCAAAGCCATCTCTGGAATAAATAGCTATTTGCCATTGAGAAAAACTGAAGAGTGGGTAGTACTAGAACTTTTTTCAAAATTTCGTTTAGTTTTTGGGGATTTGGAAGCCCCTGATTAAGCAGAAGTCCTGGACATTTGATGCTAGGGTAAAGACAGAATAGTTTGTTTTATGTTGACAAATACATATTTCTTCATCCTTACCTTCCTCAAGTCGTCGAGAATAATTGTAGAGAAAATATAAATTTATGAGATAGTGAAAGCCAGTCATAGGTGAAATAGGGTAGTATAGCAGGGATGTGATAGGTCTCCATATCTGGAAGGCTTTCAGGGCTTCGTAGTCAAGTATCAGATTCCTGGGATTGACGAATCCAAATCTCCCACAGAGAGGCAGAACCACTGATCCGGCGAACCAGTATCTGGTGAAAAAGGGAACACTCCTGAACCATTCACCTAAATCTGACATGACTTTTAAATTTTCGATTTGAGATCAAGCACTAGCACATAACCTCAATACAAATGATGATAAAACTATGAATTTTGATTGAATGAACGGTGATTTGCGCGGGAGCTTATTAGAACATTATGAGGAAAATAATTGTTTGAAGATAATTATTTCGAGAAAGATTTTTTAAACTGACGTCAGCTCTTCGATGTTTTAATGATGATCGCAAATTTGACTTTCACTCACAAAACATCATAATCAAATCCAAGCGAATAACCAAAATTTCTGTGTTAGGTGCCGCGGTTATAATATGGTTCAAGATGACACATGGGTTGATGACGTCAGTTACACGAATCGCTTGAACGCGTTGTTTTTAACCGCGGTTTTGTTGCAAGTTGTTTATTTTAGAAAAGCGCGTATATAATCTCTGATTATTTTTATTATCACTTAATAATCGGTGCTTTTTCGACTACAACTGTATATGGAAAGTTTAAATAAAAAACCTTTCATAATATTCATGGGAGAAATGTTTTTTCAGATTTTTTTTTAATGATGGTACCATGGCTTTGTAGCTATGATAACTTTCAATTCTCTAAATTTTTCCGCATGTCAAAGAAAACATTTATTGATTCAGCAGAAATGATAAAAAAAGAAATTAGCAAAACCGTATACAGGTGGATATCATCTAGTGAGTTTATATGGCCATATTTTAATATTCTTGTGGTATATGGCTACACAGGATACTTTGTTAAGCATAGGAACTACATTTAAAGTGTCCCCAACAACCGTAATGAGTATAACTAATAAGGTGCTCCACTTTATGGTAAAACTGAAGTCAGCCTGTATCATTTTTCTCAAAAATGAAGCTGAAGTACAATAACAATATCCAATACCCGGCAAAATTCTAACTTGTCACATTTCAAATAATAACCAGAAATATAAAACTACTCTTGAGTTGGGTAAATACCACAATTTTGCGGTGATAACTATGACATATAACAGCTGATTCGTGACGTCACGGATCTTATAACCAAACTGATAACTACACTCGCTTGAACGGATTGGTAAATACCAACCCAAAATGGTAAATACCATTTCCATTTGGTTATCCGCTTGAATTTGATTCATATATCATATACATTATACACTGGTTGACTGGACTGCTTCTTGTTTTGACTTCACATAGAACAAAAAGCGCAAGAACTGCTCGGATCACAGTGATTTATCAATTATCGATTTTTCACTGTGATTGTGATATCTTTTCGGCCTGATTATAGAGTTTTTAGTACAGCAAAAATAACGAACAGTTAAGTCGTCCGTCACGTTATTTTTAACTGCTAAAGTGAACTAATTTGACGGTGTATATGTTTTGTGCTCGACAGTACTGACTACTGACAGGATTTTTTTATTTGACTTTAAGCATGAAGCTGTAAAGCAGATAACAGAGGAAGGAAGGCACAGAACGAAGGAGCAAAACAAGAGCACTAAAAACATCCTAATCCGTGATCCTAATCCAGTGGCGTATGCTCCGTTGTTCGATTTTCGTCCGCCGGCGCGCATGACGTCACGCGGAGAGTGATTATCATTTGGGTTGACATGAATAACGTGCATATTTTCACCTACAGGTCAAACGGTTGGACGGATTTTCACATATGAGGTGTCGTTGGATTCGTCTTAGCGGTGCGAGTGACACTAGCTACATTGAAATTTTATAAAAAACAAAATTGGGGATTTTAATAAAAGATTTCAACCTTGTAATTGCTACTTCATAGGCTACATATCAAACGGCTTGATAGATTTTCACATATGAGATGTCGTTGGATTCGTCTTAGTGGTGCGAGTCACACAATCTACATTAAAATTTTATACAAAACAAAACGGCGGATTTAAATAAAAGATTTTAACCTTGTAATTCCTATCTCACAGGCTTTAGCTTAAACCACTTTCTAGCTCCACAATAGAGCGCGTGTATCGTCATTTTACTGTTTAAAAACAAGATTTTTCTACATTACCTATATTTTAGTATGTTCTGTGGAGCAGGATTAACATGTTCATATCATAATACTGTACTACATTTATCCTTCACAGAACATCCTAAGTACATGTAAGTGTGAAAATGTACGCAACTCGAAAAGTAGAAAAATGGAACTATCTTCTTTTTGCAGTAAGGTTGTGGTATAACAATACATGGAAATGACTTAATCTAAGCAACAATTTTTTTCCATTTCCTTTTACGATTATTCTGGTCTTTCAAACTTTTATTCAGTTCTTTGATCCGGAAGAACATCTTTTGCCTGAAAAACAGTTTCACCTATAAAATTTTGCTTTTTTGTCACTGTTCCATCCCCATTTCGTTGTCCGCATTGAATATAGTGAATACCTTGTTCAGCTTCTCAATTTGATTCATGAAAGTTGTGGAGGGTTTTGATAATCCACCCTCACTAAGATGGTCTATCCATGAATAAGTTTCATTTGAGGAACTTTTCAACCTCTTATCCTGCAGTTTATTGCAAACAAAGCCGGCCAAATTTTCCAGCCCGTCATACCCGAGCTCATCTATTTCTTCCACCAAAACTTGCTCGGTATAGTCAGCTTCAGGTGCATTCAGTTTATTCTCGTTAATGATGCGGTTAGTGGAATGTCTGGAGTATCCTCTGACTTTACGCTGCAATTGGTACTCTGAGTATGCGCCTTCGTTTCGCCTCAACATATATGACCTTATTCCATACTTAAACTCTAGAGCACTTGTATGGTCATGAAGACCATCTTTTGCCCTAATTACTCCGAAAAAGGACATCTTGATTAAGACGTCTTGTTAACAGGTATTGGACGTTGAAGCGTCGTTTAACATCCTCTAGAGCATTTTCTAGCAAACCCTAGCGCTTTTTACATTGACTTTGTCTTATCTTTTTGTGAGATGTAGCCATTTTTTTTGCTAAAGTTTGGGTCTTGAGGAAAACTGTAGAACTTCATGTCTTTGCAAAGATTCCGTTTAGATTGATTGTCGGTATTACATCCCACAACAGCACACCGCAATTTTATCAATTTATCAACCACACAGGGTATATAAGGTATGTATAACTAATACAAGACACAAAACCACCGAAAAACACCAACAAATCGCATTATATAGTATTAATTAATGCTGCCGCTGGTAACCACGAGACGATAACTCACGGAGCTCCGCCCACATGCGCAATATCCTATCTTCAGTGTATGTGTATCGTGATCTTAATCTGTTAAACGGCGTCAGTAATCAAATCCAAGCGAATAACCAAAATTTCTGTGTTATGTGCCGCGGTTATAATATGGTTCAAGATGACACACGGGTTGATGACGTCACGAATCGCTTGAACGCGTTGGTTTTAGCCGCAGTTTTGTTGTAAGTTGTTTATTTTAGAAAAGCGCGTATATAATCTCTGATTATTTTTATTATCACTTACTAATCAGTGGTGTTTTCGTCTACAACTGTATATGGAAAGTTTAAATAAGAAACCTTTCATAATATTCATGGGAAAAATGTTTTTTTCAGATTTTTTTTAATGATGGAACCATGGCTTTGTAGCTATGATAACTTTCAATTCTCTAAATTTTTCCGCATGTCAAAGAAAACATTTATTGATTCAGCAGAAATGATGAAAAAAGAAATTAGCAAAACCATATACAGGTGGATATCATCTAGTGAGTTTATATGGCCATATTTTAATATTCTTATGGTATATGGCTACACAGGATACTTTGTTAAGCATAGGAACTACAAGTGTCCCCAACAACCGTAATGAGTATAACTAATAAGGTGCTCCACTTTATGGTAAAACTGAAGTCAGCCTGTATCAATTTTCTCAAAAATGAAGCTGAAGTACAATAACAATATCCAATACCCGGCAAAATTCTAACTTGTCTCATTTCAAATAATAACCAGAAATATAAAACTACTCTTGAGTTGGGTAAATACCACAATTTTGCGGTGATAACTATGACATATAACAGCTGAATCGTGACGTCACGGATCTTATAACCAAACTGATAACTACACTCGCTTGAACGGATCGGTAAATACCAACCCAAAATGGTAAATACCATTTCCATTTGGTTATCCGCTTGAATTTGATTAGTGTTATAGTAGGTCTACCTCTACCGATTTTAACGTAGATCTGTCGATCTGTTATTCTACAGAACTATCGTTTTTAATGAGAAATCTGCCGTAGAATTTCTCTACTTTTTAAACAGTATATTTCTGATATAATTCAACGAAGCACAATAATAGAGCCATTTTTTTGCTATTTGGTTTGCCGATAAATTACACACAAATCTACCGAATACAGATCAACTCTTCTGTTGCTGAATGGCAATGGGCTTTGCTTCCCAAAGACAGACTCGCCTAACTTTGGCCTCCTATCCTATATATAACTATTATAACCTTGTCGAGCTTCGTACATCCAAAACTGGTCGATACGACCGCACCTTTGTTCCTAAGGTATTGAGATTGTGGATTAATCTGCTCGAAGAGGCTTTTTCGGGTTAACAGTTTCTTTAAGCTCCTCATAGCAGCCGCGGTGCCCTAGTATTTAGGCTTCTGCCTACGCGGCTGCTTCAGTATAAAAAAACTATACTGAACCACACTGTTACCTATACCTGGTAACACTGAATGGTTCTGTTACTCTTTGGTGTGCTCCACCCATGTGTGGTTGCAGTTGCCATTATAATGGAGTGGCATAATTAATTGTATAAAAACTTCTCATTCTGAGTTTCAACACCTCTTTCTTCCCATTTGTTTAGTCTGACATGTTTTTTCAGACTAGATAATCACATTTGAGCATTAGGGCACTTGAATCAAAGAATCTTTATAATACACAACAATTTAATGTTAGTCTTAACACATTACTGATCTAAAATATACATTAAAAAAGAACTTCTTTTCAATTCATATCTATTTGATATTTGCCAACTTTTCTAATTCAGCTATCTCCTTTTCTGCAGCAGCCTTCTTCTCAGCAGCAAGTTTTGCATCACGCTCAGCCTTCAATTTACCTTCTATTTCCCTAAAAGCATTTTCTTTCTTTGTGAACCTACTCTGGTGGTAAGCCCCCCACATGATGCCTACTCCCAGGAAACTCCATCTGCAAAACTGAGAAACACAAACTTAGTTCTTTTCCTCGAAGTAGTATGGTAGTCAGCAGCAATGCTAGTTATACATGAACTTTTGTTATTTTGGTCTCTTATTTTGAAAATGGCCACCATGCTGTAAAGTGTAATTTTTACAATACATGGTTTAATTTGGCTAAAAATACAGAGGAAAAAACAAATTAATTCTATCAGCTGAAATCTGTCTTTGGACAGACACCACATTTTTGAACATGTGGATTCATTTGTTAGACAGGGCAGGGCATATAAATACATTAAAGATGTAACAACAGGGTGAGCTTCAGAAATTACACTGCTCTACATTACAGGTACAGCTTTATTTGAAATAAGAGCCCATTGGTAAATTCTGTGATTATAAAAATAGCAATTAAATACAACTGGTAGAATGGCATTGATTTTAATGAATCATCATTGACGATAGAAATGTGGACATGATATAGTCACTACATCCTGCTTTAATTGATAAAAATGATAAACTATTTCGTCTTTATATGGGTTATCATAGGTTATAATCGATTATGTAACTAAATTTTATTATTCTTTTTGAACAGCGTTAGATGACTTACTTTAATGAGGGGCGAAACACGAACAGGAGCAGGTAGATCTGCCATGGTTGTGTAATTTTATACGGAAAATTTAGAATTTACAAATTTTATTCCCTTGCACCCACAAATATTGATTTGGTGAAAGAGATGGGCAAAGTTAATGACTTGTAATGAAAGGTTGTGTGGATGTGGATGAAAATTGACAATAAACTTGTGATTGACTTAAAGCGTCCCATCTCTAGCAGTGGTTAAATGACGTTAGCACTGACAGAAATATACATATGTTTTTGACTTTTTGTAAAGTGACGTGAAAATGTCTCGTACGCAAAATAATAGATGTTATTTTCAATGAAACGATATAATATTGCAATGAAAGCATGCATGTCTAGCTCCAAACATCTTACCAAATCCTTTTGAAACAAATCGTATGAAATTAGTCAATCACTATTTCATTTTATCCATTGTGATGTGACCTTTAGGCATGGAAGTATTCAAGGCTCCCAGTTGTATTGAAAGACGGAAAAACGACGATATGTAAGATAATTGCTCATTTACATTAGGTATGACCGATGGCTATGTCTGAGCTGATATAAAATCCATTAAATATATCAAAACAAATATCCCCAAATAACATTCTGCTTAAAATTTTCTGATGAACTGCTGAACAGAGATGGCAACGATAATGTACCCCACTCTAACAAAATCTCAAAGTATGCGCTCCAAACGGAAGTCCGCCGTCGAACTCTTGGCTGAGAGCAAATCATTTTATGTCAAGTCTGAGGTTGTGAGGGAGACCACCCAGGTTCTACCAATGCGCCCAACATCAACTTATGCATCGTATAGGACATACCATCGTAGTAAATCGGTGAACGTCGCCACGCACAATCCTAACTGCAAGCCTCCCAGTAATGCTACAGTGTTACCACAATGTAAGTACTCCAAGTATAAAATGCATTGAATATGAAATACTGTTGAACCAGACAGATTTTTTGCACTATATTTCACATTCTTGATGACTCAAACTAGGAAACATCATAATCATTGTTCTTGACAGAATAAATGCTAATACCTATAGGTATATTGAAAATTACCAATTATCGTTTCTTTATTGTCCAAAGAGGTAGAGCTAATTAATGAGAGTTATGATATTGAATAACATATTCTTGAAGAAGATGCCAAACTCTATGCTGTATTTGGATGTTCAAATACAATTTCCATCATCTCATAATGAAATCAACTCCATTTACCTTTAGCGAAAATTATTTTTCATCAACCGTCTAAGGATAGATCACCCCTCACCAGCCTCATATTTATTCCTGCAATTTGGCATTTCCAGAATGCCTTAATGATAGAAAAGGAAATCCCATAACATGCAGCAACAGTCCAAGAGGAAGATGGTGATTAACACGTATATATTAGGCAACCAAATAAGTTTATGCGGTTTTTAGTAGAAAAATATAAATTTTCATTGAGAAACGATGACACTATTTATTCGTCAAAGTAATTACCATCACGTTCATTGACCTTTTGCCATTGTGGAACCAATTTTTGTATGCCAGTAATGTAGAACTTGGAGTAAAAAAATTGGCTGATTGCATTTATTACACCATCTTGGGTTGTGAACTGTCGGTGCCCCATACAGTTGTCAAGAGACAAAAAAGGTGATAATCACTGGGCAAAATGTCGAGAGAATATGGCGGGTTGGGTAACGTTTCCCAGCCAAGTTCAGAAATTTTTTATTGTGTTAGTTTTGTGGTATGAGGCTTGGCTTTATCCTGCAAGAATATCACTTTCTTCCAATTGATCAAAGAAGGCTATTTCTGGATGAGTGCTGCTTGAACTCGAAGCTGCTCACAATACAAGTTAGCAGTGATGGTTGGACCCCTTTCCCAAAACTCATAATGGACAATTACAGTTGCTGTCCACCAAACACACAACAAAATCTTGTTTGGGTGCAAGGAAGCCTTGGGTGTGTGTGGTACCGAATTAGTAGGCGACAACTAATGATACGAACCGATTAAGAAATGGTTCATTAGCGTTGCCTGAAACCTTTGATGAACAAGTGGTAAGATGACTTAATTTGATATCATTTGTCAGTTCATGTTAGACCCATTTTCTTAACTTCCACGTCTTTCCTAGCTGATGAATGTGCATACAAATAGTTTCAGGACTCACTCTGAACATTTCTGCATGTTCTTGGCACATTGTCCTGGAATTTGCGTACACAACCTGTCGAAGATCCTATCCATCAACAACATCCATGGCAATGTGCGATATACAGCAACCGCACGAACTTATTTGGTTACCTCATAATTGTAAGCTGATGTGGTGGATAGATAAGCCCTATTTTGACATTCACAGCTTACTATTAAATTGAGTATCTTCTGGTAAAATATGTTTATTAAGAAGTATAATCGTATGTATAAGTATATTTTTGCATCTTGCATCCTTATTCTTACCTTAACAGATATGGCCGTCTCTCCATCGCGATCTTTGCCGCCAATCACGCATCGTCGCTCAGTACATTCAACAATTCAAGTGGAGAACAGTGATCGCCTACAAACGAGGCTCAGACAGTTGCTTGTTTGTGGTGACAGTGCTGAAGAACTTAGTGTAGATGAGGTAAATATACCTAATCACATTCACTTATCATACAACAAAAAAACCATCAAGTTGCACGCCAGTGGCGAAGTGTCCATTTAACCATTGTTACCATTGGTAACAGTTAAAAATCTTAAAAATAAATATTTTATGACTAAGTACTGTGAAATAATTTCATTTATTTGTTTACTAACAGCGATATGTAATAGTAATTCAGTAAATAACAAATTAGCCCCACGAAAATAATGCGGCCTATAGTGTCTAGGTTTTGCGAACACGATGAAGCTGACTCGCTTCGACTTGGTTGTTGTGGGATGTTACCATTTTCATTTATGGATACACCTGGTAGTCCGTCGGGGACCGTCGGAACCGGCTCGGTCTGATCGCGGTCGCCCGAGTGCGTGGGGCGCTGCGACTACGAGCCCCTTCCCACTTCAGTGGACCCAACTATTGAAATCTTAGTTTTTTCTTATCAAACACAAATAATAAACATGTAGCAGGGTGTTATAGGTTTAAAATATTAACAATGAATATTTTGATAATATATAGTAGAAAACACCAACTCTTTCACTCCCTAATCAAATTTGCAGCATAAAAATAACACATGTTGCAATTACAGCATATCAACCTATTTTCATTTCAGTGTAAAATAAGTCTATAACGCATAGGTGGCTGTGAAAAATAAAAGCCATGACAATTGTTTTTATTAATCACAGCTGTCAGAATACGTTTAAAATAGTTTTGGGTAGTTAAGGTTTTCAAAATGGGTAGAGGAAAGGTTATTAGTGAGAAAATTAGGTTACCGATAATTAAATTTTTTAATTCTGGGAAATCAAACTCAGAAATTGCAACTTTGTTAGACTTATCGCGGTACAGTGTGAGAAATATTGTTAAATCACCGAACTGAGACAAAAGCTTCAAGAAATATGAGATTGTTTTACACCAATTTTTTGCCAAAACTTGGTTAACACTATGCCCCAAAGAATTTCAGCCGTAATAAAAAATAAAGGTGATGTTACCCAATGGTAATCATTCAATTGTTGCTTTAACTTCGCACATTGTTTATTGGTTCAGATGTTCTATTAGTTATAGGTCTAAGTGATTTCAAATATGTATTTTTTACGATTAGAGTGTATCTAAAATGTTTTTGAGAAAATAAATTTTTTTAGAAGTAAATGGTTTCTTCTTGTTTAGTTTATAAAGGCCTATTTTGGTACAAATCTTGAAGTGGGCCAACTGAAGTGGGAAGGGGCTCGTATTATGTGGGCTTGTTACCATTTCTTGATTTGGTTACTCACTTCTCACTCGTTAGTAGCCGTTTTGGTTACCGGCTGTAGTGTACGTGCAATTAAATACGGATGAGTGTCACTGCGTAATCGATCAACTACTTGAAAAGTCATTCTCCTTGAATGATTTTTAAGAAAAGAAGGAGATTATTGAAAATGGAAGACCAACACCTATGTTAGATAATTTTAAAAAGAAATAAAAAACGTAGTTTGATATTTTAAATTAAGTTGGTATATGGAAACTCTTGGTTATGTGGTTGCCAAAAAACAGTTTGTATTGTTGGCGATGTCTTCTTTTTATACAGAAAAAAATAGGTGGACCAGCAGCGGAGTCAACGATTTAAATAGTTTTAGAGCTCCAAAGAGGAGACATGAAATTTCTCCGATACATGTGAGATGTGTAGCCAATTTAATTCAGTTTGGCAAAACAAGAATCGAAAGATGTCTTAACCAAGTTTTTAGGCAGCATACTTCTAGATACCGTATATTTTTTGGCAAACCAGGAATTACCGTTCATTTTGAAGTGGATGACTCTGACAATAGAGGAAATTACAGGGAATTGTTAACATTCATTGCCAAAAAAGATCAAACATTTTCCGAACATATAGAAACGTCGACTGTTTTTTCGGACGGCTTGGATCAGTCATAGCATAAGACGCTGAGGTATATCAAGTGCCCCAGACGCTCAGTCCAGGAATGTTTACCTTAATTTAAAAATAGTTTAAATAAACTATCTAAAATAAGCAAAAACTTATATTTGGGAGGTTCAAAATAAACAGTTTTTAATAAGATTTTTCACATCTGGTTTTGGTAACAGTTTAGGAAAAGTCACGCGTCGCCACTGTTGCACGCCCACCGAGGCGGAGCAGTGTATCATTTGCTTCTCTTCATGTTACTCTGTTGCGTGGGCTCTTATTTGTTTATGTATGCTGGCCTACAGTGGATTCGCTTCTCTTCTCTCTGCTTCGCGTCTTCTCACTTGGCGTGTACTTTTACACTCTTCAACTGACAAGATGATCTATTAAGGTACACGTTCACGACGCACGGATGATACGCATTAGGCAATCAGCAATCCGAACAAGGTTTCTAAAAGGGCAACTATTAAAATGAGTGTCAATAAAACATAGATTGTCGATTAGTGTTCGCGTCACTGTAAGTAATTTGTACACATCTTCGACGAAGATCAGAATGCTATTGAAAATTCGGTTGCAAATTGTGTGAATAGTCTGGTACATGCGATAGGGACCTGCGGATGCGTACCGTAGCTAGTATAAACTGTAAAACTGCAGTGCAACCCGCTTATAATGGACTCGGCGGGACTGTGACAAATAGTATATTATAGGCGGATAACCTTCTTAAAAGAAACACTTTTCTAATGAAAAAATCAGCAGAAATAACATATTAAAAGCTTAAAATATGTTTTGTTTAACATGTATTACATAAATAAAGATACATACAAAAAAGTTATACATAATTTTGAAATTTGCATTTTTTCAGAATCTGATACACATATTACAGGCATACGTACTGTGTAGGTTTGTGTAAAAACCGTAAATTATTTGGTAAAAAAGCTAGTAATTTCCATTTGAACAGATTGTTTTTTGTATAATTATTTAGAACAGCAAGTTGAATATTATTTAATTTGGTAAGTGTGGCTGTACTGTCTTCTTGCTGAAAATAACGTTGCAACTTTTTTCACGCAGTCTAATGCCTCGTTAGTTGTCACTGGAAGCTCTTCTTCATCGTTGTTTTTTAGTTCGTCTTCCTGTTCGTTATCAACGGATCGTTCATTAACCAAATTGGAGTCTGAGAATTCCTGTGTTGCTATTAAATTATTGTCAACATTTACATTCTCATTAAATTTGACTATATTCAGTAAACTATTAATTTTCAGTAAATCACTTAATGGAATTTCATCTTCTGGATTAAAATCGTTGGCTATTTCAGTTAGGTTTTTCACTAAACCAGCATGGAGCATGGCAAAAACAACTACGAATCGTTTCTGCAGTAACCAATTCCCATGCAATAGTAAGCAAATTTATAGCATCTAAAATCGTGACAGCTTTGGTAATGTTGACATCTTCTTGAAGCTCCATAATTTTCATCAACATATGTTTCCGATACAGTTGTTCAAGACTGCAAATGACACCCTGGTTCATTGGTTGCAGAACTGATGTCACATTGGGTGGAAAAAATTGAATGTTGATGTTATTAAGTGAAATATTTGGATGATCGCGATAGTTATCGACCAAGAGCAAAATTTTACGATTTTTCAGCGTCCCACTTTTTTAAATATTCTTCAAAAATTGATGAAGTCATCCAAGCTTTATTATTTCCAACATAATCGACCGGAATTGTTTTAACATTTTTGAAACACCTGGGATTCTTAAATTTCCCTGAAATAAAAAAGGTCATAAATTATTTGCAGCACTGCCATTGAATATCAAAAAAATAGAACATGAATGTCTATTCATTCACTTACCTATTATCAATACTTTCCGTTTTTCAGTACCAGAAGCATTAGCACAAATCATAACAGTTATTCGCTCTTTTGATAGTTTCCCTCGATTGCAAGTTTCACCTTTTAATTTATGAGTTTTATCTGGTAGCATTCTATAAAATATCCCGGTTTCATCTGCATTGAATATGTTATCATCTGAATAATCACTGGATATTACGGGCCACACTTGAGAAATCCAGTCATTGGTAACGTTCTTGTCAACTGAAGCTGACTCAACATACATTTTTCCAAAAACAATGTTATGTCTTCTCTTAAACCTGTCTATCCAACCGGAACTATATTTGAAGTAATCTGCAATCAATTCCCCAAATTCTTCAGCCTTTATTTATAGTATAGGTTCACTTATTGGAAAATTATGAGCACGCTTTTGTTGAAACTCTTTTAACAGCATATCATCGTCTTGGGGATGCAGCGATGGACGCTTTTTTTTGACTATTTGATTTCCAGTCACTTTTTATTTTGTTACGGTTTTTCTAAATATTTAACACAGTGGATTTTTTTATAGCCACACGAGCACATATATTTGCTTGAGATGAACCCTGCTCAAGCTCACTGATTGTGAACTTTTCGTGTAAAGTGAACGCACGTTTCGCCATGTTTATAACTCTAATAAATACAGTATAACACTGGTGGCCAAGTTCGAATACAAACAGCGAAGCTAAACCGCCGTAAATGATTGCATCAGCTAAATCTGCTTCGGCGAACTACCAAAATAGCTCTTATATAATGGATTAAAATAGTCCGCTATAAGTGAGGGTCTATTTTAAGCGAGTCTATAATATCCGATGATTTTACATGCAATTATTTATAGGACCTTAAATTGTGTCCATTATATACGGGTTTCCATTATGAGCAAGTTCATTATAAGTGGATTCCACTGTATATAAATTTTTAAATCTTAATTTAGTATTATATAATGATATGGTATGATGATTATAGGTGGCACCATTGAGTCCTCCAGCTGAATATGCTCAACAGAGATGTCACAAGAGCCTGCCAGACCTTCACTGTCGCGATGCGAGTAGTAGCAACAAGAGCAGTAATAAGAGTTTGTCTAACAGGGACAGTGGCGGATCCAGTGGACATTATACTCAGAGGAGCGAACCGCCACCACCCACTAGACAAGTATGAACATGTTGTTACCCTTAGAATATATAAAATATAGGGTGTTTCATCAATTTCTTAACATTTAAAAATATTATATAAACAAGACTGACATACACGAAAAAAGACTTACTCACATTTTGGAATTTTCGGTTTCTTCAACAAAAAGGACATCTCTTCACAAATAATTTCTGATTTAAATCTGAGCAAACACTGTTAACATGGTGGTGTAATCAGCATTTATGGAATATGGAAACATTTTTTTAACATTTTGATGACTTGTAAAGATTTGTTACACCTGTAGTAGTAGTAGTAGTAGTAGAAAGATTTATTTAGCACATTTGGCTAGATAAACAGAATAATTGTAAACAACTTATAACTAGTAAATTCAAACCATATGGTGTATGATGTAAATGCTGGGCAATCTATAATTGTAGATTTAACAAGTGATTTCTCAATTGTACTTTAAATTTTGTCAAAGTTTTCTGGTCTTTTATCTCCTAGTATAATTTATTATATTCAATCAACCCTTGATGGAATACAGATTTGTAGCATATGTTATACTTTTTGGTCATTAAATGGAAGTCATCTTTATTTCTGGTATTATGTAAATGATGGTCGACATTTGATGATGTTAAATTAGTTAGACTTGATGGAAATATATTATATTATTTACTTTATAAATGAATATCATTATAAGATATTTGATAAAAAATTTTACATTGAGCCATTTTAATTTGCTAATTGGAGTATATTTATCTTTATTTAGTATTATTCTCATGCACTTATTTTGTAAAATTTGCCGTCTTTCGAAAGTGGAATTATTTGCTAAACATAGAATAGTCGAACAGTACAAGAAATTTGGAAGAATGATGGTATTATAGATAATTTTTCTGCTATATGAACTCAGACATCCAGAAACTCTCGATAAATATCCCACTTTACTGCTAATGTTATTTATAACTTTTTCATAATGAATATCAAAAATTAATCGAGAGTCAACAAAAACCCCCAGATATTTAAAATTTTCTACGAATTCAATATCTTCACCATCAATATTCAGTTGAACATTTGTACATTGTTTTTTTTTCCGATTAACAAGGCTTTCGTTTTACTGGCATTTAATTTTAGTCTGTTAGATGCTAACCATTTTGAGACAAGCTTCAAGTCTTCATTTATATAAGAGATACCAGACTGAATATTTTTAGTACTTATATAAATCATAGTGTCATCGGCGAACATCTGAATTTTGCATTTTTTGACTATGGCAGGTAAATCATTTATATATATAAAATAAAAAGAAGTGGTCCCAGGATACTGCCCTGTGGAACACCCAACGTATTTTCAATTTTTGATGAAGTAGTGTCATTAACTTTTGTAACTTGCATCCTTTTAGACAAATAATTTCTAAACCAATCTAAAACACTTCCTGTTATACCATATTCCTTCAATTTACCTAACAAAATATCTCTATCAATCGTTTCAAATGCCCTCTTCAAATCCAAAAATACTGCTATGACAACTTCTTCTGAGTCTATGGCTCTTCTCCAATTCTCAGTTACCAACTGGAAAGCCGTTTCTGTGGAACATTTTTTTCGAAAGCCTGCTTGCGCCTCCACTAAAATTTTGTTTTCTTCTATAAACTGCATTAATTGGTCATGCACTAGGGACTCTAATAATTTTTCAATGTCTGGTAACACATTTACTGGTCTCATATCGCTGCATCTTTTAGAATTTTTTATTTTGGGAACTGGTGTTATTGTAGAGCATTTCAAATTTTCAGGAAAAGAACTGCTTCTCAGTGAACAATTGATCCAATTTAATACAGGATGAAGGAGTATATGTCAGTCACCCCTTCAGTGTATATGCAATTGGACAGCCTGTGGGTTGCTTCAAATTTGATGCTGATCTTATCTCATTGAAACAATTTACACATTTTTCATCAAAATTTAGCACTCAGAGGCTGGATTCTATTGCAACTAGGTTTTTAAGATACGAACTAGTGGAAATACCTTTCCTAACGCTTCACACAGCGCTTGTTTGTGGGGAAATTCAAATATGTTAACAAATTTATAGCTCACCTCATGAATAGTTTTATTTTGAGATTCCTTAAATTTTTTTGGAATTTTAAAACGTGGCATGTACTTAGCTACTCCACTACATTGTTTCAAAAATTACTTGACTAAAAGGAAACACTATGCTTAAATAAGTAATGTACTAAACTGCAAAATTGGGCTGCCACAGGTGCGATACTGGGTTAATTGTTTTACATCACTTTTGTGGATTATTTCAAATATGCTGATGGTACATCCGTTCTCATCATTTCTTCCTTCCTTTCCGATATAATTAGATCAGCGTATGATACATTCAAAAGTATACCTGACAGGTTCAGGGCAAATGGTCTGGTATTAAATAGAGAACAACCGCTATATTTACGTTTTCCTTATTCACCAGATTATTATAGCAGTCTTCTAATAAAATCACAGGACGGCTCTATTAAACAATCAAATTGAAAAACTTCCTCAGTATTCATCTTGCAAGTAAATGGGACTTACAGGTAGACAGTATATGAAAGAAAGTTACCAATAGTTACTGTACAGCTGGAATATATATTGAAGTTAGCTCCATAATTATGGTATATTATTCTTACTTACAAACTTCTATGCAAATAGGATCTTTGTTCTCCAGAAACGGGTTGTTAGAATAGTATCTTCAGTCAGTGGCGGCTCGTGGCAAAATAAAACAGGTGTTCTGCAAATTCGAACTTACCTATTTTTTATGTCAGTTCGATCCTGCTTCTTGGTAGCAAATTTGTCGATCACCTTCCCGTTGAAATTTTCAATGGTCGAAATAAATTCGTTTTCAATGGACAGCATCGACATCGCTGCAAGGCGATCCTGGGTCATAGTATTACGAAGAAAAGTTTTTTTTATTTTTTTTTTTTATACTCCAACTACCACGAAGGCCTAAGGCCTAAGCACCCATTGGGTACCGTTAGGCTATGGGGGATACATGGGAAAGGGGGGACGCCACACGGACTCTGGCGAGGGAACACGTGTGCATGCAACATGCACACATTCTGGCTCCGCCTACGAGAACCGCCGGGTGGTACCTCCGCGTTCGACAGTCAGAGACCATCTACCACCTACGGACAATCACAACATCCATGGCCAAGAGGAACATTTCTGCTGGGACGGGACTCGAACCCGCACAGCGCACGGCGGCTGATCAGGAGACCGAAGAGTCTACTACTGCGGCCACCGCTGCTGCCTAAAACAAACACACAACATCCATGGCGAAGGCGAGATTCGAACTCGCGGCCCGGCCGGCCGGCTGATCAGTAGCACGACACTCTGACCCACGCGGCCAACCGAGGTCTTGATTCTTTTCAATGTTGAGAAATTTCGCTCAGCCTCTGATGTTGACATAGGAGTTGTAACAATAATCTCTAATAGCTTTTTTGTTTCTTTTAGTGTTTCCTCCAAACTATTTTGTATCAAAAATTTCAAAAGACACAGAGTTCCATGTAAATCTCGGCACTCATTCCGTTCATAAATAACAGACAACTCTGTCTTTAAATGACTTTTTTCAAATTCAGGATAAGCCAAGCAGGTAGTTTCCAACTTGTCATCAGAAAACTTACCACAGTATTCTCCAAAGTGTTCGGGGAAAAAAGGGATGCGGCTACCAAATGATCTTTGAATTGAAATTTGTCATTTGCAGAATTCACTATATTGTCGCATACTTCTAATGCGGCAACTCGGTGATCGTGACTGCTATTATTACGTCTCCTTTTATTGCCTTCGAAGTTCCTTTAAAAATTGAAGCATTTTTTATGTGTTCGCTTAAGGTTGTATCAAGCTCAGCAGAAAAATTAATCAGTCCACGAAATATTCCCGGGTTTTGGGAGCTCTCGGTTTCGTCTTGGCCCCGTAGCGCCAATTCAAATGCTCCGCAAAATTGTATACTATCGATTATTTTTGATAGAACGTACCTGTTTTTTGTAACGGTATCATTATGCTGTTGTATATTTCTCCAATATGCTGAATCTAACTGAGCTCTGATGTTAACAATCCCCAATAAAGCCAATTCCATCGAATTATGAAGATGTGTTTTAGAGTTTTCATGCTTCTTAATTTTTTCACTCAGGTGCACTAAATCTGTAACACGTACCTCCGTCCAAGCTTTGTCACCCCCGAAAAGTGTGCAAGGAAAGCAGAAAAGGGCATTCTTCCTGTTGCACCCACAAATCCAGTCATTTCTGGTGTAAATCTCCCTGCTGAAATGCCGCGTATAGCCCTTGCCCCGACTAACGCCATGTGTTTCTATAAATGTCTGGCAGCGGTCGACCTGACACCTTCAGCTCAATTTTTTCTTCAAATGTGTATTTCCAGAATCGTTTCACGCTGATAATTCTATAAACCACATCCATTGTCTTGCACTGCCCTTCAACACAGCCACAGTCAGTCAGTGAGTCACTAGCCACTCAACGTAAGACCCAAAATACCCGAATAAAAAGTTTTACGCATTCAAATTTTAAGCCACGTTACGCGACAAGACCAATATGCCAATACCGAGGACCGACCACTGACCGACCAATCAGATATCGTACTTCGCATTAGATCTGTACAGATCTGCATAAATTGCAGCACATGCTTATGCTTAAATCGCGAATTTGATTTTGTAGAGAGAGACCAAAGCAAGAGCGTGCGGCTTGTGTCGAAGTAGTGCACAGACCCTTTTCAAGTTGCCCATGAATAATGACGCTGCGGTAGCGACGAAAATGACAAGTACACAATTGGTCGATTATAATGCTGCAAAACAGACTCGACGCCGTGTCTTGCGGGGGCAGGCCGGTATTGTTTCTATTTGTGTGATAACAGAGAAAATAAATAATGATCAAATTACTACTGCTTTTTTCTGTTAAGACAAAAGTATTGGCAGTTCTGCAGCTCTGCAGAACTTAAGGCCCTCAGTGAGTAACAGAACTCCTTAGGAAATATTTTCGTTATATTGAATATGTTTATATCACCTTACGTCTACATTTTTCACTTGTTACTTTATGTGAAAAATAATTGCAGTAGCTCAGATATACTCAATGCACATGGCTGTTACAGTACAAGAAACTCCTTAGTAGTCTTACAAATTTCTGTTCATAGATTGTCTTTAACAGCTCCAAATACATGTAGATCAAGTTGTATAATGAACTACCTAGTCATATAAAACAAACCTATACGAATTTATAGCAAATATTGAAAAAATGCTTCGTTAAAAAAATTATTACTTGGTTACCTTTGTGATAACACAATCACTTAGTATGAACTTTATGTGATGTTGTGCACTTTTATGTGATTTTATAAACTTTTAGGTAATTGGATGAACTTTTTTTGTGATCTTGTAAATATCTGTATTTATTGTGACAACTAACGGCTTATTTCCTGTATTTTGTCTTTACTGAAAACGTACATAACTATTACATGTTTATGAAAGTGAAAAACTCACTTACTTGTTTTTGGAGTACAACTTTCGACACATTCAATATCATATATATGATCTCTGAATAAAGGTTATTGTTATTACTTCATTTTATTTTTTTTCTCGTCCAGCAGGAAATTCGTCGTGACTCGGGTTCAAGTACCCAGCACAGCGGCGGTTCATCCTACTACTGCTGCCAAGAGCCCGAGTGCTGCCGCCAGCAACAACAACCACAACAAAGGCCTGTGCAAACCGCCTACGGTCAACCGCCTCCATGTGCAAATTCGGCGGTGTTCAAGAGACAGAAGTGTCTTAGGTATAAGCAACGGGATAAACCTATACTCAGATCGAAGAGCGACATCAGTGACAGGTATTGTTGGAGACCTGTACCACCAACGCCGGTTCAAAGTAGTGGGATGGAGTCACCACATTCGTCTTCCGCGGTGCATCATCTGCATCAGTTTTTCGAGCATCTTGGATTGACCAGTGACAGGTAAGAACCCATGTAGCAAGCAAGCAAGAGTTATTCGACTGTGAATAAAGAATGTTCCTCGCATGTCCCCAATACGACAGTCAACAGGCTGCCCGGAGAAGATATACCAGAGAGTAGTTATACCAAGAGAGGACGCAACCGGAAGGCTTCATTCAGCTTGGATTTGATCTGCAATACTGGTTTATAACAAACAAAGGGATCTATGAGCAAACCGCCCTTGATTTGGCGGTTCGCTCATAGATGGCTGGGCATCTATCCAGGAAGAGGTCATGTAATGTGGTCAAACTGGCAAAATGTGTAGAAACTGCTATAGTTGTATTCACCGTTCTAGGCGGTTACTTCATCAACGCGATATGAACTAAGTAAACAGATCGAGTGTCCGTACCATGGGCGGAACACTGCGCAGACTAATCTTCAGCGATATGTTCAGCTTTTTGTATTTTCAGCTTGGTAACCAGTTGTAGAGAATTGGGGTCTTCTTTATCTAGGTTGTTTGGGGAAATTATATTTTGTATCAGTTGTGAATCATCAGTGAACGTTTTTGATTTTTATTCTTCAGTTGAATTTGTCACTCCTTGACTTCATATTCTTTATAATCTAAGGCACTCATCAATTTGGTTAAATATGTCGAATCCTAGCAACTATTATTCCGTTTTTAGTATTTTTTGCTCCATGCATCGGTCCAGTGAATTCAGCAGGATGTATGCATTGTTTCAAAATGTTTAGTACATCCTGATTTTCTGAGGTGGATTTAATTAAACGAACAGCTAGTCTGCGACTCATATTTGTTTTTTAAGCACACTGCTTTATGCTATTATTCTAGATTATTCCTTTGTAAGGTTGTTATTCCTGTTTCTGGTATATCTATTATTGTGCTAAATTGTTCTTTATGAGATTTTTCTATCTGTTTTTTCGATTCTTTTTTTTATCTTGCTTACTGAGGTGATAATTTCGTTGTCGACGATACTAGCAATAATCAACTCATGATGCTCCTGTAGATGCCTGCTTTCATTTACGAGATAGTTAATGTACTGTTCTTTGTCTAATAAAATAGTCATAGTTGTTTATTGGCATTTTACACAAAACTGTGTTTATGCAAGTCAATAATTGCATAAATATCTAAAATGTAATACATTAGATGCTTATTACATTCGACGAGTACATAAAAACGGTACAGAACATTGTTAAATAAAAGAGTTACAATAGCACATTGAAACAATAGACACGTTAAAAATATAGTATGCATGATATATAATAAAGAATGAATAACCGACTCATAAAAATCGGTTATTGAGTAGGGGCACAGCTCCACAAGATACCTCCTCGGGCGTTTTTTAAGTATTGTCACATTTCACATTCTGAAGTTCTTTAAGCTTAGAGGGAAGCTTATTATAGATTTTTCTACAGGCATACTCAGATGACTTTTCAAACATTGTTAATGCATATGATGGTATGCTCAAATCCATGCCAGCTCTTGCGTTGTAACGAACATTTACATATTTATTTTTAACAAAAATACATTTGTTGTGGAATGCATATAGAACGCAGTTAAAGATGTAGACTGCCGGAAGTGTTAGTAGATTATTTCTCTTGAATGCAGACCTACAAGGTTCACGCCTAGGTATGTTAAAAATTAATCTCACTATTCTTTTTTGGATTATGAATGCCCTGTTCACAATACGGGCTTGTCCCCAAACTATTATGGCTCTTGACAGATGAGAGTATACCATCGCATGGTAAACATTAAGCAATACTGCTTGTGTTACACAGTGCTTTAATTTTAATATGGCAAAATACGACTTGTTGAGAGTTTCATATATTGAGTCAATATGCATTTGCCAAGTGAGCTTGGAATCCATAATTATCCCCAGAAAAGTCCTCAAGTCAGTGTCGACTTCGTGAAGCTGAGACCTACAAGTATTAAAGTGAATGGTAACAGTCTTGTCAGTATTTAAAATCAAACGATTATGTTGGCACCAAAGCTGCATTTCAATTTCCACTAGGGTGATTTTACGAACAAGGTCCTCAAATGTAGTACCACTTACTACAACTGAGGCATCATCAGCGTAGCTTATTACGAAGCCAGATAGGCGCAAAGACAAGACCCAATTCAATAAAAAAAAACTGATTCCCACGCTGTACAGCTTTTCCTCTATTATGCTGATACTACCGCTACATATTTGTTGTGGTCTAACTCTTTGTTGATATGGCTGACAAATTCAAATGCCGCCGTCTCTACAGATCTCGACTTTCTAAAGCCATGCTGGGAATTATTTAGTAAATTAGAATAGTCTGCAAAATTGGTTATTCTGGTGTGCATTATTTTCTCAAAAATTTTAGAAAATACTGACAGAATAGAGATCGGTCGGTAGTTGTCGATTAGCTGAGGATCGCCTTTCTTGGACACAGGTATAACTATAGCTAATTTCAAGAGTTTAGGAAATACGCCCTGATAGATAGACATGTTGATGAGAACAGCTAGCGGATATGCAATTTCGTTATATACACTTTCAAGAACACGCGCAGAAATACCGTCACTACCACTTGATTTTTTATTTGGAAGACTGGCTGTAATGGTTAGCACTTCCTCTGCAGAAACCTCACTAAAAAACATTGATTTTTTAAGTTGTTTGTCGAGCCTGGCGGATGATGGAGGACCGGGATACATTTTCTTTAATTTTTCTGCAACTGTGTCAATCACTGTGTCGTTCTTGTTGGTAAGAGAAATAGGTGAGTATTGTTTTTTGCGTCCCAGCTCAGAGTTGACTATCTCGCAGACTGTTTTCGGCATGTTATCGGCGCGTTCAATTTTATTACTAATATACGAGTAGTCCCGCTTTGACTTGATAATGAGCTTTTTGTGAGCTTCCTTTTCTGCCAGATACATTTTCCTTGGATATTCGTCATACTTATGTTTTTTTCAACAAGTCGTGAAGTACTCGAAGCGTTTCACTAGAATGGTTCACTGCATCTGTTACCGGTTTGTTTTTTTTTTTTTTTTGCGCGATGTGACTGTCCTTTGAAGGTAAGTGATATCGAGATGCCATAAAAAAGTTTCCATAAAAACTCCGAATGCTGTGTCATTGCTCTCGTCAACATTCCAAGATACTGTAGATAGTCTTTGTTTGAAATTTTTAAGAATGCTATCGTTCACTAATCTTACAGTATATGCTGAACGTACACTGTTTGCATTATTGCTGCAATTTATAGCCAGAGATTGTGCCATGTTGTCGAAGATGTGCGGATCATGGGTTGTGCAGTTTACAAGATATGGGTCTATATTGGTTATCATGTAACCTATGGTCGTGCTCGAAATTTGATTGTTTTTGTTTACAGAAATTCGTGTAGGTCCAATAGTACAGTTGAGCAGGTTGAATGAGCTTAAGATGTCTTCTAAAAACATTGAAGAAGGAGTTGTTTTTGAACTGTCGATGTTTAGATTGCCACATAGAATAATTTTTTCACTAGTATCTGCTGCTGTATTCAAGATTGCTGTTAGACCTTCAAGGAATATATTGATATCTCCAGATGGAGGGCAGTAAAGGCAAATGATTGAATATTTCACCTTGTTGGTCTCAGTACCAGCAATTATCCCGCTGCTTTCTATGTGTCCTTCCACAGAACTTTCCTCAACGTAAAAGAGCTGTTTAATCTTGATGCCTGGTTTAGTGAATATAATATAAGCCGAGTTCTACAAAAGTGCGATGCTAATATACATATATAACCTGGAATGTGAGCACAACTAATAGCGTCAGGGTTAAGCCATGTTTCAGATAGACATAATATGTCAACCGATTCAGAGGTTGCGAAATGCTCTAGTTCATCGTATTTGTTCATTACACTACAAACATTTAAGTGGACTATCTTGAGTGAGCTATATTGAGTGGGATGATTTCTGGGAGGCGAGTTTAGCTTGCTGGTTCCGAAAAAACTTGAATTTTTTCAAAAAAATACCTGTAGCCCAGCGTGTTTTTTCGAAAAGCTGATTTGCGAGATCACAATCGGCTCCTACCTTGAAAGAGTCAGTGAAACCATTCTTCCATCTGGGCAGCTTGGATACCACAAAGGATCTAGCAGGAAACTTGCGTTGGAGTAATGATACGATGTCTTCTACAGTTGAAGCAGGTGCTGCACGTATAGCCATTCTCTCCTTGGTGCAGCTCTAAGACCTCCATTTTACAGTCGGTTCGTCTGATCCAAATATCACTTTTTGCGTGGTCCTACTTATGTATCCACGACTATCGTCACCTTTTCCTGGTTTTTGTCTTATGGCATATGGTACTTTGGTGTGTTTTTGACTGCTACGCCCATTACTTTGTCTGCCTGCAGTACTGTCAACAGATACCTCGTTGGTTTGATTTAATGGGGTAGCGAATTTAACTACACTGGAGTAGGTCAATTCTTGTAACTAGTAGCTCATTCAAATAGTATATTTTTTGCTTCAGAATTTTTACATCATTTTCTTCTTTTAAAAATCCCATTTCGTCAATATCATGTTTCTTTACTTGATCATCTTCTTCACGCTTACTTTTTTTGCTCATTTTGATGAATAACTATCATTATGATGTGACTATGATGCAGTATAATATGCTGACAGGAACAATGAATGTAACACGATTTTAGAAGTTACAATTATGTCCAAAAACGGTTAATTCTTCCGCAGAGCTACTAATACTTGTAGAAGTATTTACTGCATCAGAAATTTCCTTGAGGTGTCCTCTGGTAAAATTAGATATGATGTTCTATGGAAAATAACTGTAATGTCGTGAGTGCCTTTCTAGTTAGTATTGTAGTAGGAAATATCTATTTCATATTTTGTACCATATACACAATGAATGGAAAATATATTTCGTAGACTGCAAATGGATGATTAAATATCAACAAAAGTAAATTTGTAATAATGCTTATGTAATCTTTCGCTGCAAGTACTGGGCAATGAATTCGTCCAAAAAGAAATATCTATCTCTCTCTAATTTATTCGCCTCGTCTGATTGTATTCTCTTGGTATAACAACTCTTTGATTATTTTCTAATGGAATAACATTGCATCTCCCCATTGTCCGTGTATTACTCAGTCGAGCAAATACGCAAGTACACAAGATGGCGTTAGACAAAAAGTTTGTACGTAGGCAGGAGTACTCAGCTTAATTTCTTTTTTCTTCTGAGATTCTGAATCACCTCTTCTCCTTTACAGTTACGAGGAGATGCTGAGCACCAGCGGCTCATCGACTAGCCCGGTGTTCTTCTCAGACGTGTCGACAGTAGATTCAAGCCGTGCTGTGGACAATGTCGACAGTTGCCCCCCTCAAGGGGCCGCGTATCGCTCTAATGATCCTCCCTCGATCGTGGAACGCAACGCGAGGATCATCAAATGGTTATGTAACTGCAGGAAGATGCAGCAGCAACAGCAGATGGCCTCCTGACAACAGTACCTGCCACCGGACAGCTACGATTGTTATGTGTAACAGGTATTACGGTAGATTGAGGTACGGATTTGTGTAGGGTTCTTTCCAGCAATGATTCTGAGAGGCCTGTGATTTTTCACAGTGGACGAGTTTTAGGCCAAGCGGTGGGCTTACAACTTGGTACTCAAAGTTGTATTCAAACGTTACGACTCGATTCTAGTAGTTTTGACAATGATAATCGAGTGATACCTAAAGCATTTCTGGTGACTTGAAAAAGTTTCAAACCATAAAATATCTATGTTCCTTGATACGGAAGGATTCAAAAAATACAAGCTATACTAAAATTATTGTTCAAAGATGACCAAAGTATGCAATCTGTATTCAGAATCGCTTAAGTATATGGTACAGGATATGATAACGACTCTCAGCTTCCGAGTCGTTATCTTCAATTACGACTGCGAGTGGCAAGATTGTAATCCCCAAACAGATACGATAAGACTTTACCTAAAAGAAAAATCAAAGTTTGTTAATAGAGAGAATAGTTGAACCAGGGTTATTTATCGGCAGCCTACAGTTTACAGTTATAAAGTGTTGCCAATATTAGAAAATTTTTGCAACTTCAAATAGCGCATACCTAAACTTTAGTATTCACATTCAAATCATCAGAAGTGAATAGGTGTATTATGTGTAATCGTTATCGTTTACGTATGCGATATATATATATTTGTGATTTCCAAAACTCACTATTAAGCTTACACTTTTCCATTGTCCAAAGAACCCACATCTGAACTGGAGTAAAACGTATTTGCGGAAGGTTACCGTTGGGCAGATTATACTAAATTCATTTTCGACATGCAGTCAGTCAAAACAATGATCGCTGTATCTTCAAACCCTCGGTAACGGAAATAACAGATCTGGATCACAATTTACTTGACGTGCGTGCTGCAATAGTTTATCCAAGTGTTTCATTGCTATATAAATAAGTTTAATGCAAGAAAAAAAAACTACAGTATATGGTCCTTTGAGGAAACATCAATTATGACAAATTTTTGTAAACACCTTCATGGCATAGCACCTTATACCCCATCTCATTTACATCTACTGCAACTCGAACATGAATTTGGTAAGGTTTAACATCTTTCCCCATTAAAGGACTTGGGTACAAACTGAATTTGAATCAAAGGGTCAATTGGAACAGGTAGTACTATGATATCTGTATCTGGCCTGGTATATGCAAATTAAGTGGGAAGCTTATTTTAAATCTAAGGTGAAATTGTAACAATGGATGACCAGACTCTAAATTTATCTCGAACTGGTAGAGTTTACCCCAGACTTTTTTGTACCAAGAAGGCTCATAGCATAACGTCGACTTTAGATTGTTTGGCTAAATATATTTACAAAGGTGTATCATTTTCCTGGAATAGCTCTATAACTTATCAAGATTGCCGCTCGAGGCTGTGCCTGCTATATAAATCAACTGAGAACCTCACAAACTCCTTTGCAAAGTTTCCTCGTTATACAAGAATTTTATTTAGTGTGGTTGCCCTCGCTTGACATCCTTTTGTCGGCGCGATTTCATCATGAACAGTAAATTTTGCATAAAAAATGGAAAATCACCTACATAAGCACTAAATTTGCTTAGGTAAGTTTATGGTATTGAACGGTTCTCAAATTTTTGAATGGCAAGGCCGATTCTAACAATGAAGAAAGTTGTTGGATGACTATCGATTTGGAACATCTTCTACAAGCATCGTACAACAAAACGTTGAGAAAATTCGTCATTAAAAAATTTGAGAACAACTCATCGTTTCATCACCATAAACTAGTCGAAACATATTTAGGTGATTTATATGCGATTTTCTAAGTTTCACGCAAAATGCTCTTTGCTCAAACTTTTCATTCATGATGAAATCGCCGTCAGAGCGAGCACACAAACCCTGGATGAGGCTGCCATCTGTTGGAAAGTTACAGAGCTAATCAGGGAACCTTTTAATACACCTACGTATTTGGCGGCGCTTAATAATGAAGAAACGTTTTGCTAGAATTGTCCGAGAGTCATTGACGATTAACAAATGGAGCAAAGTTTTTTTTGCGCGCCGTTGGTCTGTATCGGGAAATAGTTGCCCAGTATGATTCAGTAAGTTTTTCGATAATAAAAACAATAAATTGAGCACTGCTAGTGACGATTCTTTGTGTGGTCGAAACTATTCGATCTTATTGTTAGTAAGAATCGGTTATGAATATCAAATATCCTTAGAATAAGGGTAGTACGAGTATACTAATGTATGAAAGACAACCCCTAATGCAAGCGCAGTAAAGAATGTTCAAGTGACTTTTTTTACATGTTTTGCAGTAAGTTTCATATTACGAATTAAGTTTGTAATCAATTCTTTACAGCTGGAAAACAGCTTAATCAAAACTTCAAAAAATGTGTTATATTCATTCTTCTATCGCTTCGCCCCTACCCCGATTGTTTCAATTTTTTATATTTGAAAATCTATAAGCTACTATGTGACATATTATGAAGTCTGCTATTATTGTCTTACTTTAAATTCAAACAGTTGATCAAAGCAGTTTACTTCTTATCACGAAAGTCGTGAAATGTCATTTAAATATTGTATTAATTTTTATGCGTTATCAATTTACATTTCTGGCGTGTTTCTAATACCATTCTGAAAAATACTTAGTTTTGACTCATATCGTGGGTATTCATGACTTAAATTGTTTAAAAATTATTTAAAATGCTGAAACAACCTTCTGTCTCAGAATTGACATTTTTTGTGCAATATGTGGAACGTGGAACTGAAACATTTCTGAGATTTCTCAATAATCCCTTGTGGTGAAGCAGTCTCAAAATAAATTTTTACAATGATATTCTAGTCACATTGAAAATCTTGAAACACATGCAATATATTACAATATTTGTATAAAAGACAAATTGTACCCTGAAAGTCGGAATAATTGTCATATGCTTATGGACAATTGGACTATGGTGAATTGTTATACGGATGAGCGTTCTAAACTCATGGTATTGTTACTACGACTAATAACATACATATAGATTAATAGTGTTAGGCATACGTGTGTAACAGATAAAAAACGTACGATTTTTCTCACTCGTGATATTAGAGTATAATGTGTGTTCAACCGTGTATTATGTATAATCTGGATTTTGACATGGATTCATTATATACAGGTCAAACATTACATATGTGTAAGACAATGAGCCAAACATTAACTTTTGTATTGTTTTTATTGACAGATAAATACAAATATCTTGCATACATCTTTTGATTTAGTTTCGAGACAATAATTGATTGTGGACACCAAAGACAGATTATAAAAGACATAGACTGTAGATGTTCTTACTCGGTAAAATTACAAGTGAAAGTGCTGCCCTGGGGGGGGGCTAGTTCTGAACTGAACCAAGTGTGCGCAGACCGAAATTACCGTTTCAATGGAAAATGGAACTGATTCTGTAACTGGCAGTTGTCTGTTCCAACAAATCCCGTATTGATTCCGAACCGGTTCTGGTTCTGTGCATAGCTGTTTTTTTCCTCTCTCTTTATTGTGCCGTTTACTACACATATTCATAAAATGGATGACGATGATGGTTATTTTGGAACAAATTTAGGTGAAGGTGAAGATCTTGAGCTGATTATAGGGGTCCAAGAACCAGAAATGAAAATTACATCTGGGCAAGGTGTCAGGTGGCCGGCTCAATGGTTTTTGGGTAAAATCCTGCCACAAAACCACACGGAATTTAAAACATGATAAAAATAAATTATATTATGGATTTGCTGTTTATTATTAGATAACAATACAAACTAATAGCATTTTCAGAGGGTGATTACAGCAAACGTTTAAATATTACAAATTAGTCTACTTTGCAAGTATGTCCATTTTCTCAAGAAATATATTTGCCCTACTTATTTCCTGCCTTGCCCTTTAGGCAAGCGAGGCTACCCAGCGCCACCTCACCCGGCCCTGACACCCTAGGCAGTCGACTAGTTCGTCTGGTAAAGCCGATTTATTTCACACAGCTCTACTACATTCCGAGCTAATTTCACGACTAATTCCAACAAACTAATTTAGTTTTGAATTCTCTCGATGTCGCCACCATTAATGTTATCAAAACTCCACTTAACTTCCTTCTCTGCTACTGTAAAGGCAAAATGATTTTTAAATTTTACTTCAATTAAGGGTATCATTACGACAAGAGGTTATGGTTACGACAACAAGCCATTTAATTTTCTGTTCGTAACTAGTTGTGAACTGTACTTACCTCGGGCATGCGCAGATAAATAATTCGGAATTAGTTCGGAACTGCTTGTTGGAACAAACGTAATGGATCATGCGTTCACGATTTTTTCACAGTTCGATAAAATGGCAGATGACAAAGTAGGAGTCTGCTTGAAAATACTTACTTTTTTTCGTTATTTTCAACATCCGTCATAAAACCTCCCCTTCCCAACCTACCGCTAGGACTGATACAATTCTCTTTAACTTAGGCATCGATGGGCTTCTTTAGTATCCTTATTTAGATCACAATAATGGCTCTCTCTGTTCCTGTTTTCTAGTTCATATTTGTTATTAACATCCGGGATAGCTGCAACCAGGCCTATGTTGCCATCGAACGTAAAGAAAAAAATATATAGTACGAGTATATTTTATAACTGGTTATACTACTATATTTCTCAAATATTATCATCCTTGTCGAACTCCAGGTACTCTAGAGATAACTGCATTTATTAAGGTGATATTGAATAATTAGTCCTTAGGATTCTATAATTATGTGAATGATTTTTCATTCGCATGGAACCCCTCTGCATGTTCTAAAACCCAACCTGGTTGCTTTTTTTTATTGGCCGCGCTTTATCTGGACAGTAATTTTAGACATTTTTTTAAATGGTGGCAAAGTGTTAGAAAAATATGTTCAACCATTGGCTCGGTATAGCGCGGTTAAATAGATTATGTTTATCATATCATATTTTGGGTTCCCTTGCTCATTGAACAGATAACTTTCATATACAGGGAAAAAAATTGCCTGACGGTTTCTGTTCATTGTGTACTAGAGAGAAGCGCGAGAAGTGTGTGTCAGCACAGGTTAGAAAGAGATAGAAGTCGACTGAAGAGCGAAGGTCATCACTTCATTGCCTGGCAACGGTGACGCAGAAGGTCGTGCATTCTGCCGCATTGTCAATATGTTACCAGAAAAAGTTCGCACAGGCTGCTACAATGGGTTCGGTTACTGTCAAACCCAAGAAGTAGGTCTGATCAAACATTCAATTAAATATATTGTTTTCATTTTGATTAGAATTATTTATTTCAATTTTGATGTGACTGAGTGTTTTAATTTATTTTAGAATTATCTTTAACTTAACTTATCCTGAGTTATTGTTACTGGGTACTCACCAAAATTGTCCATCTATGATCATGTAGGTGGAAACCTTGCGTTGGAATGTTCGAGACGCGGTGTTATCAAACGAACCAATGATGCAATGTTGCAGAATTTTTAGTGATCCTGACCTTTCAATTCGACCAAAAATGGAGCGCTGGTTGGACCGATCCGGAATCGATTCGACACAATTATCAATTCAAAAATGTGTACGGTCAAAATAAAACCATTATTTGGGCGTAAAGAATAGACTAACGCATATTTTCAAGATGCGTCTCAAGTCTAGGAACTGGTGTAATATATTGGCGACGCGGCAAATTGCCGCGTCAGCGTTGCTAGGCAACGCGGTGATGAGCTTCGCTATCCAGGCGTGTCTATACACACTTTTCTCTCTCGTACACATTGAACTCAAGCCGTCAGACAAATTTGGTTCCCAGTGTATAATAACATTTAACGATATACCCGTAGAACTCAAACTCTGAGAAAAGTTTGTGTTTAAACCTCTTTTGGTGCTGTAAACCTGTATTATTTTCTGCTGTACGAAATTTGTTCTCTAATAATTATTTTATCAGTATTTTTCTGCATTTAGAATTTTTACAAATCATTCCTTTAGCTGATGAAAATTATGAAATAATAATACTCGAATATTCATCATCAATCATTTGATGAACAAACTACTACACAGTTTGTTGGTAAAACTAAAATGTTTAATTTTAAAAATGATCATATTTATTAAATTATTAAATTTGAATAGACATTTGGTGCTTTTTTCAAATTATGTTTTTTGACTTATGATCTTGCTAACTAGTCTTAACAAATACTGCCGCAAAAGAAATGAATGCATTTTGAAGTGGTACTTTTGTATCAGCAAACTGTTATATTAATGATTTTAAAAATAGCCAAGGCTTAATCAATAATATTAGGTTGTGAACATTGTATGGGATATATCTCAACCAATTAAGCCACATGTGTTACAGACATAGGATGACTAATTAAACACTGTGTTTTACCATTGATTATTATATATAGTGTATATTTCGGCGTCCAAAAATCATCCAAGATGAAATGAGATACCAAATCTACTTTGAAAAAATTAGTGCCTCTTAGATGGCTCTTTAGCCAATAGGATCAAATTTATACATATAGCTAACCTGACCTTTTCAAAGTAGATTCCTAATTATCGCGGAGAGGAGAAACGTAACTGTGACAAATTCTCATAGATGACGCCATGGTATCCCATTTCTTCTCGCATAATGTTTTGGACGCCGAAATCCAGTATCAGGTTGACTATCTTCGATAGAGTGCATTAATTAACGGTTTTTCTTACGAATACCCAGCTGCTGAAGGATGAAACATCCACATTGAAAAATGAATTCGAAACAGATTATACAGAAATGTGTGGTATCTTTGTCGGAAAAGTACCTTGCTATATAAATATATACCCTATTTCACGAGTATCCATCACGCTTTGACGTTTACCGAGGTAAACAGCTGATCAGCAAGTGACATTTTTGTGTTAGTTTGCAACGTTGGCAATAATGAATCGAGTGTCAATCTAGTAAAACTTGTAGCATTTTGTAAATGGATTTTTCTAAATAAAAGAGCTTTTAGCAAGTACAAAATGAATCTGTAGCGTACAAAAAACCAAAACAAAATATGGCTCTGTCTACCTGGCACTGACGGATCCGTCAGAATTATGTGTCGCTTCCCGATATGGGGAATTTTGAAATATTACTAGACAATCAGATGTCATTCTACCGTAACGGATATTCGTGAAAAAGATTATAAACACTTGCACTGTTGTAACCTAATCTAGCTCAAAATATTGACGCATGCTGAAGATAGGTTCTAAATTTATAAATGTATATTTTTATTGGACCAACATTTCATCCTTAAACAGTTTGAACTTATTAACACTATTCTTCTAATATTGTACTAGGAAGTAAACTGTAAAATTAAAAACAATCTCTTGCAGTTTATTTTCGAGTTGAGCACATGACATCAATTATTGCGTGTATACTCGATTTGTTTTTAGGTTTGGTTAGTATGGTATAAAAGGTATTTTGGCGAAATATAATGTAGGAATTCTATTGATACTTTTTGTACGTTTTTATATATCGTTTCTCGAGTGATTGCAAAAATATAAAATATTTCTGAAACATATAACCTAGTTATCATGAAAGTTAAAAATACATTATTGCAAACAAACATACATCATTGGCAAGTATTCTTTCTTTCAAGTGTCGATGCAGTCCATTCTAGAATTTCAATTTTCGAGGACATGTCAGTTTTCGAAATAACAACCAGACTGCGGGAAACAACAAGTAGCTTATTCCTCATTTCGGTCCGATAAATTGGTTGTCTCTAATGTATGTCAGACATCTAGATTTTTACCTTTGGGACTAAGAATACAATTGGGGAATTTCCATTATTTTCTATTGCTGCGTATATTTAGTAGTATTAACACGGATTTTCTCTCTCTCTATCTTATGATGCATTTTATCAGTCACTAACATTTTATCTACACCTTGGGAAAAAACATTATTATACATTATGATGAGGAAGAGAGATGGAAATATACAAAAGTATGTAGGTGCGTGAAAGACACTCGATTGTAGGATCCTATGTGGCAGCGTCGGAGTGTGACGGACAACGGGGTAAAGTAGAAGAGTGATAAAAGAGAGAGATGGCAGATCGGGCGCTGGCGCCTACCGCTTAGACGGATGCGCTCAACAAATGCGATTTGTTTCTCCCATTCGCAGAGTTGCCGATACCAATATGTCATATTTCTAAGAAATCTAAGTCTACCCAAATTTCGGGAAAAATAGCTGCGGATTCCACATAAGAGTATTCCAAAAATGAAAAAAGTTCAAACTATTAAAATTGTATTAATGTTTCATGTTTGTATATTGTTGTATAAATGATTTTGTAATCCCTATTCTTGTTGCCAGTAGAGATACAACAGTATTGAGAGAAATCATGGACCGCTAGATAGGGCTACAACTACCATATGACTATCAAATAGTAGTGATAAACAGGGTTTGTTTATAGCACAGTTGCCTGGTGTGGCGAATTTGCGCCATAGGGGCGATTTGACAACTTTGAAGGACAACTATAACGGTTACTATTGTGCCCGGTATTCGGAAATCTGGCAATACCTGATGATTCCTAACGTTTATTACGCCAGATTGTTTGCTGACTTGCGCAGTACAACATGACAATCAACGTGACTGAGCACTTGGTAACCCTGGTTTAAGGTGTTATATTTAAAGAGCTTGGGGCAGTTAGGTATCTAGGTCACATTTTTAATGTATTTCGAGAAATCCGTAATGTTGAGTAAATACTAGATCACGTTTCTTGCTTAGTTTGCTGAAAATTCTACAATAGACGTACATTTAGAGAAACAGAGATTTGGTGACGACAAAATCGTAAAAATATAACGCATTTTCGTAAAATAATTTCTTTGTTGAAAAGACTGTGGCTTGATGACCCATTGAACGAGTATAGTGTCCCGCTCCGCTTTGAATATTCGAAACACTATACTCCAGCAACATTCAGCTTCAATGTTATCTTTATGACGTTCTAACGTCTAGGCCATGCTGATTAAAAGCTTGAATGAATCAACACTTAACTCTAAATTCCCCACAATTCGGGAAGCTCTACTCAAATTGGCAACACGTATCTGCCTATTATTCTCATTCGTGATACAGGTCTGCGGTTAACGGTAGGAAATATGTACGAATAGCGATGAAAGTAGACGAGCCTATGCGCTGTTGTCACGAAATGATTTCCCATGTATAACAATGGTTTTTCCTAAGGTGTATACATTGTACGTTATATCATCCTGTAAATGGATTTTATTTAAAATTGAATTTCCAATTACCAGCAGTGATGGCCAACATATGAAAACTCAATTTTCAAAAAACACTTTTTTTGTTTCATAACAAAAATTATTATATTTTTATTTTTTATACTCTTGGAAAAAACCTCTAAATGGATCGCCCATAATAAGTGTCAGAAACTTATCGTTTTGCAATGATTCTAGAAAAAAGTTATGGGAGTGTTCTTTATTCTCCCAACAAAAATCATAGTTTTATATGTGATAGAGCCATGTAATGGAATTGTCACTTTAAAGCCCTGATGTCATGTAACAGGGTGGTCTAGTCTGTTCTTAGTGCTGTCTTATATTGTTTCTGTACACATATACCTATAAAGCATAGCTATGTTATTATACTTATGCATCCAATAAAAGATATGACATATTTACATTTATATTGTTTTTAATTCTTTAAATAGCTAAAGCCTATTAAAACCTCATTTACGTCAAAACAAACGAGCACTCTATCGCCGCTTCAATTCGCCTGACGCTGTATGCTCAGAGATTTGATGGCTTGTGGGCCAATATGAGCGCGCAAATTATTTTCCTCGCGACACTGGAATTTTGTATTTGTGATACTTGTCATCGATTTTCAATGTGCTGTCACTTGCGTAAAGTTGTTTGATCTTCATGCGGGTGTTGGAAAATACAAAGGGTACTAAAAGTTGTGCAATACAGCTTTATTTATTGACTTCGTTCAAAGTAATTTTCACCACATTCAATACACTCCTCCATCCGTCAAACCAGTCCTTAAACCAGCTCTACCAAGTTTCACCCGGGAGTGCGGCACACTCGTTGTCCCTAGCCCTCAGAAGGTCATAGCTAGAAACCCGTTTTCCTTTTAGCTTCATTTTCACATGCGGAAACAGTGCAAAGTCGCAGGGAGCAAGATCTGGACTGTAAGGAGGGTGCTCAATAAATTTCAGTCCATTCTTGACTAGGCCACAGGTTTTTCATGGACTCTAGGACTCTAGGAAAATACAAAGGGTACTAAAAGTTTTGTAATACAGCTTTATTTATTGACTTCGTTCAAAGTAATTTTCACCACATTCAATACACTCCTCCATCCGTCAAAACCAGTCCTTAAACCAGCTCTACCAAGTTTTACCCGGGAGTGCGGTACACTCGTTGTCCCTAGCCCTCAGAAGGTCATAGCTAGAAACCCGTTTTCCTTTTAGCTTCATTTTCACATGCGGAAACAGTGCAAAGTCGCAGGGAGCAAGATCTGGACTGTAAGGAGGGTGCTCAATAAATTTCAGTCCATTCTTGACTTAGGCCACAGGTTTTTCATGGACTCTAGGACCTTAGGCAGGCACTGTTCCATGTACCAGTTAACTGTGACTGTCTTCTGTCTGTTCAAAACGACACGCTCCACAATCCCGCTCGATTTGAAAAATACAGCTATGATTTTTTTCTTAACAGATCGGGATTTTCTGACAGCTACGGGTGCGTCCTCATCATCAAACTTTGTTTTGAGCCTTGGTCGGCACATCGTAATAATAAAGCCAAGTCTCGTCACCTGTCACGATCCTGTTCACATACCGAGATTGCCCCTTATCAAACATTTTCAGCATTTTTCGGCACCATGTCGTACGACGGTCTTCTGCTCTTCCGTCAGACTATGCGATACCCAGAGGGAACAAAGTTTTCTTAAGTGTAAATGGTCATGCAGATTTGAATGAATTGCTTGTGCATGAAGGTGTAAGGTCTCCTCTATCTGTTGGTATATCACACACCAAGAGTTTCCTCACAGCAGTAATGTTTTCCTCTGTTACTAACATTCGCGGCCTTCCATCCCTCTTAGCGTCCTCCAAAGTGAAATTGCCTGGAATTCTCCGTACCATCTGAATATAGTCGTACGATGAGGACAATCATTTCTTCTAAGCACTGGTCCACGCGTAAAATTATACCGTAAAACTGCCCTTATCTCACTACGTGTCCACGATGCCATAGTCGCCACTTTACACTGTCAATACGAATGAACAACTAAATCAACAGACGTGCTGCTGGCGGCTACTATGCTCTCATGGACATGTCTCAACTTGCAGCCTCTTGCTTCCGTTTCTCAAGTCATTTTGCAAAACTTTTATCGTACCCTTTGTATGGTCGAGTAACGAAAAAAAATGTATTTTCAAGCAAACTCATACTTTAAGTGAAAAAATCTCGAACGCGTCATTCATTGTGGCATGGTCGTAGCTTCGCGAGATTTGCTGAACGATAAACGCGGATTGCGAGACTCGAGCACACCCCTCTGGGTCGCTAATTTGAACATGGCGGTCTGGTGTTTGTTTTGACGTGGCGTAAATAAAGCAGCGTTCTCACGAGTCGATTTTAGTAGAACGATTTCTATTGATCAACAAAAATCGACTAAAAATATACTTGTGAACCGTGTTTTAGATTTTAGTTGAACCGAAAAAGTTTGATCCATTCAAAACTTATCTATCAATTTAATGCGTCATAGGCGATTTTCAGACAAGTTGAAACGGATTTGAAGCGTGTGAACTGTAGTCAGTCGAGTTTTGCATTGAATAAAGTTGATTTTGTGGCTCGTGTGCTTGGAAAAAAGACAAAAAATGAACATGAAGTGGTTTGAAAGTATTGTGCTACATTTTTTGGATTTATATCAACAGCATGACTGTTTATGGAATACCCTGCTCGAGGGTTATCGAAACAAGGATGCTGGAGATAACGCTTTAACTATCATCGCAAAAGAAATGGGAGAAAGTAGATCTTCTCATAATGGTATCTTGTTTTTGTATTTTGCTTTTTATCTTTAGAAGAAGTCCTTGAAATTGTTCTTCGGACATTCTCAAATGATTTTTGTAGGCATCCTTGTTCTCTAAAGCCTGCTCCTTGAGCAGGGTTCCTGAAACGCCCAATTTATTTCTTCGCAATATCCAAGTCCTGACCCAAAACCGACGTTTTCTAGATTTTCTGTCAAATTTTGACAAAATGTCTCCGATTTCTTCATTTAATAATTCGTAAATAGCTGCTATGCCTGCTTGGACACCTTCGTTGGCAGCCATTTTAGAAACGACTAGCGCATCAATTTTTATTATGTGTGTGAACAACTATTCGTTTCGATTTAAGTTGATCAACTAAAATCGACTCGTGAGAACGCTGCTTAAGGCATAGAATCCTTATAACTCGCACTGTTTAAAAAAAAGGTTCAGAGTTGGTCGCTACGGAGACGACAAAAAAGGATATGAAATAAAATACTTTTTCATTAAAAACCTGTATTCCGAAAAGAATTTCGAACAAAAAAAATACAGAACATCGTCAATCCAGCCATATAGTAATTCCACAAAATAATATTAAATACGTCGAAAATGAATAAACTACCTAAAAGTGTGAAGAAAGAAATATATCCTAGCTACACTGTATGGAGCGTTACGAATATTTTGCCATTCATTGGAGAAACTTTTAACCGCATCCATTAAGCACACACCTTTAAAAATTTTGGATGAATAAAACGTTGTCAATGGGAATTGTAAATTAAATGCTCGTAAAAGGAACATTTCCAGTGCTTATTATATGACAAATGGAAAGTTATTCTTTACAAATCAGTTTGATTATTTAAAGCACTAACTACAACGTCAGTTTCATGGTATTTCAGAGAAGATATGTTCGCCTTTATTCTAATAATACAATACTATGCGATATCACTACAAGACTTAGTTATTTTTAAATTTTAATAATAAAAGTATGGATTACAAAATATTATAATACATGAAATTCCTGTAAAGGTATTGCCTGCTTCGTCATAAAGTTCTGAATCGTTCTGAAAATGATAAAATCTACTAATTTCATAAGAATAGCTGGCGCTTACATATTGTTATATATTAAATTATTATTATAATTGTTCTGTAAACCGTTTACCTGCTGTGCTGGTTAGTGATGATCATAAGTAGTTCTAAAGATGCTTGTACCACTCACTGTAATGCAACTTTAAGTTTTCTAATAAACATGCCAAAACTATAATTTTTACAGGAAAGAATAATCCACTGTTGAGATTCAATGCTCCTGGTATTAAGACTGCAGTGTGACCAAATCTTATCATGGACATACGTTAACACATTACAAGGACAAAGTTTCTTGCCTTAATAACAATTTTGCACAATATCCCTTAGCCTTTACATATTACTCTCTACATGGATATATAAGTGTACTAGGCTAAATAAGGCTATCGATAGCGATATTTTTTTCGAAATCGTTGCACAACACTTAAAAAATGAAAGTATCACCTTGAAATTGGCGTACTTGCCGCATGACTACTTCACCAGTTTAGATTAAACTGAAGCCAGGAAGTGGTAAGACTTACAATCAGCAGCAAGAGGTAAGTTGGACGCTAACAAACGCACACTAGGGGCTTCAAATGTCAGCATGCATGAAGATCAATGTGCGTTTTTTCTGGAGTGGCAATCATGGATATGTTTGAAGAAAAATATTAGAATAGGAGATAACAGGACGAAGTATAGATGGTAACTGTTTCCAAAAGGAATCCAAATTGAAGTCCGCCTAGCGACATGTGCAAAAATGTCCAGAAAAAACTAAGTCTGAAGTATCAACAACAAATACCACTTTCAATACTGATCCAATACCAGCAGGAAAATAAATTGCGAGAATTTCAGCACAGAATTTTCTGAATTTTCCAAAACAACATCATTATATTAAGAACAGCTTATCTCAACCCCCACAAAAATAGGATCAGCAAAAAGGGTCAAAAGTAGCCAAGTTGATAGGCATAGCCTTCCTTCAACTACTACTACCTCTAGTCCTTTTGATATACTGACACCCCAAAATCGAATGTGTTGTCCTGCGGTTTACTATAGCTTTTCACATTAAGTTGCGCTTTAAGAACTGCTAAAAGAAAACAAAAATGAACTTTGCAGCTATGCTCGCGAGCCAGCTTAGCGCGAAGTCTCGACTAGTGGTAGCAGATATTTTACGAGCCGATATTTCTAAATCAGGAATCAAGATTTATCAAACTCCGTGAAAAACCGTGACGTGATCACGCCTTGTAGAACTGGGCGCTTCTGCGAATAGAAAGGACATTGGTTCGATTTCATCGAGGCGCTTCAAGCGGCGACGACAAAGACTCAAAACAGTATTCCGGAAACCGGCTTCCAGCGGGCTTCTGAGTGGCAGACGCGCCGATCTAAGAGATCGATGCAGGAGGAATGTATTTTGAAGATTATTAAGTACTTGTAATGATAACTGTAATAAATTTTGATTTTTCAATCCCGATACTTATTGAAGGAACCCTGTATAAGCTCGTAACGATGTTAACTGCCCAAATTAAAAGGCCAATTGAGGGGTTTCCGGGAAAAACAACATTAGTTACTTTTTGTTGAAATTGAGTTGGCAACGCTGTTGTGTTCTACATGTTTCAATGCTGCTTTCTGATGTTTAAGTTTCCCGTCAAAAGCACATATCTCCGACTAAAATGCGTTTAAAGAATCGTCGGTTCCATAAGAACGACATTAGTCAACATAGGTTTCCCATAAAAACAACACTTGTCAATGACATGTGTTGTTTTTTCGAGAAACGTTATACAAAGTTAGGTTAGAAAAGTGTTTATTGTTGATTGATGGTTAAACGTGACGTGTGTCAAATTAATATTATTTTAATATCACAAATATGGAATATGAAACACAAAATCCAGCGATGGATACTGAAATACCAGAAAGAAGGAATCCAAAAACCAATAAAAGGAAATTGGACAAAATAGCCAGGGTTAAAGGTGAACCTTTTTTTAATAATAAGGGAATAGCCAAGCAAGCTAGAGTTACTGGGCCAGATTGCATGTTAGTTATGACTTTAGGAATATATTCTATAGCTTTGTTTAAATAATACATATTTTATAGATGTGCTCGATTAAAATGCTTTGAGAAGATTACAGAAGACAAAAGAAATACCACTTTAACCAAATTTAATATGCTGCAATCTAAAGATGCCCAGGACAGTCATCTTGCTGGTAATATAACATAATATGCTTTAATAGTAGGTACCTTATAATACATTTTTATAGGATTAATATCATTTGGCCCCCCACGGCAAAGATGTGCCACAGGATAATGAAAATCATGAAGTGGAAGATGCTGTGGATGAGCCTTTACTACAAAAACATCAACATCTAGCTTCTTATAAATGCAAAATAAGAGATGGGGTCAATGAAGTGCTGGCGTGTGCCAAAGCATTTTGTAGCATATACGGAAGTGTCAACAGTCTCATTATTCTCGCAGAGATAATCCAAATGTATACTACTTACCAGAAACTTTAAGTTGCAAAAAAATGTATAAAATGTTTTGTGAAGAAAATGCAGATATGCGAGTCACTTATAAAGTTTATTGGCAGGTTTTTACAGGGGATTTTAAGTTGAAGTTTGGTATTCCAAAAAGTGATACCTGTGGCATATGCGACAACTTAATGCAACAAATAAACCTCGAAACAGACAGAAAAAAAGCAAATTCAAAGACTGAAAAAAATCTACATTTATGTAAAGCCGAAAAGTTTTATCAGCTAAGGAAGCATTACCGAAATTTAGCTATGCAAAATCCTGACGATTATTGTTGCATATCTTTCGATTTTATGCAGAACTTACCAGTTCCCCATATTCGCACAAATGAAGTTTTTTACGCCATTCAGATGTGGTACTATGTTTTTGGAATACATAATGCAACAATGTACTGTTATGACGAAACTGTTGCGAAAAAAAGCACAAAATGATGTCGCTTCTCTACTTTTTCAGTTTTTAAAAAGCCATGAAGTTACCACAAAAAAATTAATATTGCTCAGCGATGGGTGTGCTGGGCAAAATAAAAAATATGTTCTCATGCGTTTTTTGTATGTGTTAGTTCACTGTTTGCAGATGTTCGAAAGTATTATTCACATATTTCCAGTTAGAGGACATTCTTTTTTATCAAATGACAGAGACTTTTCTATCATTGAGAAACACAAGAAACCTTCAGAATGGGACAAGATTATACAGGAAGGACGAGAAAAACCATCCCCATATGAACTTGTTAACGTAAACTCAAACATGATATTTGATTTATCAAGCAATATTTCTCCATACTTTCTAAAAAACCCAAACCCACTGGTAAAAATTAAAACAGCAAGAATGCTTAAGTATGACAGAAATGAACCAGGATATGTACTTGCAAGACAAAGTTATTCTGGAGAGTGGGAACGTAGTTACATACGAAATAACAAATCCTTACCAGGAGAACTTCGTCTGACGCAAAACTACAATGAATCAGTTCCACTAACACAATCCAAAATTGAGCATCTATTAAATTTATCAAAGTATATTAAAAAACCTGAACATATAATGTTTTATAAAAGGTTGTTAAATACTCATAAACAAGATACTGGAGACAATGATGCAGAAATAGACAATGACGACAACAGCAGTGGAAATACTGACATAGAATAGAAATATTGTTATGCAGTTAGAATACTTTTGAAGAATATGTTTTTTTCCTGAAATACTTTTAGAATACTTTTGAAGAATATGTTGTTTTTGACAGAACACGGCAACGAAAATGATAACTTGGTCTCACTCGTCGTTATTCGAGTACCGTGAGCCTTTTAAATCACCGATATCAAAAAGTACTGGTGTGCGATATGATAGGGATTCAAAAATAACGATAATCTCAACGTGAGTCTGTAGGCCCTATTAAGTGAGACTGAACCAAGCAAGCAGCAAAACATTTACCAAAATAAACTTAAACCCATTAACATGATTCTTTTTCCAAACTGACGTTGTAGCTTGGACAAGTGTCCGACGTCCTTTCCCCTGCATCTGTCACCTGCTCTTAGTTGGTGGCACATTGTACTCTCTGTCCGGGTCCGTGCATCTCGTCGTCTTCGTCGTACGCGTTCTTCTGGGCACGTCGCCTCTCCTGCTCCGGGTCAAACTCCACCAGCGTGACCTCCTCGGCACTGTCCGGAATGATGCACTCAGTGCGCGGAGGCAGAGCGTTCTCTAGTGGTGGGATCGATTCTGGAGGGAGGGTCTTAGGGAAGTTCACCCAGAACTGAACGATCATTCGGCCTTTTTCGAACGGATTCTTGTACTGGGGCATTCCTGCAACAAAAAATGGCGTTAAAAAAGTTGACCATGTACTTTTAGGTACACAAACCGTTTGAACAAGGGGGTAACAACCTTACATTAACATATTCACTACTGACGGCGCGATCCGTGCCGCACCGCCAGTATCCCAATGTGCGCATGGCACGGACCCGTGCCGAGTCGCATCGAACATTTCCCTTTCAGTGAAAATCCATAAAATTTTTACGACACGGAACTGTTCAGCACATATATAAGAATTTCTCACAATATGCGCATGGCGCGGCTCCGATCCACTTCATCTAAATAAAAAAAAATATAGTTGTTCTCCTAAGTAGATTCCGAGTTCATTTTGATAACAAAAAAATGTTAGCTCACGGGAAAATTTTCAAAATACATGGTAGCACCGAATGTGTTAATAGAAACCTCATGAAAATGGGGATCGGATAGTCGAAAAATATACATTTAATTTTTTTTGCGGAAAAGTACGTTTCGCGTTTCTGACCACCCTGTATTGACATTCAAAAAATTCATTCATTCAATGGATGAATCAGCCTAAATTTGAGTATAGTAAAATTTTTAGTTATACTCATTTTCCGACCGCAGTGCTGTCGCAAAATATAACATTAAGTCAGAATGTGTTGATTTTATCACCATCGGCAGAAATCAAAGATATAATAAGGTAATTGTAAAATAAATTAAAACACTAAGTCGCATCAAAATTAAAATAAATAATTCTAATCAAAATGAAAACAAAATATAAAATTGAATGATCAAACAGACCTGACAGTAACCAAACCTAAGACGGATATATGAAATTCCTGTAGTTTTACGGTTACCCACAAAAACGATGGAAAGACCTACAGTAACGGACAAAAAGTGTGCTAATTTTTTTTTCTTTATCATTAAGGACTTTTTTTTCATATAGTTTGCTTACAGTCTTGAGGATACAAATGACAATTTGTATTTGCTGTAGTGCTACAGACTAGCATTAAAATACCTTCATATTATTTTATGACCATTCCAGAACTAGAAAAACAGCTCCAAACCAGGATGTTGCCTCCACCGTGCTAAACGGTTAGCAACTGATACTTTTTGTCTAATCTTTTTCGTATTGGACGTCTCACATATGCCGTACCGTCAGATCCAAACAAGTTAGATTTACCTTCATCACTCCATAAAACTTGTATTCCACTGTTGTTCTGACCAAGTTAGATGAGTTTTAGCAAATTCAAGCCGAGCAATACGTTTTTTTTTTTTAAAATTAGAGGCTTTTGCACTGGACGCCTAACAAAAAGCCCAAAATACACCAAGCGTCTCTGCACTGTTCTGACAGAAATATTCTCGGCACCCTCCACGATTCTGTTGAAAATCTATGTGGCTGGCATTCGGGGATCTTTATGGGACAAACGTTTAATGTAGCGATCCAAAACATAATCGGTTTTTTTCAGTCTTCCGCACCTGGCCCGCGTTGCTGTTGATCTGTATTCTTGATATTTACAAATAATTTTCGAAATCGTCCGTTTGTTCATTTTTAATCCACATTTGTCCGCATTTCTGACACCACTTTTAAATAATTCAATTACTTTGTCTCTTAAATCTTGTGAAAATTATTTTACTTTTGCCATTCTCATTGATGTTAATATTTACCGCACGCAATATCAGAGTATCGCAGAACGAATGAATACGGCAAAACTGAAATGTTTCCATACTTTTGTCGTTACAAAACTGTGGTATTTAAAAAAAGCGTTTTTATTTTCAGAGCATTTAAATATTGATAAGATAAACCTTGTATTAGTACGAAAGACAAAGGTAGACTTTAATATTTATATTATCACTGTTCCTTCACAATTTTAATTTAGGTATATGAAATAGTTCATAATAATGTTAATATTTGTTTACAAACTTTTGTCCGCTACTGTATAAAAGCGGCGATCGAGTACTGGTAAGTTTCCATACGACGTAAATGAAGATTTAAACAGGGCTAAGACTGTGAACTAAACCAGCAGACTTACCCTCGTTGAGTATACACTTGACATCCCCGTGCTTGACCACCTCGCCGGGTAGCGCCGTAATGACCAGATCCCTGTCGTCCAGCGTCCTAATGACTTTCTGGAACCCGCACAAAGCCTCGACCAGCTGAATCTCCATGCGCAAGATCAGATCGTTGCCCGATCGCTTGTATACCGGGTGCTCCTTCTCGTCCAGCACGATGATGATGTCACCGGGTTCCAGATCTGGCTCCTGGTCGCCCTCTCCGTTGAAGATGATCTTCTGACCGTCCGTCATGCCTTTGTCTACGTGCACTTCCAGGATCTTGCGATCGCGGACCACCTGTAACAAGTTTAACAAATTGCTGAAATCATTAAAGATTAAGCACTCTCCCACTCGCTTCCCTACAGGTTTTAGCTGTTAAAAAATGTCAAAAAAAATATAAACTCAACTTTGTAGTTAAAAATACGTTGACAAGATGAAAACTAAAATGTGTCAGTTCACATATTTTTTCAGAGACATTCATATTCACAATATTTACTTCCGTATTGCTGTTTCCCATCCCCGTGAGGTCATTTTCATTTTTGGTCTCGCCGTACTAAGTCGCTTGTTCTAGCGTGTTTGTTAACGTGTACTGTGAATAAAATTCCCTTTCAGCGACTCGTCCACCGAACAAGTTGCGTATCCACAATGACGGAAGAAACTGACACAGTGGTTATGAATTGTCCAGTGAAAAGACAAATTTAAAAGGGAAAAATAACTATGGAAAGTGTTCTATTTCCTTTCTGACATTTTCTGAAGTCTGCTTTGACCTTTATCAAGTAAGCTTGTGTATGCATCTATTTTCCGCTAAATAGTGCGTTTCTAGGTTCTTCATTACATTAAATGTTTGATCAAAAACTTTTTTAAAATGAGATTGATGGACGACGGCGAGATTTCAGAATTTTATTTATTAAGTGTATATAATAATGACAATGTCCGATATAACTATCCCTATTATATAACAAAACATTTCACTTTACTTGAATATCATAGGAAACACCTAAACAAATGACAAATGGGATCATTAGTTTTGAGACATGAATCTCCAATGGGAGTTTTTAGTCCATAAGTCTCTTACCTTTTTTCCTTGGCACTGCTTGCAACGATCTTTTGGATTGATACGTTCACCTTGGCCGCGACATTCAGGGCAAACAGTCTGTATTTGTTGTAACATTCCTAGAATAAATAGTTAATATCAAAAGAAAGACAACACTAGAAAGGACTTCAGAAAATTTAAAATGGAATATTATTAAAAGAAATTTAAGGATCTGTGGAGATTAGTCAAAAAGGAAATTAAAACCTCCTATGCAGCTTTCGTCCAAAATACTGAACACTCCATCCATTCAGACCCGGGCATTTGTGAGAAATAAGAATAGGACCACCAGAATCTCGGGAGTGATGAAAATTGATGAAAAGTCATGATATAGTAAAAGGTTTTACCGAGTACTTTGCTAGTGTTTTTAAGCAGTCTAATGCAAGTGACTTTGACAACTTACATCTTACAGATTTTTCCAACTGCATTATATCTTTCAATTAAATTTCTGAGTATGACGTAATAAAAGCATCTACAAAGTTGCGTAATAAACTACCACCTGGAATTGATCTGGTTCCCAGCTTTATTGTCAAAGACACGTGCTAGTGAAACCACTTTCCATCATTTTCAATATGATCTAGAATACAAATACATAACCAAACATCTAGAAAGTAACTAAAATTTGCCCAATTCTTAAATCTGGCGACGCCAGCATAATCGAAAATTATTGTGCCATATCAAACATATGCAATTTTGGCTAACTGTTTGAAATTATATTGTTTTCTACTCTATATATGCCTCTTAGAAGCGCTATTGTAACAACCCAACTTGGATTCATGACAAATCGGTCAACTGTCACTAACTTGGCTTCCGTTACACAATTTGTTTCCGAGGTATTGGATTCTAAAGGGCAGGTCGCCGTCCTATATACAGTACCGAGCAAAAGTAGAGAAACAAACCACATTACAATTAAAAATCCAGAAAGATTTACTCTAACCCAAAACTGTACACTAAAGTTTTTTAAGTATGACTACCTCAGGATAATGAAATGCTTATCTTTGTATACATTCTTTTTTTTTAATATAATATGATCGGTTTTTTGTTCAACGAGCAAAAGCAGAGAAACATTTTGTAAATATTTAGTTTATATTTAGTCGTTGATTAGAATAGGTGTTATTTTTTAGTGTATTTGGTAAGGTGTAGTTCAAAAACATGGCCAGAGGAATTACAATGAATTTGCAAATAAAAGAATTGATTACAGGCGTCCCTCGTTTTACGCGGCATATTTATACGCGGTTTCGCTTATACGCGTTTGCGCTTTTGACACCAGTGATTTATTTTACGCGGTTCACTTATACGCGGTTGCTCCCCGCCTTTCAGCGTGGTTTCAACGTGCAATCGGGCATGACCTGATTAGTAGGGAATATCCTGGGCAACTTTTAAAAATCATTGAAGAAGAAGGTTTTAAACCTGAGCAGGTTTTTAACGCGGACGAAACTGGCTTGTTTTGGAAAAAGATGCCAAACCGTACATTTTTATCAAAAGAGGAGAAGACCGCACAGGGCTTTAAAGTAGCAAAGGATCGTCTCAAACTTTTGCTTTGTTCAAATGCTTCTGGAGATTGTATGATTAAGCCTTTATTAGTGTACAAGTCATTGAATCGCCGTGCTTTAAAAAACAAAGATAAAAATAATTTGCCTGTGTTTTGGCGTGCCAATGGTCATGTATGGGTAACGGGAGACATTTTCTTAGACTGGTCTGAGAACTGTATTATACCAGATGTTAAACGTTATTTAACGTCAAAAAATTTTGAATTCAAGGTGTTATTACTCATAGATAATGCCCCTGATCACCCAGCCGGCCGTTTACAGGAAATAAATCCCAATGTTCGAGTAGAATTTCTTCCACCAAACACCACATCAATTCTACAGCCTCTTGATCAGGGAATCATTGCCATCTACAAAGCTTATTACACGCGACGCACGTTTAAATTGCTGTTAGAAAACTTGGAACGCGACCCTACAAAAACATTAAGCCAATGCTGGAAGGATTACACAATTGCAGATTGCCTACATAATATTAAAGAATCGATTGTTGAACTTCGAAAATCGACATTAAATGGCTGCTGGAAAAACTTATGGCCAGAAATTGTGAAGTCTCATGCGAAGGTGCCTGATCTCAGAGACGAAATCAAAGAAACTGCTGATTTAGGAAAGTCATTACCTGGAGAGGGATTAGATGATATGAATGAGGACGATATAAATCAGCTATTTGAATCGCATAATGTTGAACTCACTGAAAGAGAACTGATAGAACTGACGGAGAACAATTATGAAGCTCAAGAAAAAGGTGAAGATGATGAAGTAGTCCCGGCACCAAAGGAGTTGACGAAGAAAACGCTTAATAAATGTTTTACCATAGCGCACGATCTCACCGAGCTGTTAATCAGGGAAGATCCTACAATGGAAGTTTAAAAACTAAACGAGAGGTTTTTGCAGCATTGGCACCATACAAGGAAGTTGAGAAGAATTTACGCAACCAAGCTAAACAATCAAAAATTACGTCTTATTTTTCTAAAAATTAATATTTTTGTTAAAAAATTAACGTTTAATGTTCTCATACATAATATGTACAAACATACCTATGTATATTATGTATTTACCAAAAGTTTATGTAATAAAATGTTTTTGTTTCGATATACGCGATTTCTTTTTACGCGGTGTTTTCAAAGAACGTTACCCCCGCGTAAAACGAGGGACGCCTGTATATTAAAATATCGATCAGGCATTAAACAAGTAACCATAGCCAAACGGTAATCGGTAATTTGCAAAACTATTAAGCTGTTCCGCCTTAGAAAATCGTTGGTAAGCCCTCCTAAGACTGGTAGACCGCGAAAAATCACACCTAGGATTGACAGGAAAATTAAAACACTTGCTCTCAAAAATCCATTTACTACTGCTATCGACATAAAAGTTCAACTTGAAGAAGTAAATATTGGTGTCCACACTGTTTGAAGACATTTAAGGGAGAGTGATATACCAGCAAGGAGACCATCTAAAAAACCTTTTATTTTCAAAAAAATTCGGACCGCCGTCTTCAATTTGCTTACGATCATTTTAACTGGTCAGAAACAAGGTGGAATTCTGTATTATTTTCTGATGAAAGTAAATTTAATTTATTATTAATTGAAACCACGAGACCAAAATCTTAAATTACAGATTTATTAATAATGATTCAATAACTTACCAGGTCCTAGTTGTTGAACTTGAACTTGCATTCCAGTTCCTCTGCAGGTAGGGCACTGTTCAACAGCGCCTTTCTTGCCACCTCTACCTTCACATTTATCACAGATAACATTCTTCTGTAAAGCTAATTTCCTAACAGTACCCTTGTAGAGTTCCTCCAAAGTGATAGTCAGTTGATGGACCACATCTTTTCCTCTGCGCTCACGTCTTCTTGCTCTACCTACAAATGAATAATCATTATATAAAGTAAAGTTTATTTACGAAAAATAACAATAATATTGTAAACTGAACATAAAAGCATACACAGATTAGAATGGTAAATAAACAGGAAACCCACAGAAGCAAGCTTGTGTGTGGGATTGTACAAATTACAAAAACATTAATCAGGGCATGGACCTTTTTTAAAATTTCCAGTCTATTGCTAATATTAGTATAATAAAAGTCACGCATGTATTTCACTATAAAATAGTTCAAACACTTAAAAACAGTTCGACTGAAATCGGTTCTCAATATTGGTCATAAAATCGGTAAGGTTATCCATGATTAAAACAACCATATAAATCGATAAAGTCGTCTACAGTCGGTTAAGTTTACATTATTGAAAAAACTGGCATATTCATCTAATAACATACATATAATGTTATTAAAATTGGATATCGATGAAAATAGAGGAAGAGAGAAAAATTGATAAAAAGATGGATTACAACATTCCATATTTTTTATAAACTTAGCAGTTATAGTCAACCACTGCTCAAGTCTATCACTAGGTAACTCGGGGTGCTGCATACCAATATAATCAATCATACACTGCTGTGCAAAAGTCTTTGGACACTCAATTTTTTGTATGTAATAAGAATAATTTTATAATATTTTACCTAAGGAACTAAGATCACTAGCATACAATGAAATCAGTAATGCTGTGACAAAATTGCTCTTGTCGGCTGCTTTTTTCACCACTGACGAGTTCCTCAACCACAACTTCTCCATGGATACTCAATAGTTATATTTCAAGCTACACTTCCTTTTTTTTTGCTTCTTATTCGAACCATATTTATGTGCGTGTAATCTGTAGTGTTTGTTATTATATGTATAGTTTGTCATTTATTTTCTAAGTGCTTCTATTATATTGACTTGTGTAAGCACATTATGTGTAAAAGCACCAATAAACTATTATTATTAATAAAACCTTAGAAATATTTGTTTAAAAACTCTGAATATTGACGGAAGGACGTGATAGCAGCTTATGAAATACATAATCTGAACATGTTTTGACTACAGCAGTAGCACATCGTTTTAGACTTATATGCTTCAACGGTTAGGTTTACTGAGTTTGACAATATTAATACGAAATGTACTCGAAGCTAATGTTGATCGTTTTTTTTTAATCTGAGTATGTAACAGTGTGTAAGGAACATTTCCGCTGTTCCAGTAGCTTACGTGCACTAAAATCTGCATATTTCGGTGTTTTTTGTAAAAAAAAATTTTTTCACGAAGGTTATGTATGTTTCAGAGTAAGAAATGCCTTTTCACTCTTTTTTTTTTTTGTTTATACTCCAACTACCACGAAGGCCTAAGGCCTAAGCACCCATTGGGTACCGTGGGGCTATAGGGGGATACATGGGAAAAGGGGGGACGCCACACGGACTCTGGCGAGGGAACACGTGTGCATGCAACATGCACACATTCTGGCTCCGCCTACGAGAACCGCCGGGTGGTACCTCCGCGTTCGACAGTCAGAGACCATCTACTACCTACGGACAATCACAACATCCATAGCCAAGAGAAAAATTTCTCCTGGGACGGGACTCGAACCCGCACAGCGCACGGCGACTGATCAGGAGACCGAAGAGTCTACTACTGCGGCCACCGCTGCTGCCTAAAACAAACACACAACATCCATGGCGAAGGCGAGATTCGAACTCGCGGCCCGGCCGGCCGGCTGATCAGTAGCACGACACTCTGACCCACGCGGCCAACCGAGGTCCCTAAACTCATATCTTGATGGAGAAAAAAGAGCTGTCATTTATTCTTACCACTCTGATGGCCTTTCTTTGAGGGAAATATCAGCGAAAATCAAGATTCCCAAATCAACAGTGGCCTATACAATTCAACGGTATCGTGAAACTGGGTTCACAGTGGCACAGCGCGTAAAACAAAGCGAAATAGAAGACGAGCAACCCCGGAAATTACTGCTGAATATAATAACTGTCATAATGAAGAAATTTCTGTCGACACTGTAAAACGAAGCCGCGTTCAGTAGGCTTGTATGGTAGGATTGCTGTACGGAAACCACTTTTGCGGCCACAAAACAAGAAAAAGCGACTCCAGTGGCAAAGACACATACAAATTGGACTATTGACGACTTCAAAAAAGTTCTTTTGACGGATGAGTCGAAATTCGAGATTTACGGCAACAAGAGAAAGAGGTTCGGCGGATGAAAAAATGATGTGTGACTGCATAACACCAACAGTCAAACATGGAGGAGGTTCTGTCATGGTTTGGGGAGGGTTTTCATTCAATGGAGTCAGTCAGCTGTACAGAGTCAAAGGAATTTCGGAAAAAAAAAACAGTACCACAGCATTCTCGTTCATAAAGTTGTGCCAGCTGGAACGCAACTCATAGGCAAAGGCTTCGATTTCCAACAGGATAATGATCCTAAGCATACTTCGACACTTTGCCAAGATTATCTCAAGAAGAAAGAAGACGTTGGTACCCTGAAAATTATGACTTGGCTGCCTCAATCCCCTGACTTGAACCCCATCGAATTACAAGAGGTTGACTGTCAAGTAAGAAAACGCCTTCCAACATCGCAGGAAAACTTGTGGACAATTTTGAAAGAAAATCTTAACAACAGAATTCCTCGCATCGTGACAGCCGTACTGAAGGCAAAAGGCGGGTTTTTCGATGAAAAGAAGGTTTGATGTCTTTACTAAGCGTCGCATGTAACTGCTATACAGGGTTTGTCCGGAAAGTAATAGGACTTTTTCTTCCGCCATGACTGTACTTCGGAGCGTGCGCGCACCGACTGGATTCGGTAGAGGGCGTTCCTAGCTAACGAATGAGCGGCTGGTCAGTTGTCTCCGAGCACTTGGAGAGTCAAGACAGACATTTTTCGCGCGTCGTGTTTCTGTGAGTGGTGCAAGCCGGAAATGCAGCGTTCGATAGAGCAGAGCTACGCGATTAAATTCTGTGTGAAACTCGGTAAATCTGCGACAGAGAAGTTTGTTATGATCAAGCAGGCTCACCCAGGTGTTGCTTTAGCAAGAAGTGGTGTGTTTCGGTGGCACCAGGCCTTTTTGGAGGGCCGGGAAGAGGTCGCTGATGAAGACTGTGCTGGAAGACCTTCGACTTCGACAAACACCGATAATGTGACTCGTGTGCGCAAAGTTTTGAACTCAGACCGTCGACTAAGTATTCATTTAATTGCCCAGATGTTAAATTTACCAAAATCTGTGGTTCATGACATTGTGACACAGCATTTGAACATGCGCAAGGTGTGCGCGAAGATGGTCCTAAAAGTGCTCACTGACGACCAGAAATTGCGGCGAGTGGAAGTGTGCCAAGAAAATTTGAACATGTGTGAAAGCGACCCCAATTTTTGAATAACGTAATCACAGGTGACGAGTCGTGGATCTTTATGATCCCGACACAAAGAGGCAATCTTCCGAGTGGCACACGACGGCGTCTCCTCGCTCAAAAAAGTTAAGAATGAGCAAATCCAAAGTGAAAACGATGCTCATTGTCTTTTTTGACATCAAAGGCATCGTCCACTATGAATTTATTCCTCCTGGACAAACCGTCAACGCCAAGTTTTACGTGGAAGTGCTCAGGAGACTCAAACGAAGGGTCAGTCGGGTCCGACAAGACATCGCAGCCGACGGGAAGTTGCACCACGACAACACCCCGGCTCACACCGCCTTTCTTGTGAACAGCTACCTGACCAAGGCCGGCATCCCAACGCTTGCGCAGCCGCCCTACAGCCCAGATGTGGCCCCCCGTACTTTTTTTTATTTCCTCGCCTGAAAAGGCCGATGAAAGGCAAACATTTTGAGACGACAGAGGGGATCCAAGCAGCATGCACCACGGCTCTCAAGACTATTCCGGAGAATGCCTTCCGTGACGCCTTCAATGCTTGGAAATCGCGCTGGCAGCGCTGCATCGACGCAGAAGGAGCCTAAATTGAAAGTTTTTAAAGAATTGTAACGATTGGCTCAATAAATTTTTTTAAATCGACTCAGTCCTATTACTTTCCGGACAAACCCTGTATTGGTGTTAAATGTGTGTCTTCTATAGTAAACAAGTTCAAAACTGGGTTTTTGGGAAATATTCAAAAGCTTAAAAAAAATATGGCGATAAAAACTAAATAATTTGGTGTCCAAAGACTTTTGCATGGCAGTGTAGTTCTAGAGGTTGAAAATGAATTATTTGAAACTATCTGTGGGCCCCAACATCCTGTCAGCAGATTTGGAATATATCACCCAAATTACCCATGAAATGGATTTTTGGAGAAAGCATAGATATGCAAGGAATATTTGGAAGAACATAGAACTGTAGAATGTGTGAAGCATGGGGCCAAATTTAATGTAGGAAATGGATTGCTTGGTGTCCTTGTGGGTAAGAGCATCAAACTCACATCAGATTCTGCATATATGATGCGGATTTACACAGGGAACGAGTTTTTGTAGGTATCAAAGCTAAATAGGTGTTTTTACAAATATTCTCATAGGAAACCTAAAAATAAACTTTCAAGGGATAGGTTTCTATTTACATCTGTTGTTAAGAGCAAATGAAACTTGTTACATTCACGTAATTTGGAGCTTTGAATTCAAATATGATCATCAAATAAAAATAAAAAAAATTACTTATTGGTGTGGGACCCCCTGTAGAATGTTTTGTCAAATTGACATCAGACTCGAAAAATATGTACCTAACTTCCCATGGCAGACAAGTTTTATAGGTACTGCAGAAACATAAGTAAATCCCTTTTTTAGAAACCTAATGTACTATAGGATAGTATGGCAAAATGCCATTTACATCAGCTGTTGTTACAAGTAAAAAAATTTGGTATACCTAAGTAGTTTGGGTTGCTGAATTCAAATATGACTTTCCAAAAATGTTGGCGTTTTGTGGGAATGGATTTGTGGTAGAAAATGGGACATTTGTGGTGCAGTTGTCAAATAAGCTGATGTCATATTTAGAATTCACACAACCAATTTGGCTAGAAAACAAATTTTCATCTATATTTATTATTTAGAATAATAATCCTACCAATAATTTAATCTACCCTTATTGAAGAGGTAAATTAATATATCTACTCTTGATTTATTTTATATTTATAAAATATGTATATAAAAACAAAAAAGCCTACTTAAAGCAACCTTTAATAACCTGACCCAAGAAAAGGATTGATGAATCAACTGTATCAATGCTATTATTCTTACCTCCCCCAAATCCTCCACTGAAGATCATATCAAACAAATCCATAGGACTAGAGAAGCCTCCACCAACACCTCCCTCCTTCAAGGCTTGTTCACCACCTTGGTCATAGATTCGTTTCTTCTCAGGATCTGACAAAACCTCATATGCTTGAGATATCTGCTTGAATTTCTCTCCTTCATTTGGGTTCTTGTCTGGATGATATTTAAGGGCCAACTTTCTATATGCCTTTTTGAGGTCATCTTGGCTACAGCCTGGCTTTACACCTAAGATATCGTAGAATTTTGTTTCTTTCACCATCTCCAATGTTTAGTTCTGAAAGACATAACCATAATACACTTTCAGCAAAATGTAGCTTAAAGTATAGTCTTTTTCACGAGTTTCCGTTATGGTGGAATGACAGCTGATTGTCTAGTAATATCTCAAAACTCAAAACTCCAAAAATGGGCACAGAACAAATAATTCTGATGGATCCATCAATGCCAGGTAGTCAGAGCTGTATTTTGCTTTTTTGTACACTACAGTTTCATTTTGTACTTGCTAACAGCTCTTTTATTTAGAAAAGTTCATTTGCATTCAATACACAAAACACCAAAACAGGTTTTACTAGGTTTATAAACTATTCATGATTTCCAACATTGCAGACTAACACAAAAATGTCACTTGCTGATCAGCTGTTCACCTCAGTAGATGTCAAAGCATGATGGATACTCATGAAATAGGGTATAGTGTGTAGTTTGAACCAACATTATCAATAAGATGCAATCTTTGAAACAAACAATAAACAAATAGCTCTCAAAGAAAATGAAATATCAGATATAATATAAATAAGTAATTCAAAAAACAAAACAGCCAATGCAGAATGTGGCTTAATGTTACTAGTCCTAAAGATCTTTGGAGTTTTGGAATACAACAACCAAAGGTTATTTGAATGACCCAAAGATTGTGATAAAAAATGAACTTAAAGCTTTCATTGTATCAGCCCTATGATGGAAAATGTGACTATGAGAAACAAATTTGACTACTAGTGAAAATGAATGCTCTGGGGTATTAATAGTATAAGATATGGTTATTGATTTATTTCAACTGTGACTCGAATTTCGCATGATATACGGAAATAGTAGTTAATGAAACATCACATCTGATAATATAATAACGTTTAATTTTTTTCTATCGAACGGGAGTGGGAATGGTGTCCAATTCCGAAAATCTCAAAACATTCCTTATGCTTATCCATGGCAAAGGTTAAATCATAATCAATTATAAGGACTTGAATATGGCCATGTGAGGCTTAGGGCAGCCTGGTACCTCGAATATGATGAAACAAGATGCCTTGTGATACCTTACCTCAGAAATAAGTGAATACTTCTGGAACGTGGTACACTACGAACGTTAAAATCGCCTCTTCGAAGTGCGATGTCACCACAGATACGAGCTCAATGAAACTGCTAAATCGATGGCAAATGTGAACTATAGCAAAATGGAAAAATTTCTAGAAGATTCGACGGAGTTCTCGTGCACAAACTACAACCACTGTTGAACAGACAGAGATCGATAAATTGAAAAAAGGATAGCTGGTAGACTCACTAAACTCTAGAATGCTCTACTGCAGATCATGCGCATTTTGATTTGAATTTGTGTATAAATATTTTTCACAGGAAAAGTTGTCATATGTGACGACTCCAAAAGGTCTAATTTTGCATTAGCAACATTGTGTGTTTGCGCAAGCTACACAAGCACAGAGCAAAAACGCACCGCAACCTACAAATTGTCACTTTATACGTCAACGTCATACATACCGTCATTAGGGCATAGATGGCACCATATGGTTGACCACTTTCTTTTCTCATTCTTTATCTTCAACAAACATGACCAATTTAGTCAATGTCAAACGCTGAAAATGTACTCAATTTATAAAGAATACGAACAAATTACATAAGAACTCAGAAAAGTTTTTCTGAGATTGTGACTGACTGTGATTAATTTCCATTTGTCATCCATCTCCATCGCTAAACGTGACGACGTCAGTTTCTTGTCATTTTGACAGTACTTGACAAGAGAAAAATCCAATCAAAACATTTTTCATTTGAAAAATTATAAATAGAAACAGATAATCGTGGATTGCAAAAAATTATAATTCCATTCAATAATATATGAATCATTTCACTAAGCTACTGAGGTCATTTACAAGGAGGTTAAGTATGGATATGGAAACTAGTGAGGATTATTTATACTATTCTCAAGAAAAACTACTGAGCCTCATGGATTTGAAAAAAGATAAAAATTTAGGTATCCAAGAATACCTTAAGAATGTGAAATACGCACCCATTGAAGACTTTAAAACGGGTAGGAATACAAAATATGTGTTACCTCTAGACAAGTTCACAGTGATTTTTCAATGTAATGAACTGATATAGTAAAATGTTAATGATATAAAATGATTTATACCAATATATAATATATGATGTATATCCAATTTACTTGTATAGTTTCTTCATTCACTATTATGAACCATTTATATTATAGTGACATGAGATTGTAGTAAGTGGTTATGTGAGAATAACATAGCACCCTTTTTGGTTGGTCTAGTTACTTACCTTTAACATATTAACTTTCATATTCAACAAAATCAATGCATTATCATTGAAGACTTAAGTACAAAAACCTGCTAAGTCCCACTTTTCTAACCTGATTTATACACCTGTTTGAGCAGTTTTAATTTCTGCACCATCCGGTGGTAGAAACAAAGCTGCTGTATACAAAATCACAGTATGCTATAGACAAATTCTTCTCTAGTCATTGCACTAGTGTATAAGCACTTTTTACTTCCACCTGAAAAATGCATTCTGATGGGTTCTTGAGTCTCGGAGTTTTCAAATGATCTTTTCTTTATCTATGTTTGATTTTATTATGCTACCTGTTATTTATTCTCCCACTTTCAACTTCTAGATCTTATTTTATGAAGTATATATGTTTCAGTTATGTAGTGAATCATTTTTTCATCTAATGTCATTTTTTAAATGACTGATTAAATGAAAAATATCAATGCATATTCTAAGATTTAGCTTTAACTGAAACTTAGCTAAATTATGTTTGAGGAAGAATTAAAACACACATTGTTGTTAAAAAACCATTGCTAATACTTAGAAGCATATATGATATTACTATGGTAACCTTGTGCGGAATTAAGTCTGTTACTAATATTTCACCATGGTTTGCAGGTCTGGAGTGGTTCAATGTTACAAAGCCCCTTTCATTCAAGGAACATTTGAAAGGCAAAGTGGTAGTGTTGGATTTCTTCACATATTGTTGTATCAACTGTATGCATATCATACCTGATCTGAGAGAGATAGAAAATACTTATTCTATTGAAGATGGCTTGGCTGTGGTATGTGGATTTTGTATCTTCTAATTAGATAAGTTGATTGTTACTGAGAATAAAATCAAGGGCAGATCTATAAAATATCCATATGAAAAAAGTGCTGGAGGGAGAAGCCCAGGATTTTCATTTTCAGGAGGATGTCCATCTGAAAATTCAAGAGCCAGAGAGACGTCACAAATTCAAATACTCACAATTTTTTAAAACTGATATTTCGGGGGTTGTCTGGACCCCCTGGATCCGCGACAGAATAAAATGTATCAGTAGATTTTTTTTACCTTAGAACTATCAAGAAGACTAACTGCTTACTGCGCATCATTTTTACGTTACGCACGCAAAATATTATCATTGTTTTACAGAATCCTACAACCCTTTTTTACCCATATTAGGCGTGTTCTGAACATTTTCTGGAGGTATAGAAGCGCCTAAAAATGATATTTGAGCCATTGTTTTTAGTTTTGTAATCAAATCCCTTTGGTAAATTTGTTTAAAAAAGGTATGAGGCTTGTTCGTCTTGCTATAATAATGTGTTGTCAAAATTTCATCAATACCTGAGCAGTTCTTTGGAGTTATGAGAGGGTCAAGAATTATATCAGTTTTTCGGTGATTACATCGCCGCCACAGGATCGATTTTCAAAACCTGCAAATTATTTGTAGGTTATAACATAGTGATAACTTTTTCAAAATTTCTTCAAAATATGCTTCCTGAGTTATAGAGGTGTCAACAAATCCTGAACAGACAAGGACGACAGCCAGACCGACTTGTGGAAATAATTGATATGTTTTTTCTTTTACCAAACATCAAGAAAACATAATACCTCAATTTTGATTAATATTACAATACTTCTTCGTCCATTGCCATGGACAGGAAAAGCAATGTGATGGCAATGAAGCATTACTCTTCAAGACAAATATCAGCTTCCATAGGCTAATTCTTTTGTTTAGGTGGGTGTACACAGTGCGAAATTCGAAAACGAAAAGAACTCCTCAAACATCCTAGCTGCAGTACAGCGATACAACATTGGACACCCAGTGGTGAACGACCATAACAGCACCATGTGGCGCAATTGCGATGTGCAATGTTGGCCTACTATGGTGTTATTGGGACCTAACGCCAATCCGATCCTCATGTTGACGGGCGAAGGACACAAGGAGGATTTGCTGTTGATTGTCAAGAATGCATTGGAGTTTTATAAGCAACAAGGAATGATCTCCAACCATAAATTGCCCGTTCAGACTGCATACCACTTGCTTCCTGACCTCAAAGGGCCCCTGTTATTCCCAGGTAATTTTTATACATGAGGTGATATAAAGTCCTACCAATAGCTTCGTAACACTTGGGTGTCTTTTACTAGTACATTTAACATACAGGATACAGCCCCCTCTCTTATAGAGGTATAAAGGACTTTGTTTACTATTCGCCGGAAGCGAAGTGTGTGTGCGTGTGTGTGGACTCAACTGAGGCCTGGTAAAGCCCCACAAATTCTGCTGTTATAATTTGTCAGATCAAAACAAAATAGTTAGATTGACATTCAAATTGTCCCTAATAAATGTCTGTTATTACCATTAATATCGGCATGCCCAAATATTTCAGGCTGACATGCGCTAGGTGGCGCTGTCATCGTGCCCCAGCGCATGCTGTATCATACTAGAATATCATGAATGAGCTTAACCTTATTGAAGCCATGTGGACTTGAGGTCAGTCATAGACGTAGACGGCATCCCAAATACCTGTACACTATATGGAGGAGAATGATCGCATCATGTTAGGGTTTTAAATTTTCACCAAAATATATTGTTTCCAGATTTCTGGCTAAGTTATGTAAAAAGCATGTGGCACGGATGGAAAAAGCATAGCAATGTTTAATCCTCAAATGATTTTTAGGGAAAATTACAAATGTAGTCGACGAAAATAACCACGAAATTCTGGCGGTATCAGATACCGGCAACAGTCGAATCTTGATCATGAAGCCAGATGGAACTATTTTGAAGCAAATCGGAGGAAACAGATTGGGATTTAAAGATGGCACCTGTGAGGAAGCAGAGTTCAACAATCCGCAAGGGCTGGCATTCCAGAATAAAGACGTACTCTTTGTGGCCGATACGGAGAATCATGCTATCAGGAGGATCAATTTCAAGAAAAATATAGTTGAAACCGTGGCAGGTATGGCTCTACTAATTCTCTACTATAATCTCAACTAGTTGCAGACATCATTAAGCTTTTGCCAAAGCTCATCATTACGACCTATGTCTATTTAGGGTGGAGGTTAAAAGTAGCGGAACGGTCTGTGCGGCCAATGCTACACATCGACAATTCTTCAACGAGTGCATATAATAAATGATAGAAAGTGGACGTGCTTCTATGTACTAGTATTTCGGCGTGCAGAAAATTATCTGACATTAAGTGAGAAGTTATCTTCGAGAATGCTATAGTTTAATTACTGAATCAAAGCAGTTACGTCACAACTTCAAATAATGACAGTGACGCACATGGTTGCCGCATTAATTAAAACTTCTAGATCCTAGGACGTTTTACAAAATCTATAGTACTTTATGTCTTCGTTGCCTTACCGCAACGAACATTACGGAGCATATGTTTTGTAAACACTAGAGCTAGTATAAATCCTATTGACTACCTAATACCTCTCTTACGGGCTGTAAAGGCAATAATGGAGCTCCATGATCTCGTTCGGTCTCAAAATATTTCGTCAAAGAAATGACGAATTTTTTTGCTTGTCGACCCAGAGCAAAATGCTTAAAAGGACACCTCAAAGTTTTGAAAAAACTGTTTTTATAAAATAACAATGCAAATATTGAGGCAATAATGGAAATATACCACAAATAAACAACAGCCGTTGGCGTAATTACCTGACAAGCTTTGCGACAATGTCACAACACAGTAAACTGTTACCAACATAAATACCCGGAAAATTCAAACTATACGTACCAGTTTAGGATCAATTTTGCATTAAGGTTGGCATTCAAATTTACTAAATATGAAGTAACTGTTTTGTTTCAGTGAATAAACTTGTATGTTTCTTCTCTCCACAATAATAGTCTAATCATATTAGACGAAAATACCCCTGGTTTGCGAAATAATTGTTAAGTCTGGTTTTATTCATGCATGTTGTTCAAAGGGTATTTAAAACATAGAGGCATAAAATGGGTACACCAATTTTTATGAGAACACTTTTTATTCGACAACAAAGAATATGAAAACGTGTTTTTTGGGATTCGATCGAAAGTGTTGGTAGGAACGAACAACTCTTCCAATAAGATTTTTAGGTATTTATGAGACCCACAGAATCAGACCACATGTAAAAAGTTCGACCAATAGTTAAAAAGTTATGGCCGAAAACTGAGGCAAGATGCAGGTTTTAGCACTTGTTGGTAATGCGACGATAGTTTCACGCAGATAATTGACATTCTTCAAATTCGTAGGCTTCATACTTCTAAATAACGACAACAAAATTGGAGTCTATTGGTCAAGTAGTTTTTGAGAATTTCTAATTGCTTATGCCGTTCGTTTTTCGCATAAAAATAACGATTATCTTTCGGAATGGTTTTTGATTCATGTCGGCTAGTAAACTCGTGTATTTCGCTATAAAATTCGCTTTGAATGAATCCTGAACAGGTATATTGCTTAGCAGTGATGGCCGGAAGACAGGTGTTTTGGGAAAAACAATTAGGAATTCTCAAAAACTATTTTACCAATCGACTCCAATTTTGTTATGGTTATTTAGAAATAAGAAGCCGTCGGATTTGAAAAATTTCAAGTAGCTGCGTGAAATTATTAGCGCATGAGCAACAAGAGCCATAATCTGCTTTTTGCCTCGGTTTTCGGCCATAACTTTTTTACTATTAGTCGGACCTCTTTATGTGTGGTCTTATTCTGTAGGTCTCATAAATACCTAAAACTCTTATTTGAAGAGTTTTTTGTTCCTGACAACACTTTGGATCGAATCCCAAAAAACACGTTTTCTCATTCTTTGTTGTCGAATAAAATAATATATACAATTATTTCGGGGGAAATTTGCTAATATGATTAAGCTATAATTAGACATCTACTAAAAGGTTATAGTGACACATATATGGCGATGTAGCATGAGCATATACGAATCATGGATGTGATAAATTCTCATAGATAACTCCAAGATATCTCATTCCGTCTCGGATAATTATTTGGGCGCTGAAATACAGCACATGATTGTTTACCTACGGGTAGAATACGTTAATCAATGCTTTCGGGGAACTATGTTCCTTAACAATGATGGAAAAGTGGTTTATGTCCATCAGTCTCATCCCTTAAGACCATTCTAAGTTCTTGATAAAGCGTTTATTGATGCGAAAAACCTAGGTACATATTATTTCCCGAAAACGGATGCATTCACAAATTAATTGGATAAACGTTTAAAAAGGTGTCGCTTTGAAGATTTGGCCCCATTTCTGGTTGTACCACCTCTAACTTGTCTAGATCACCTGATGTAATTATACTGATCAATCTTGGGTAAAGCTTGTGCTAACTTTATTTTATTTCCAGGTACCGGTGAACAAGGTCATGACTATGAAGGCGGGAAACTGTGGACCAAACAGGAGATATCGTCTCCATGGGACGTTTGTATTTACAGAACTCCTGATATGGATATGACTTTCCATCCTGATGGAAATCCTCCTTTGAAGGATGTATTGATCATAGCCATGGCTGGTATACATCAAATATGGGCGTTGTTTCTGGAAGATACCGTCTGGTGGAAATGCAAGTTGCAACCGGCAGGAACTTGCGTCAGGATCGCAGGATCCGGGAGGTAATATGAAAAACGCTAATTTCTAGCAGATTTTGATAAAAGCTGCCTTTTGTCAATGGGTTTATTTATAGACAAATATTGTGTTATGGGATCTGGGTTAGATGGTCAGATATAGTAAAATACCCTGTACTACAGAAGACCAATTATTGTTCAAATGAGTGACTAGAATAATCAATAGAAATAGAAAGTGGGCGTGACAGCTTTCAGCAAAATAATACACTTCAAGGTTATCAAAAGAATGTCCCGGGAAATGACTTTTCTACCAAAGAAGCGTTGTAAAATATGGAAAACCGTTTTGTAGGCAGATATCAGTGCATTAATCCGTTAATATCTATCAAGTTTTTGAATCGTCTTCAAAGTTCTATTTATCAATATGTTTATCAATCGATTAATTTGTTTAAGGGAGGAGAACAGAAACAACAACTACCCCCATGCGGCAGCTTTTGCTCAGCCATCTGGTTTAGCATTGAGCTTAAAGAACCGGGAAGTTTATATTGCAGATAGTGAGAGTTCCAGCATACGAAGGTTGTCATTGGTAGATGGAAAAGTGACGCCTGTTGTGGGAGGAGACAAGAATCCAAATGTAAGTAATTCGATACCGATACTGTGAATTCTTCATAATAGTAGTCAAGAGCGTTTGTACGACGTAATTGTGTCGGATTATCGTTAGAAAAATGGATGGACAACCAAATTTTAGCGAATAATGGATTATCGTTGATTTTTATCCGAAATATGATAGCAACTATAGCTGTTTGTGCTAGTTGCAGCACAAGAACGATATTCAAAATGTATGTCATAATGTTGTATAAAAGGCATAGACCTTTACGATCCAATAACTCGGCTCAGGTCAGACCAGTTTTTTAGGATGATTTAAACTATCATTCCTCGTGATTAGTTTCTCATTAATTTTTTTTGCATGTATTATTTTTTGTTACAGAACTTGTTTGCCTTTGGAGACAAAGATGGTGCCATCTATGAAGCTAAACTTCAACATGTATTAGGCGTTGCACTTAGTAGAGATGAGCAGCATTTATTTGTCGCCGATACGTACAATCACAAGGTATCCGCAATACTTTTTTTTCGCCGTTTTTGGCGGGTGGCCGTTTGATTGCATAAGCTCACGGACATACGTTTTTCAGTTTCCTCGTCAGCACCTCGAGATTGTTTTGGCCAATGTATGAATATTTCTCATCTGTCAGTGTGACAACCCGTGTCATTGTCTTGGGCGCGCAATATGAGGTTTTGTTGATATTCGTAATATAAAACAGCAATTCCTGAAGATACAAATAATGGTCAATCAATGCAATTAGTCGATCTGCTCATTTATTTATTACTAGTATTAAATAATAAATCCCAGTTGAGTACAAGTACTATAGACCCAAAAACACAATACTTGATAGTGTTTAGACAAATGCAATATACAAGTGGAGAATGGTAACACCTCTGGGGGAGACACACAGAATAGGAAAACAATATGTTACCCACTGTAGTGTCTATCATATCATAATTGTTTTTGAAACTGTTCACGGTTGTTGAGTCCAGTACATCAAATGGAAGACTGTTCCATGGGTCGAAAATTCGGTTAAATACGAGTGCGCCATCTTTTATGTCGGTATTGAAACATCGAATGACTTTGATATTTACCAACCCAGTGATTTGGTTATACGTGTTTCTGAAACGTCAATTTACTACAATTGTAGACATGAATCGCTTTACACCGAAACAATGCGTACATGGAAAATCGACGTTCAGTTGTGTTAACGCAACGTGCATATCGTCGAAAATATCGTGTCAAACAGTCTGACAACACTATCCATCGTTTGGTTTCGAATTTTCTTGAGTACGTGGCAGTGAGAGAACGTCAACATACCGTTTATCAACGACCACGACGTTCCAATGATTTTTTTGAAGCGGTCAGACAGCGTTGCTCAGGACCCAAAAGTGTCGTATCGTCACCGCGCTCAGCATTTTGGCATCCGTGGAACCACATTGCGGCGCATTTTGAAGTATGATTTGCATTTGTTTCCTTATAAGGTGCAGTGAACATAAAACATATTGCCAACTGACCGTCCACGTCGCTTGGAATACGCCCAAACAGTCGCTCGCATGGTTGATGCTGAACCTTATTTTTGGAAGCAAATTGACCGACGAGGCTCATTTCATGCTCTCTGGCGGCGTTAATAAGCAAAACTGCCGCATTTGGGAGACGGAAAATCCACATGAGATCCACGAAATGCGGTTGCATGACCGGAAAGTGACTGTTTGGGCCGGCGTTTGCGCCAAAACCATCATTGGGCCAGTTTCTGCAACGAAAATTCCCTGGACGTCTGATGTCAAAAAGAGGTGATATTGACTGGCCACCCATGTCTTCAGATTTGACCCCACCGGACTTCTTCTTGTGGGGTTATTTGAAAAGTCAAGTGTACGCCAGCAAGCCCCGGACCACTGAAGAACTCAAGGCAAACATTCGTACCGCAATTGCCGCTATGCCACCAGAGATGCTCGAAAAAGTAATGGAAAACGCAGCAAAACGGGCACATTTTGTTTTGGCCAATAAAGGTGGCCACTTGATAGATGTTGTGTTCAAAAACTAGTCCCAATAAATTGTATTGACCATATTTAATAAAAATACACGATATATAGAAATCAGTTTTTCGTTTTCAAAGTTATTTCATGTTTACACACCGACATAAAAGATGGCGCACCCTCTAGACAACATTCTAAAATATTGCTTCTGCAACTTGAAGATTATTGCTTCTGAGGTTATTCGATGACAGCAAACAAATTATGTAGTGACCGAAAAGTGATGATCAGATCCCCGCAGTCTTCCGTCGTTAAAAGACAGACATCATAAGAGCTCAAGATGGTCTTCATAAGTTGGTGTACGTCTGCCATATGACATACATGTTGCACGACAATGAACGACGTCCAACAAGTCCCTAGCTCGAACGTGCCAGGGAGCCATCAAACTCTAACAGGGTTCGAACGAAGATTCTATATAGGAAGGAACAGGAACTATCAGTGCAACTGCAGAAGGATCTTTCCATCATCTACAGCAGCCGCTTGTCCTTTCATGTGATGTTCTGACTGTGTTCTGACCAGGTCAGGAAGTCGATAACTATCGGCCTCGGCTTTGGGCAATAACTGTTTTGCTATTAGTCGGATCTTTTTACGTGTAATCTCATTCTGTAGGTCTCATAAATACCTAAACATCTTATTTGAAGAGCTTTTTACGTTCCTGACAACACTTTCGATTGAATCCCAAAAAACACGTTTTCTCGTTCTTTGTTGTCGAATAAAAAGTTTTCGCACAAAAATTGGAGTACCCATTTTATGCGTCCATGTTTTAAATACCCCCTTGAACAACTTGCATCAATAAAACCAGACTTTACAATTATTTCAGGGAAATTTGATAATATGATTAGACTAATAGGAGGAACACATTGAAGAATGCTGGTCATGTAACCGCCAAAAACCGTGAAAAGACCTATATAGCAGTATTATTTGTTCTAGAAAAAATAAATCTGAGTGCCCATTTGGGTCAATTTAAATGTTAGGTTCAAAACATTGAATAAAGTCTTGATTGTTATATTTTTGATGTTTAGGTGAAACGTGTTGACGTAACGAAAAATACAGTAACTTCACTGCCTACCCCTCCAACAACGCGATCGAATGACACAACAGATGGTGCTATAGCATTCAAAGAACCCGCTGGACTTTGCGTCAGTGCTGACAACAAACGGGTGTATGTGGCCGACACCAACAATCATGTGATCAAAACTCTTTATTTAGATAGTAAGCTGAACGTCAATAAGGTGGAGAAGATGCATCTTAAAAAACAGGTATGTATTTGAATCTTACAATCGATTCACCTTCTCCTTAGCACCTCCTCGGTGAACAATTAGATGTGTTTATATTGTATTTAGGGATCTGGTCAATGTTTGGCTTAAACCGATGTTCGACGTTCACCACAACTTTTCGCCAAAACCAAATGTTTGGTTATTCAACAATGTAGTTTGTATCCTTGTGTTACAGCAATAAAGTGGTTGACTGACGATCGTCTGTGACATTACTTATACTTCTTTTAAGTGTTGATCTCGGTTTTAATGGAATATTGCGTCAAATATATTAATATTCGATAAAAAGTGATGATCATTGGTTGATTATGCGTTCCTAAGTGATACAAAGTTAATCAAACTGGAGCAACATTTTACATTTACACGTATGTATGCATATCAGGAAGGGCCACATAAAAATGTTACAATTAAAATATATTTTTGGAACAAAGCCGAAAATTTCTGAAATCGTCGCTCAAAAAACAACATTATTTCGAATAGGACTTCATAAACAGCTACACATTTACAGAACGACTTATGAAACACCCAGTGACCCAGTTCTTTGAAATGTTCTTAATAAGTCACGTTGAATGGAAAAAATTGATCGACGATTATGAAATGAATTCTTAACAAGCACTAATAGTTGTGCAAAGCCAACAAATAGTAACCTAACTTCGTTTGTACCTCAAAATCAAAATTGAGGCCAGTAAACAGTAAATTATATCCGCTGCTGATAAACCTGCTGTCAGATGTCAAAAATAAATTTAACTCAATACCTCAAGTGTTTAATCAAAAATTTGTAAAAACTGTAAAACATATTTAGATGGATAAACAGTATCCGTACTATGGATATGACCGAATAGGAAATTTAGGAGTTATGGAATTGCCCACTATACTGACAACATGATAACCATGTCAGGGCACGAGCTGACCATCGACGGGATTGGTCGGTATCTCATTACCCCTTACTGCACTGCTAACAACGTGTTTAACAACGATTAGCGTGTTCTACCTGGAAATAGTCAACGTAATACAATATTCGAGTATGCAAAAAATCATCTTAAATGAAATGAGATACCGTAGCAGCATCTATGCGGATTTGTCATAGCCACGTTTCTCCACTCCCCAATAATTAGAAATCTACTTTGAAAAGTGTAGTTGTCTCGTAGATGGCACTGTAGCTATATGCTCATATACAGTTGGATGCAGTGACATCTATGAGACACTAACATTTTCAAAGTAAATCTCTAATTATTGCGGAGATGAGAATGTAACAAATTCTCATATATAATATATATATTCCATGCCCGATTATAGTATTACGTTGGCTATCTTCCAGCTAGAATACGTTAATCAATGCCATAACACTCGCTAACGGAGAGGTGGTTCATCGCAGTGCGCAGCTCAATGATAATAGTTCTAACGCGATTATAAGTATAGTGATTGAGCGTAGACATAGTCAGATTATTTACGGAGAGTGTTTTTCACAAAAAGCCGGGACATTTCTTCTAAGGGTTATGATTATAAAAATAGCTCGCTATAAAATATATTGACTCCCTTTATAAAAGCTAGTTTGCACGCACATGCAAAATCTCCGCACACCGCGGAGGTCTAACGTAATATAGCGGTGAGTCATTACCAATAATTTCGGTCTTGTAGTAAACTAGATTTTCTATCTTCATATGTTTGTCGTGCTGGGTTGAACATCTGACAAAATATTACTATGGTAGTGGTACCAGCTGGTAGCCAACAGATATTTTAGAGTTCCTGATCGGTTGCAACAAAGAAGAACGGGCCTCGGCCATATCCGTATATAGAAACGTTCCTTAGCACCTTCATAAAAAGTGTTTCAATTGTTCCTAAAGTCGCTGTTAAGTTTATGCGCAGTTTATTCCCTCAGGACCAGCGGCGGCTCGTGGTCTATGATACAGGGGGTTCACAAGTGGTATGAAATAATTTTTTTGCCACCACCGAAATTTTTTTCTTATGCGTGACGTAGAAGGCAATTAGAGTACTAAAACAAGCATCACCATATTTCTGAAATCGGGTCGCCGGTAAATTAATTCCAATTCAGTCTGGAGGCGAACTTTATTCAAAAACGAATATGATTCTACTACAGTTTCCAAATATTGCAACAGAAAATGCTTTTCAAATTGTGGAAATTTATCAGAAGAAAAAAGAATAGCTGCATTTAAATGTTTTGTAAAAGAAAATCTATCTGTTACGTATGTAATTATGGTATCACAAACTTCCTTGGCTTCTACAGTTCTGCAAATATGCTGGTCTTCATTTGCACGACGCTTTTTAGTTTGAATAGTAGTGGTATCTTCAGAAATTTCAGTTTCAATTGTTTCCAAGCAGTCTCTCTCTTTTCAGTCACTGTTTTTTTTTTAACTGATTATATAAAATATCAACATGTGGCAATATTCGATGAAATGCAGTAAGCCAGAACACAAACTTAGAATCTTGTAGCATACGGCCAATACCAGTATGTATACTGTATTTATAGATCCGATTTAAAATTCCATCTTGTAACAGAAGACCTAGGAACTCTTGCACCAACAATTTCATCCAAAACTGCAACTCGTTGTGGAGAATGAGAAAAAAAGTTGAAATACCACTTAAATTTGAAAAAAGTACCCGTACTTGATTTTGGCTTGTAGCTTTGGATAAAATCAAATTTAGCTGGTGGGCATAACAATGAACGATATAAGCATAAATATAATCATGTTGAATAAGGGCTTGAACACCTCCATGACGTCCACTCATTACACTAGCGCCATCATAACTTGGAGGTATCAGTTTCTCTGGTAACACTTGTATTAAATTAGTTTTCACACATTCTGAGAGAGTAAGGGGGTAACAAAATTCCAAAAACGTTCAACTGGCCTTCCATCTGGTAGAATGTACCTAAATACTGTAGTCATTTGATAACAATTAGCTGTTGTTTCGTCAGCCATACAGCCATAACAGCAACAAATTCAGCTTCCAAAATTTCTTTTCTTATATTTTCCTGAGCCACTTGTAACATGCAATCTAACAATTCGTTTTGAATGATTTTTGATACCCCTTTTAATACTGTAGATTTTTCAAAATGATCTTTAAGTGCTATATCTAATTCGGCAGTGAAATTTATTAAACCTCTAAAAACACCAGGATTTGATGAACCATTTCTTTCGCCGTGACCGCGGAGGGTTAATTCAAAAGCTCCGCAAAATTTTATGCAATCAATAATTTTTGAAAGCACATACCTATTCTTTCTAACTTGTTCATTTTGCTGTTGAATATGCACTATCCAACTGCTGCCGTATATCTACTTTTCCCAAAAGCTGCATTTAGAGTTGCGCATTGATATGGACTTGAGTGTTTTCATGTTTCTTAACTTTTTGTGCTAAATGTCCAAGTCGGCTATTCCATTTTTGTCCAGGCAGGCTCTGCAACCCCGCGACGAAACAACAAACAGAAAAAACAAAACAAGCGCTTTGTTGTGCTGCATCCATAAATCCAGTTATTCTTTTCATATATTTCCATTTTAAACTTTCTAATAAAGGCTCTAGATTTATCCTTTGTGGTCTGAGTTAAGTTAATTTCTGGTTTAGGTCTTCCCGCATTTGTTATTTCAATTTTTTGCTCCAAACTCAATGAACTGAAGTTATGTTTCAAATATTCCACAGTGAAACCATTCATTTTAACTCAATATCTTATTAAAATACTGCTACAAACATAAAAATTCGAAGACACCTCCAATTACTGCATAAAATGCACGCGCAATGGCGCACTCCAGAAGTATGCGCCTTCTCCAACTAAAATTGTGATAACTCCGCTGTACCCCGCAACCAGAACAGTAGGGTGAGAAACACACTAATCCCGGGTACATGATCGCATATGCGACTATTTGCCGTCACCCGTCGACGGCAGTCGGACCGGCAGTGGAGAGCTACTAGATCGGTTTGATGTTATACGATTAAATATCAGGAGGCTTCGACTTTATTTGAGAAATTATTAAATGGATATTATATATATTATTTATTTTGGGGGCGCACGTGCTCATGTGCTCCTACAGTGGAACCGCCACTGCTCAGGACGCGATAACTTCTTACGAGTTCAGCTCCTTCGAAATCTTTGGCTTTTTTGTCCGAATGTGTGGTCGAAAATGTATTTTTTTAGCCGATTGTGGCCGAAGCTTCCTTTGATCACGTGACTAACTTTAAAGCAAAATTCTGATTCTTATAAGCATTCCGCGATCTTTGAAAGCAAAACTAGTATTCCATAAAATATTTTCTTTTATTAATATTCTGTGCTCTTTCTGGATGATTGTATTTAATATATTTAGAGACTTTTTCCGTTAAACTAGAATTTTGAAAACTGGAGAATGCGATTTGAGGTTCGATCTGGAATTGGTAATCAAAAAGATATTTGTTTCAGGGTCAAGAAACAGATGGCCCCCATTTGAAAAAAATCGGCTACGAAGTTCTAACCAGAAAACCGATCAAAATAAGCAAAGACGGTGGCAAAATAATCATATCAGTCAAAATCAACCTAGGCAGGAACGTAAAACTCACCGATGATACTCCACAATCATGGGCTGTGGACTTACCAGACTTCACTTGGTCTGCTGTTCCAAAAAGTGGTAGCGAACTGGACGACATTGATGTTGTCATCAGTGTACCGCCGCATACGAATGGTGGTACTAACGATGTTGATTTCGTGTTTGATCTAGTCATCTGTGGAGCTGATACGTGTATCCCGAGAAAGTTCTTGATGCGAGTACCTGTCGAGTACTCTGAAAAAGGCAGTATTCATGTCTCGGAGACAATCGGGGCGGAAGTTGGACAGGGAAGAATCAAGATGTTGTGAAATATTTGTATGGGATGTGAAGGAATCATCATAATGAGCGTCTTATTCTAAATAAGTTATCTCTCAGAGATTGCTATCAAAAATACGTTTTCACTTCAGGTAACATTAGGACAAAGAAGCTATCTGACTATTTTAATGTTTTTATTTTCGTATTATGCAGCATTTCTTTTTATTTGGTACAAATCTCGCACTCAGCTTCATGCTAATTTGTCAATGACATATACTTGAAACTACAGAATATACAGGGTGGCCCATCCATGTGTGGACGGAATATTACTCATACACAAATACATTTTGGAAAAATCTATTTATGGCATGTTATATATGACATTTGAGGGCACATTTCTAAAATATTGGCAATTATACAGGGTGTCCCAATTTTTACCTACATATCAAAGTTGTGATTTTTTAAATGGAATGCCTCAAATTTTTATGCATATTTGGATAAACCAATTCAAAAGAAGAGATTTAAGATACTATGGGGTTTTGGTAATTAGCTACTGAGATGTAAGATGTTTTGACCAGAAAAAGCGTCCACTTCGGCAATCCCCAATCCGCCATTTTGTATAACAAAACTTACATACTTCAGCTTTTATCTTATTTGATAGTTTTTCGAATTTTCATTTTTGCTCATACGCAAATTGTACTTATTTTCTCAAAAATTTCAAATGCATCACCCTGTATATTTGTGCAAGTTTAGATCCAATTTTTTATAAGCTTTTTTTTGTATAAGGTTGATTCAGATAAAATCACTGGATTTTGGGTTATTAAGCTTTTAATAGAACAACACACCAAAATTAAGGCAAAAAATAGCATCATCCATGGAAACAAAAGACAAACAATGGGCTAGTTCCATATTGCCACTAAGAGTACAGATTTGACGTAAAAACTAATAACAATCAGAACAGTATAAATTAGCTTCAAGCGTAATAGAGAAAAACAACTATAGCAACATCATAAACAAACAACTATCACTACTCAAGACCTAATCTACAAAAACTGCTCGAAAATATCTCCACCGTGTTGAATACACAGCCGTAGTCTGTGGATAAATGACCGTTGCACATCCCTCAGCATGTGTTCCCTTATGTTCAGAAAAGCATCCTTAATCCTTTCCTTCATATTTTCCAGGGTAGATGGTGGATATCTATAAACCTCTTGCTGGTGATCTAGGAGGCCAAGATATAGGCCCATCACGACCGATCCAACGATTTGTTACTCTAGGTGTCCAAATAGTTACGCACACGATTATAATGCGCAGGTGCGCCGTCATGTTGGAAGTACATATGCATCCGAGTTTGCAGGTTGACATCCTCCAAAAGCAAATGTTCGATCAAATTCAAGTATTCTGTACCTGTTAATCTGTTTTCGAAAAAGAAAGGCCCGATAACTTGTCTGCCAATGAGCCAAGTGAATAAAATGTAGTGAATGCTTGTACTAGGGCATTTATAAGTGAATACCTAGGATCGGGTGAATAAAATATCAAGTAAATACTTAAGATCAAGCATTTACTCCTCTTTGTAGTAAGTACCTAGCTTATGTAGTAAAACCTCAGTTTTTCCGAGCATTTACTTAAAATTGAGTGAATAATCGGTAGGTAAATACTTATGTTGTTAGTAAATGCTCAATAATTTTTAAGGTAAGTGAATAGTGTACTTACGGTTGAAGATGGCAGATTCCATGCATTTACGAGCGGGTAAAACATATCGAAAAAGACGGAATATTAGCCCTAGTCAGTCAAAATGTTTGTTAAGGTTTGATTCAGAACGTGTAGACTTCTTGTGTTCCGAGTTTCTGCCAGAAAATAATGAACGCAGAGGCGGAGCACTCTCTGCAAGAACAAAAATGGAGATATTTCTACGCTATCTAGGCGATCCAGGCTTTCAGAGCGGAGTAGCAGAAGACTATGAGATTCACCGCACTACAGCTTGCAAAACGGTAAGTTTGGTTCTTAATAAAGTGTGTCAGAAGGCAGATCACTCGATTACATTTCCAACAACTGTCAGTGAACTGAATGATGCGAAAGTTAAATGGCAATCACGTTTCACAATTCCTACTGTGATCGGGGCGTTGGACTGCACTCACGTAAAAATAAAAAGACCAGGAAGATTTGTGGACGAGTACGTAAATCGCAAAGGCTATACAAGTATAAATGTACAAACTACTTGTGATGCTAGCGAAAAGTTTACAAGTATAGATGCACAGTGGTCAGGAAGTGTACACGACGGCAGGATTTGGAGGCGAAGTATAGTAAATGAGGTCTTATCACAGTTTAAGGGATCATTTTGTCTCCTTGGCGATTCTGGATATGGAATATCACCATGGCTTTTAACTCCATTTAAACCTGCAATAAACAGACAACAGGAAAGGTTTAACCTATTACATTCTCGAGAAAGGGTGACAATAGAAAGACTATTCGGACAACTGAAAATGCGCTTTCCTATACTCGGCAATACTGTCAGAGTATCAAGTGAGAAGGTACCGAAAATAATATTGTGTTGCGCAGTACTGCATAATGTAGCAAAATATTTGAACGATGACTTTAACCTAGAAGAAGCCTTTGAAGATGAACCTTTGGACGAAGTAATGTATGAAGACGAGGAAGATGATGACAGAAACCCTTTGCGGCGTCTAGGAGTACGAAAACGCGAGGATATAATTGCAGTTTTGAATTTATAACATTTCTGTAGTTTTCTGAATTAAATATACTTTTTATATGGAAACGTTTATTTATGAGAACTGAATACAAACAAAAATATCATTTGTCAAATAGTAAATATTGCCCGAGCTCTGTTAAACTGTTCTGGTCGGAAACTGGCTCTTCTACATTTCCATGTTTCAATAATAAGCTTGTCTTTTTCCTGTTGCAGCCTCGCTGCTGCCAACTGTTGTAATAGTACAAGGCGTTGCAACTCAGGAGTTGTAAGTTGAGAGGTTTCCTCTGTTTCACCCTCCAGAACACGTTTTCGTCGTTTTACCACATCAACTTCCTTACGTGGCGCACTTCTAGTCCCGACATCTGACAGAGAGGGCGCATTTCGGATTCCTACAAGCGATGCTTCTGATGAGTTGTCCACTGTTACTCCGGCTGAAACGCCTCCAGGAACTTTAGAAAAAACAGGATTCTCTTCAATCTGTACGATTTCCAGAAATTCACTTTCAATGGTTTATTGCAGTTTATTACAGTTGTGCTATGGTGACTACTTTGCCAATGCCTTTACTGTACTCATCTTTTATTTCATTCCAGGCTTTTTCTTTCGCTGCCACCATCTTCGGCAACATAGATTTATTTAATACCACTCGGTGGTTTTTTAATAAATACACAAAACGCATCTTACTTTGGGTATTACTCGCCTCAACTTTACAGATTTCATTTTTATCTGTACTACTTTCTTCTTCGCTACTTGACATGATAGCACGACTGATAATTAGTAATTTTGTGTACACAGAGCATGTGTCGTGTTTACATTTTTTGCCGCCATTAGGAATCCGTAGCACTGGGGCGCGTTCACATTTACGCCCAAGGCGCGCACCGGATATATATTTTGTGTTCCATGTCAGCATACGCGCATTGTGATTGGCTTAAAATCGCCCCAGGCTAAGAAGTCTCCCAACACTCCGTAAATGTGAACATAGCCTTGGCGTAGCGAAGCAAATACTTAAATTGTAACTTTTATAAGTAAATACTTTGTAGTAATTACTTCAACTTTTCCAGCAAATACTACTTAGTAAAAGCAAATGATTATTCTCTCCAAATTAAGTATTTACTTTTACTTGGCAGACGTTACTTTACTAAAAAGTAAATACTTCCTAGTATTTACTACATTTTATTCACTTGGCTCATAACTCCTCCCCAAACATTCAAGCTTCATTTATTTTGGAAATCTATTTGCCTAACGCAGTAAGGGTTTTCCGTAGCATAATAGTGCATGTTATGCCTGTTGACAACACCTATGCTGTTAAAAGTTGCCTCATCGCTAAAAAGAACCTTATCGAGGAAAGTATAGTGTCTTCACTCACTTTATTTAACATTATTCTACTAAACTCCATTCGAGCTGCGAAATCCTGAGGACGAAGGCCTTGATGCAAGCATAGGTGATAGAGATGGTGCCTATGCTTGTGAATAATCCTTTGAACATAAGTTCTGCATCTATCAGTTTCGGCTCGAATTTGCCGTGCACTTAAATGGGGATTTTCCTGCAACTTTAATAGAACCTCCAACTGATTCGCCTTATTGGTGATACTTGGATTGTTTTTAGATTTTTTACTATATTCCACTGCTCCACTTGATTCAAAACGTTCTCGTCGTGTGGAAAATATTTCCGGCCTTGGATGTCGCACATTAGGGTACCGTTGCTTATAAATGCGAGATGCAAGGAAACTATTTCTTTGGTCTTCGTCCAAAACGAACATCATATTCACCATTTCTTCTTTAGAAAAAGTCATTTTCAGACACGTTTTTATTATAATGCTTCCAAAGCTAATTTTGACAGTTTGTAACTAATTAACAATTTATTTGTTTCCAAGGATGATGCGATATCTTAGGGAATTAAGACGTCCCATAAAAGACGTGCTAATAACCGAAAAAATAGCCGTAAAAACCCTTATGTGTCTAGTATCAAAAAAACTACAATTTGCGTTTTTAACCACCCTGACTGAGCAAAAATTAAAATCCGAAAAAGTAACAAATAAGATAAAAGTTGAGGTGTATAAGTTTCTTTTTTATACAAAATTCAGCACTCCAAATTTCAATTGGGGGGTTTTTCTAGATAAAACACCTTATATCTCAGTAGCTAATTACCAAAACCCCATAGTATGTTATATCAATTTTCTTCTTTTGAATTGGTCATGTATAACATCCCATAAATAGATTTTCAAAAAATGTATTTGTTTATGAGTAATACTCCGTCCACACTTGGATGGGCCACCCTGTATATAGGTAAGAATTGGGTTGTGGTATTGGTTTAACAATACATAAAAGAGAAAATCAGCAAAACATTTAAATTCAGTGAATATTGACTTTTTTTGATAATGTATTTCATGGTAGCTCATAATGTAACATGTGATAGGTATTTTCAATTAATCAAGGGCTCCTCTATACCCTCTAATAATGTGCTCGTATGTTGATTATTTCTGTGACTTAATATTTATAGCCGTGCCATATGTGTATATGACAATTTCAATATTGTATGCGAAACTTGCTACGGAAACTTTATCACTATCTTATATATCAGGTGCCCACAATCCTAGTAACGTTGAACATGGTCAAAACATTTGTGGCAAACTAGCGCATTAGCGATACATTTTTCTAATATTTTCGATTCATTTTTAAAGGTTGTCTCAGTTGTATGAAATGAGTTTGGTCAGTTTTATATTATATCCGACTTGTAGTGATCATACTCAAGTGGTTAGCGATTAGATATTTTCGTTTTATCTATTGAACGTTTTTTGGTCATATTTTTTGCGTCGGTACCTTGATTTGTTTAATTTAAATATTACTATATAAAGGGCATTTCAATTAAGGGTGTAAGATAATCAATGCTTCTTATAAAACATGTACAGGTATATAGATGTCAATAATTTTTATAATAGTTTACCATATTATAATGCTTTCATTACTTTTTTAACAAAGCAGAATATTATTTTAAATAAATATTACATTTTTTGCATGTTCGTCTTTTATGCCTTTTTCCAAAAACTTGAAATGAAAAAATTGTGCGCGCAAATCATTCCGAAGCTCTTGACTCCAGAACAGAAAGCAAGGAGGCTTGCTTGCTGTGAGGATTGCTTGGAAGCAGAGGAAAGGGAGGACTTTCTCAACTGCGCCATCACTGGAGACGAGTCTTGGTGCTACGAATTGGATGTGAACCTGAAATCTCAAAGCATGGAGTGGAAGCAAGCAGGGGAACCGAGAACAAAAAAGTCGAAAAAATCAAGGTCCAATGAGAAAACAATGTTGATTGTTTTCTTTGATGCTCGGGGCACTGTTCACCAGGAATTTGTCCCTCCCGGCCAGGCAGGGAACGGAAATTCCTTCATTGAAGTTTTGCGTCGTCTTAGAGCTCGTGTGCCCCGTCTTCGAACGGGTTTGGCACGAGGGGGCAGGTGGACCCTTCATCACGACAACGCGCCTGCTCACACGTCTCTCGTTGTGCGTGAGTTTTTGGCCCGAAGCTCAATCACCGTGACAGAACACCCGCCTTATTTACCCGATTTAGCCCCTTGCAACTTCTTCCTGTTCCCAAAATGCAAAATGGTGCTTCGGGAGCGAGACTTGGGGCATGTGGAAGCAATCAAGGCAGAAACGACACGGCAAACGAAGACTTTCAGCGATCGTACCAACAGTGGAAACGGCGTTGGCAGAACTGCATCTTGTCTCAGGGGGAGTACTTTGAAGGAGACCATATTGAAATGCCTGAACAATTGCAAAATAAAGTTATTATTCCAGTTTTATACGTATTTTCCGGACAAACCTCGTATATGATGTGTTTCCAGTGAGACTAAAAAAAATACTGATAAATCCCTGTTCCGAAAGTCTTGGGATTCCCAGGGAATTTGAATGAGATTGAAGAACCAAGACTGCAAAAGCTTAACCAGGTTCTTTCGGGATCGAGTATAAACTTCTTAATGAAAATATGAATTCGAATTATGTTTAAAACTCCAATTCTTGTTCACCTTCTATCGCCTGCTGTGCGGGGGTCACTACTTACTTACTTACTGTTTGTTGTAACATGGGCGTCCGCAGAAATTTCTCATGGGGGTCGATCTTCGGGAAAGATACATTTCATGTCTAAGCATAAGGTTTCTTAATTGTAACATTAAAACTCAATTTGATCCGAAAATCCCGGGATTCCCAGTTCCTTTGGCAGTTTGTCCTAAAATTCTTGGTTCACTGTAATACCCGTTTTGCATCAACAATTTCTTCACAAACTTATTCAGCTGGATTTATTCAAGATCATCCTGATTATATTTTGCGGTGATTACATCAATGAACAAATTCATGGGGATTATCTGTCAGTACTCAGTGCTGCCAACCACACAGCAAGGTCTTGCTAGACACATTTTGAGTTTTTACATGTATTGCGGTTTTGATTTTGGGGCGAATCTCATAAACAGAAACCATAATGTTGAATACTGTAGTTGTCAAGTACTATACTTGAATTGACAAGTTATTCAATGTGATGGAAAGTTTTAATTTCGTGAAGAAATTCACGAAGATCTTCATGGATTTATTTGACGTCAAATTTCTGTTTTACACTTCTGAAATTCGGCCATGTTCATGGAGAAATCCGTGGATTTAGTGTCAATGTAAAATGGGTATGAGAGGTCCGGTGCTTCACTCTTCAAATTAGATCCTTCATAGAGACCTCGATATCCCTCACAGAAATTCGATGTAAAGTTTGAGAAAATCCATGACAGACTTTCTGAGATGTCTAGAGCTCTAGGTACACTAAGATCTGACTGTATTGAAAATACCAAAAAGATACAAAACCTCGAGCCCAAAGTTGATCACTTAGAGCAGTTGCAGAAACGAAGGTCCGTTAGAATACTAGGCTTGTCAGAAGCTGAAAATGAAAACCCTGTGGAGACTCTTATCGATTTTCTTGACGAGTATTTAAACGTTAGCTGTGAAAGTAGGGATGTTGATGCTGTATTCAGAGTTAAGGGCACGGAACGAAACTCTGGACCTCGTGTGTTGTTAGTAATATTTACTACGTTATTGCTAAAACAATCTGTGATGTCCGCTAACAAGGCTAAGCTGAAAGGCAGTAAAATTCTTGTCTATGAGGATCTATCCAAGGAGGCTTATCAGTTGCTACGCTTGGCGAAAGAGAAGTATGGTCCAAGGAATGTTTGGTCGTCATCTGGCAAAGTGTTTGTTAAGTGTGGTGACACCAAAAAGTGTATTTCCAGCCTTGATGATATTGTGTGACCCTTTTTTCGTTTACTTTTGTATCACTTTATGCCTTGTAACGCAGTTAAGCTTGGTTTATTATTATTTTTGGATTTTAATAATTTGTTATGAATTTATTGATATAACGGTGAATTGCTTTCATTTCGTGATCTTTATCGATGTGGAACATGAAATTCTAGTACCTTTCATTCTTTGCTCTCACAGTTTTGCTAAGAAATGTTTTTGTGTACTGGGTATTTTTTTTTTCTTTTTTTTTTTGTACATTTTTATGTAGATATTTTGTATTTTCTAGATATATTTCATTTCTGTAAATGGCGCCAGCAAGAGCTACATTTGTAATTTCTTATGTTTAATTCATTTCGTACATTCCCGATATTTCATACATTACACATATACAACTTTTTGAGAATATTCGGGGCTCACCATGATGAACACATTAACACGCCAATATCAGAAGGAAAATGTTTTTCGTTTGCTCATTTTAACGTTCGTTCTCTTTTTACAGGGTTTGACTCTTTTTCGGAATTCATATGTGCTTCCAACTATTCTGTGGTTGGACTTTCAGAAACATGGTTAGACCTATCTGTCGATGCTGACACTTTTAAACTGCCAGGCTACAATTTGGTGAGAAAGGATCGTGGTACTAGAGGTGGCGGGGTGGCGTTTTATATTAAAAATTGCTTATCATTTTCTGTAGTTGACTCATCAATCTCACCCGACTTGGAACAGTTGTGGATAAAACTAAAAATTAGTAATAAATCGGTTTGTTTTGGCACATTATATCGTCCTCCTAATTCTAATGTCAATAACTTTTTCAACGAGCTTGAAAATGCGATTACCTATGTCAAGTCAGAATTTGATGAAACACTTTTCGGTGGCGATCTTAATATTGACCTTAGTAAAGCCAGCAACATAGCCGCCCAACTTGTGGAATTTTTAGATGAATATGAACTGTCTCAGATTATAGATTCAAGCACTCGTCCAGCCAGTGGTAGTATACTAGACTTAATTGTTACTTCAAATGTTAACATAGTTACATCTCATTCTGTTATTAACATGGATGACATTTCCGATCATTCCTTAGTTGAATGTAATACGGTTTTCGTTGCTGATAGGTTCGTTCCTATTTTTAGAACATACCGTGACTTTTCTAAATTTGATTACGATTATTTTGTTCATGACCTACTGCAGATAAACTGGCAAGCAATTTATCATATGCAAAATATTGATGACATTATTTCATTTTGGGATATTAATATCTCTAACGTCTTTGATTGGCATGCTCCGTATAAAACTGCTAGAATCACTAAGAGACCAGCTCCTTGGTGGACAGATAACTTAAAATTGATGAAACAGCTTAAGAAAAAAGCTTTTTTAAGGTATAAGAGGTATAAGACTCAGGAGACGCTGCAATATTATAAGAATTTAAGAAATTTGCTCAACTTCTCAATACAGTCTGAAAAGAAAGCATTTTTACAGTCAAAATCAAAATTATCTTCTAAGGAATTTTGGAAAGCTATGGACTATCTCAATATCCGAAACAGTCACTCTGACATTAATGGTCTGCAGTACGACCCAGATGAACTTAACAACTTCTTCATTGATGGTGTTCCTTCCACTAGTATCTCATCGGGCGTTGACGCAAGTCAATATGTATCTGATCGTAATATTAACAATGAATTTTCATTCCGTTTGGTGAGTGATGAAGATATTGAGCGCGTATTAATGTCAATAAAATCTAATTCATCTGGTACTGACAAGATTGACCTCAAGATGATTCAACTAGTTTTTCCTTATCTAAGTAACATAATTACTTATATTGTTAATTTTTGCCTTGCTAACAACACTTTTCCGTCCAGCTGGAAATACTCTAGAGTTATTCCTATCCCAAAGATCGGTAATCCAAAAGAATTTTCTCATTTTCGCCCTATAAGTATTCTACCTACCTTTTCGAAAATATTGGAAAAAATCGTAGCTTTCCAACTAAAAACATTTATTACATCTAATAATATACTTCCTGTCACACAATCGGGCTTTCGCTCTGGCCATAGTACTACAACCGCACTTGCAACCGTTACAGATGACTTATTCAGAGCATGTGACAATAAGTTGTATAGTTGCTTGATTTTGCTCGATTTCAGTAAAGCTTTTGATACAATAGATCATTCAATCTTAAGTTTGAAACTTAAATCTCTGGGACTGGGAAGCAATATGGCTGTAGATTTCTTTATTAGCTACCTGTCAGGCAGATCTCAGTGCACAGAATTTAATGGGCACATATCTCAATTTCGTAGTATTACCAGAGGTGTGCCACAGGGTAGTATTTTAGGACCTTTGTTGTTTTCACTGTATACGTCAGATTTGAAAAGTCAGTTGGAATTTTGCAGTACACATCAATATGCAGATGATACACAATTGTATTACTCTTTTAAACTTGATGATGCTTATGTTGCCTGCATGCGTATCAATTCCGATCTTGAGTACTTATCTAGATATGTAAGAGCCCACAGCCTCGTATTAAATGAAAATAAAACTGAATTGCTTATTTTTGGATCAAGACCGTGTGAGGTTACTGACAATCAGAATTTTAGAATCTGCATTAATAACACTGTATTGCAAGCAAGCAACCAATGTAAAAATCTGGGATTATATATGGATAATACTCTTAAATTTGTTCCCCACGTTAAGCATCTCTTACAAAAAGCTTATGCTAAATTAAGGACTTTTTATCTTCACAAGAATGCTCTCTCTACTGAAGTCAGGCTGAATCTATGCGATTCGTTGATATTGTCTTCCTTGTCATATGCTGATATTGTATACTGGCCTGCTCTCACTACTAGAGACAAACGTTCTATTCAAAAAATTCAGAACTCATGCATCAAATTTTCGTACGGTTTGAAAAAATATGACCACTTCAGTGACGAATTTCGAGCCTCTGGCTGGTTCAACATGCATGAGCGCTTTTTGATACATCTTGCTTGCTTAACTTACAATATTAACAAAACCCAGCTGCCACTTTACCTATATACCAAACTTGTTAAGAGATCGGATCTTCATGATAGGGAAACTCGTTCTTGTAATCTCTATGATGTTCCGTTACATAGTACTGAACAGTTTAAAAACTCATTTACTTATGTTGCATCTACCATGTATAACTCATTGCCAGATGCAGTAAAAGATTCGATCTCACTTAGCAGCTTCCGAAATAGAGTCAAATCCCATGTGAAAAGAGCACAATAGTTAGTTTTATTTTTGTTGTATTAATTACACCCATCATTATTCGCTCATTATCATCTAATTGTTAGTATTGTATTATTTACGGGGGTTGCATGGAAGAGCAACTATGTTGAATGCCGCCTCCCTCATCAAATGAGTTTTTTCTTTGTTTGTTACAATTTATCTAAAAAATAAAGACATATTATTATTATTATTATTAATGCAATATTAAACACCAGGCGCGCGGTGACGTCTGGTCTAGCGGAACCTCGCAGTAGATTGGTATGCTTCACAATTGAGCTAGTTCGCAAGCATACAAGAGCGCTAGCACTACGTAATCTTACCACACAATAGTAAGATGAACTCAATTTAATTTTGTGTTAATATCAAACCCCCAGATCACTTCTCTAAATCAATTTAAAAAAGGTCTTATTGATTGTTTTGGCTGTCAATCACAACCCATTGGAATGTAAATATTTATTGAGTGGTTGTATAGAAGCAATTGGAGGTTAGAAAAAATTTGAATTTCAAGCATATGGTATTTTTCACGAGTATCCATTACATTTTGACGTCTGCTGAGGTGCACAGCTGATCACAAAAGCGACATCTTTGTATTAGTCTGTAACGTTGGCAATGATTAATTCCATGACATTATTATTCAGAGCGGTTGTTCACATAACTGGATTATACTATTAAGTAACAAAAATGTGACAATGGAATGTAGGAAGTACATATATAAAAATGTTAATTAGAACATTATTATAGTACATCTGGTATTTATTGATTACAATGCAAGTCAAAAGAGCAGACTGTCCTTTCCAGAAACTGTATTTTACCTGAAAAAATAATATAGACATGCTTTTCTGGTTTATTGTCCGTCATTAGTGTAACGTAATTCAAATACAGGTGAAGTATATGCAGAACCTATCATAAAAATGAATAATACAGTTGTACATTTTACTTAGATTTATCTAATTTCCAACTTGTTAGAATAACCCGAGTAAGGTTCAGACCTAATTCAGCGAATCGAACCGCTATCAGTTCGGTCATACATTCTGAATTAATTCTATGGCTGTTTCATTGCCCTTGAAGTCATACGGTGTTTCAAGTTCTAAAAAGTAGAGATGAACATAGTCAAAAACTGTTTATATTATTTCATTCCTATCTGACTTGAGTAGTCATGATCATTAGTAGCCGTTTTACTTCTAGCGTTTTTTTTTATATGCAAAGCAACTTTTCTAAATAAAACAATTGTTTGCCAGTACAAAATATGTAGCGTACAAAAAATCACAACAAAATACGGATCTGTCTACCTGGCGTTGACGGATCTCTCAGCATTAATTATGTCACTTGTTGATATGAGGAGTTTTGAAATATCACTAGATAATCAGGTGTTGTTCTACCATGATGATACTCGTGAAAACTACCGTACTCTCTCTTTTGCTACTAAACTAAATAATGTAATAGGTCCCTAAAATTTAAATAACTACGGATTAACACACAGATTTTGATCATAACTTCTGTTTTCATTAAGTTATAAATAACAGTTTCCTCAGGTGTTCTCCGCCGTAAGGCCTTACGCGAAATATCATACGATTTAGTTTAATAATAAAAGAGAAACCACAAAACATATATATGTATATATATTGAGAGGACATCTGCTTCAAATACAATTTTTATTCTAAGCTCAAACTTGTTTGACCAATAGTCGGTGTATTTATTTGCCTTCCGCTCTAGCGCCCGCGAAATATGCGACTTATAACTTTATGAAAACAGAAGTTATTATTCAGCTATTTTTTAACATCAAATTGCTTATTTCACCAATCAGGGTCGTTACATCCTACTTCACGAGTATCAATCACGCTTTGACGTCTACTGAGGTGAACAGCTGATCAGCAAGTGACATTTTTGTGTTACTCTGTGACGTTGGCAATAATTAATCGGAGGTGAATCTAGTAAAACTTTGTAGCGTTCTGTTTTTTTGTATGCAAATGAACCTTTCTAAATAAAAGAGTTGTTAGCAAGTAACAAATGAATCTGTAGCCTACAAAAAAGCAAAACAAAACACGGCTCTGACTACCTGACGTTGACGGATTTGTCAGAATTATGTGTCCTGTGCTCATATGGGGAATTTTGAGATTTTACTAGATGATGACCTGTCATTCTACCGTGATGGAAACTCGTGAAATAAGGTATAGTCGTATCTGTATAACTCTGACCTAAGATCACATACTTGAATCTCTCTAGCAAGAATGGAAGGTAGAAAATTGAAGAACAAGTTTTTATAAATTTTTATTTCATAAAAAACTGAACATTATGTACTAGTCATGTGAATATGAAATAAAATCACAGGACATTACATACAAATCTGATTTAATAACATGTAATGTATTTGGAAAAACATTTACTCACTAGCACACTCCATATCAAAAGGATCCTTTTTCTCGGACTCTTCAATTTCCAAAAATTTGTCAGGTATCTGTAGAGGATTGGTAGAAGGATTCTCAACCCACATCCCTGGAAGGGGGACAACCTCCACAGAACGAATGTATCTTTCAGCACTCTTATTTGGCACCCTGGTTGCTTTCATAAGCTGTGACAGGCACTGTTCTAACAAGGAACTAGTGAATCCATCTGCTGGATCTGGTTCACGTCCTTGAAGTGCCTGTGCTAGCCAATGGTAGCATTTCTTAATCTTTGGATCCATAGGTTCAGAGTCATTTGTTTCGAATATACTAAGGTACTTTATGACCCTATACAGAAAAAAAAACATTTTAAATGCTGTCTCTATACCTTGCTTTAGCTATAAGTTATGTTGTCCTCAAAGTTGAGATTTTCCTTTACAGAGGGTGAAGGTCATGCAATAATAAGCAACTGATACTAGTAACATATATACCAAAGCCTTAAAATTACCAAGATATTCAGATCTGGAAAAGGTCGTCGTTGTTTGGCAACGGGTCTTCCAGTTCGAACGGCGTGACACGCTGTTCGTTCTGAGCTAGAAAATCAAAAAAGGGCTTTCCACTCGTCCCTCGCTATCCACAATATCGTCAAAATAAATTTTAAGGCTAAGTCTAATATCAAAAGCTGAAGTAGATAATATAGGAGTCGGTCATTTTGAAAATTCCGGCAAGAAACATCAGATTGACAAAAAATTTGGTATAAAAACACAGACCGGCACGGGTATTACGCATCTTGAAAAGTGACATGATGTCGATTTTTTTTGGAAATCGTATTGTTTTTCGTAACATTATGTAGGTTTTTCTACAAGATGTTAACTTAGCTCAAGCTGATGGACACTTGTTGTGAACTCGTTTTGCTGTTCATGTTGCCTAAACGTCATGATGCTTTAGTTATAAATGTGATAAAATCTGCTTCAGAGATGGCATTGCTGGAGGCCTAAGCTGTAAGTTGTATACTATAGCAAGAAGGAAATGGCAATGGAGAGGTGCATCGTGAGGATTTGTGTGCTAATAATATGTGTTGATGATAATTACATTGGATTGTTGTCTCAAATACACTTACTTGAGATTCAAAGCTAGAAGTAAGTTGCACATCCACTTTTTCTTATTCATTCTGGAAATTACATATGGATATTCACTGAATTTGAAAAATGAGAGACATAAGGAAAGAAAATCCCTGGTTGGTGAAGGAAAATATGCTACAGACAGGAATATTTATGCAAGTGAAAAGGTTATTACATTACTTTTCATCTCCAGTTATTTAAATTTTATAGAAATTTATTTTGTGATGTCAATAGAAAATACAAATCAGCGCCTAGATGTGAGGCATGGCGAAAATGTTTGATGTGTGATGCGTAATTACTAATTTTTATGTGATGTGGCTTAATTGCACACAACGCGGCCGCGTTTCGCGCAGTGATCCTCAAAATTTTTGAAAACACAAAAAACGGGAAAAATCATAATTTATAACTTTGAACATAACCTGTCTTCAGGAAGGACAACATATAAATAACCCGTCGGTCACAGCTAATAGATATACTTCATTAGCAACATATTCAGTAATAATTTTCTCATACAGCAAATATCAGTGATTTTATACACATGCAGACCAATACACATAATCATCCAGATGCGATCTGGCTATTCAAACAACTTTCTTTGTTTCACATCTCATAGATGAAAACTACTGACTACTCGGCTTGACAAAACATTTGCAATCAACAATGCGTGTGGTTGAGTCATTCATCCATAGATGGACGCTCACAACGATCCTAGTGAGCAAACGTGGAATGACTGTTTGCAGCCTAAAAACTACCTAGGTTGCAAGATGACATTTTATAGGTTTTTTGTCATTTTACAGGTTTTTTACATAAAACCCTAAAAAACACCAAATAACAGAAGAAATGTCATCTTGCTGACTAGGTAGTTTTAGTGTGCAAATGAATGAACTATCAGTCCACGTTTGCTCGCTATGATCGCTGTTCGCTGACGTTTAAGCAACACGTACACCTACAAAACCAGTTCACAACAAGTGTATAACAGCTTGTGCTAAGTTAACGTCTTGTAAAAAACCCTCGTTACGGCACAAAAACCTGCGAAATGTCAAAAAAATAGACAAATGTCACTTTTCAAGATACGTAATACTCGTGCCGGGCCCATCCGCAGTTTTTGATGAAGCAGTAGGAGGCTAGGAGGTTCTGGAATCCAAGTCACACACTCCAGCAAGATAATTCTCCAAATAAGAAACTTCTGGGTAGCGTGTCGTTTTATAAGCTATTAAATAAACCTTTTCAGTGCTGTACTTTACTCAGCTCCGATTTTACTATTGACCGACAGGAATCAAAATTTGCGCCTTTGGCACAAATTGGACCAACGAGAAGGCGTGTTCAAAGTAATGTATCGTTTTGTCGATTTCCAGTAAAATGTCTTTCAAACTAGATAAAAATTGTACGATTTCTGTAAGATGGGGTCCTAGTTCTTATATTAAATCAAGAAATACTTCATATATCACATGACTCAGCTACAAACACCTATTTTTCATTTTTGTCCAGACACAAAAGTTGACGCAAATTCCAACAATAAAAAACTACTTGTGGCCAACTGGAAACATGGATCAATACTGATACAATAGATTTCTACGACGCCATTACTGAGCATTGTATTGAAAATAACAGTGTCTCACTGTTGCTGTACAAAATTCTGCTTAATAAATTAAAGACATAAAATTACAGAATGCTTATTCCTTAACAAACATCGAGTAAATAGTCAATTTTCTTGACTACCATGCGAAAAACCCTGTTCCTCGAGGCAGCTCTGTTAGTGTTAACAGGGAGATGTCGCGCAATCTACTGAATGGCAGGACGACTACGCTGCACCGCGGTCTCGGTGACAAGGCTAGAAGTAATCGACCCACTGGCTGGGTTAAGGACATGTTTTTTTGCACAGTAGTCAAGAAAATCAAATTTATCCATCAGAATTTTGTATAGCAACAGTGATGAACTGTTATTTTCAATAAATTAGATATGTATCCATGCTTTGAAAATGTCATAAATGGTTTTATTCCATTAGTGCATTTTATGACATTATCCACTAATTTAATGTCTGAATGCAAATGAAAAAATAGGCTAAACTAAGTGATTTATGAAATAATTTTAATATGGGAATAGGGACCCATCTTACACAAACCATATGATTATTCTCTAGTTTGTGAGACATTTTACAAGAAAACGACCATATTCATATTAGATGCATTACTCCAAAACCACCTTCCCAATGGCTGAATTTTTGACCCACCCGCCTATCTGCGTCCTGACTTCGAGCTAGACGCTAGACCATTGATTCCCAAAGTGGTCTATATCGACCCCTAGGGGTCTATGACAACCTGCAAGGGGTCCATGAAATGAATATGGGGGTGCACGATAGTGGATCTCAACACATACACTGATAGTACCTATTTACTTACATCATACTATCTTATAATATCAAAACATATACATTATTTATAAAAGTACCTATGAAGTAAAAAATGTATTATATATGTTTATAAAATTGTGTAAGTTGTAGGATGTTGGTATTCGCTTTGTGGTCGCAATACATTTTGAACTTGTAAAAACCTGAGAGTCGCAGTCTCAGAGCTTCGCTACCTTCCACTGACTTGTTCAATTCGTCACTCTATAAATACGAATGTGGAACAAGTACGTTTATTCGTTTCCTGAATCTTGAAAAGGAAAGTGCTATGTTTATTGGTGTCTGACCAATAAATGCCCGCATTGGGAATAAGTACCCGCATTGATTTTTTTAAAGAATCCCCCTTTATAGAAAATATTTTTTTTTAAAATTATTCTGAAAATTCAAGGATAGGTACACACTAAAATTCGTTAATTTTTTGCCTATTTTTAGATAACTTAAATGTGTAGGAAGCGGAATTCAATCAAACTAACAGTGACATTATTGTAGAACATACGTTTATGTTATAATTAATAAACGAACTCGCTTATTGTACTATTTTAAGTAAAAAACTTTTTTTTTATTATTTTTCACTTTTTTTTATCTTATCCCTCTTATTTTTTTTTCAATGCAGGCACTTATTCCCAATGCGGGCCCTTATTGGTCAGACACCTGTTTATTTAATGTTACGTATATTTTACATAACAGATACAAAATTTTATTTTGAGTAGTTTTAATTTAAATTCAATTAATAAATGTATAAATTAACATGTGTTTTTACTTTAAGTTTTTAACACTAAACTTCACTATAGTTAGAAATTTACAGGAAATCAATATCAGGTAAGTAGGGGGTCTACCCAACACGGAAAAACATGGCAAGGGGTCTACAACACAAAAAAGTTTGGGGAACTCTGCGCTAGACTATCATTTTTAGTGTTTTGATAAATAGGAAACTTCTTATTGTTTCAGATCCTCATCTTTTTTTTAACATGTGTGCTTGCTCTCTTCTGAATCAACATTTTGGGCATGTTTAATGTACCTATGTTGCCCAGGTATGAGAAGAATTTTGCAAGTTGTATCAAAATCCATTAGTTTATCACAAAGCACAGTAAAATGTTTTAGTCTAAGTTTAGAAAAAGTTTGAGTTAATTTTAGGCAACTGAAACACAAGAAGTTAAGACAGTGACTATGTGCCAGACAAAGTACAGTCACAATAAATAACCTGGTTGATTCTGCTGACATGTAGAAGTCATGAGTTGAAGAAGTTATGAAAAAATCTGAATGAGTCAGCCCACCCCAGAAATCAATGTGAAAAGGTAGAAAGGTACCATGTGCATCAGTGTGTGGTAAATCTATTTGTTCACTTACAAAATGGAATTTAAAAAACGGAATTGAAACATGCCTATGGCAATAAGGTAGTTATCAATTTGATGCTAGTTCATGGTGAGTGTTTTCAAGAGTCAGCTGATACAACACTAGTGTGTTCAGATTATTTTCCTGGATGTTTCCATCTTGAGCTGATAGGCTTGCTTACTTTGTTTGTGAAATGAATACAGTAGACCATATGGAGCACCCTAAATGTTGTAAAGTTAAGCATCTAAAAAATCTGGTACCAGATTAATAGTAGTACTTTCCTATGATTGCTGTTTTAGGTTTTTGCTGCTGTTTTACTGCACAATAGCTTTCTTACCAAATGCACCTGTTTCTGAAAAAGAAACTCGCAACTTTCAGGATACCTTATATAGAATCTTATATGAAACTCAAATATAAATACTACTTCGAAAGTATACACTGTTTTACCAATTCCCAGAGAGTTTGATGGTTGTATATGCATATTAAGGAGAAAGGAAGCAATTCATATCACCCAAAAATGGTCAACAATAGGCAGCCATATGTCAAACATTACTGGGTGGCATTTTTGCACCAGGCCAATCGCTTCCTTCTCCTCTATGTGCATGGACCTTTAATACACATACTGTGTAAACTAAAGTGATAGACTCAAACAGACTCTGGGTGAACCTACACACTGATATATCAACAAATCAATATTTCAAGTTGTAATACCTGGCAGTAATATCATCAAGCTGATTCGGCCTTGCATTGCTAATATTTTGAAATATCTCTATCCAAGTGTCAATGGAGGGATTGTCTTTCTTTCGTTTCTCTAGTCGTGTCTTTGCCAAGTTTTCATATTTACTGCATATTGCTTCAATTTCCTCTGCTGTCCTAGATGGAAGTCTGGCTTGTAAAATGGCCATATCTTTGTAGCCTACGTTTTGTAGAGCGTCCAATAATATCTTCTTTTCTTTGATGGTCCATTTAGACATCTTGGTAGCTCTTTGCAGACGTTAAAAACAACGAGTTAACCTAACTTCACGCACGATTTTGTTTAATTAATAGCATCGCCAAAAGCAGTGAATTACTGGAAGATACATATTATTATTCACATTAATTTGCTTGTTATATTTTCTGCAAGATTAATCAAACAACCATTCGAATCACAAATCGGAATGTTTTGTTTGGGATACAAAATTGTACAAAACGCACAAATCTCTGTGACAACCTTTGATATGTCGATGGACAAAACATGCACGCTACACGGATTTTGCGGGGTGAAACGTTTAATGGGCGAACTGGCAACACCAAGGTCATCTTCTCCAGGCAAAATCGAGGAAACTGCATTACCGGCATCACGTAACGTGCTGCTTGCAGGGATTATCTATCTCTATCTTTATCTAAATGTAGAAATCTCAAATTTGGCGTTTGTTTTGGTTAATATTCAGATTAATAACGCTGATGCTTATGGAGATATTTCGTTAAAAATGAGTGTAAAATATAAAGCAACACTATAAGTAGCTGTGATGGTATACGTGAGCTGTATTGTGACTATTGTGGGAGATGCAGAAGTTCAGGAGGCTCGGTCATAAGTCATAAAGTGCTACAGGTAGTCTGTGAACATATCGGCATGATGTAGTTGGTGGATTATTTAAAACTGCATGTCTGGATTCAGTCTCTATAATCATTGTAGTTGGCACCGTTATATAAAATACGAAAGTTTTTTTTTGTAATAAATAAGGCATGGTAATAAAGCCCTAAGCTTTATAAAAGAAAATTCTACCCATCTAGGCCAACAAATGAAAGGCCTAGAACTGAACAGATTAATTAAAAGTGACTAGCTTATTTCCAAAGAATTATGAATGACATCAGTGTCTTCTGTATTGTTTCAGAATTACCAAGAAGCAATTCAATGAAGTGAGACACCTGTGTTTTGCAACACACAACATGTGTTTGGAATTGTACCAGTGTTAACAGCATATGATTATTTTTTGAAATCAGCTGAAAGAGATATTGCCCTTATTGGGGATACGATTTTATGAATATATGTTCATAAAATAATCATTCAATATCGGATATATTATTTTCAGCAGATTTAAAATTATGAACAAACGAAACCCTCGGCACATTCCTTATTCCAGGCGCATTATCGGCATTCCTTCGATAGTTCCTCCAGACCTAAATCAAATTCAAGCGGATAACCAAATGGAAATGGTATTTACCATTTTGGGTTGGTATTTACCAATCCGTTCAAGCGAGTGTAGTTATCAGTTTGGTTATAAGATCCGTGACGTCACGAATCAGATGTTATATGTCATAGTTATCACCGCAAAATTGTGGTATTTACCCAACTCAAGAGTAGTTTTATATTTCTGGTTATTATTTGAAATGTGACAAGTTAGAATTTTGCCGGGTATTGGATATTGTTATTGTACTTCAGCTTCATTTTTGAGAAAAATGATACAGGATGACTTCAGTTTTACCATAAAGTGGAGCACCTTATTAGTTATACTCATTACGGTTGTTAGGGGCACTTTAAATGTAGTTCCTATGCTTAACAAAGTACCTATCCTGTGTAGCCATATACCACAAGAATATTAAAATAAGGCCATATAAACTCACTAGATGATATCCACCTGTATACGGTTTTGCTAATTTCTTTTTTCATCATTTCTGCTGAATCAATAAATGTTTTCTTTGACATGCGGAAAAATTTAGAGAATTGAAAGTTATCATAGCTACAAAGCCATGGTTCCATCATTAAAAAAAAATCTGAAAAAAACATTTCTCTCATGAATATTATGAAAGGTTTCTTATTTAAACTTTCCATATACAGTTGTAGACGAAAAAGCACCGATTATTAAGTGATAATACAAATAATCAGAGATTATATACGCGCTTTTCTAAAATACACAACTTGCAACAAAACCGCGGTTAAAACCAACGCGTTCAAGCGATTCGTGTAACGGACGTCATCAACCCGTATGTCATCTTGAACCATATTATAACCGCGGCACATAACACAGACATTTTGGTTATTCGCTTGGATTTGATTCTAGACAAGTAAGCAGAGCAACCATCTGACAAACGTCAACGGTGTTGCCATCGCTTAACGTGCAGCCTCCCACTTCTTCAGTCTTATGTGTTTTGTGACATGTTTCCCTTACGGACGGCACCACAAAACACATAAGACTGAAGAAGTGGGGGCTGCACGTTAAACGATATCAACACCGTTGATGTTTGTCAGATGGTAGCGCCGCCTACTTGCCTGGAGATCTGGATGAACTATCGAAAGAATGCCGAGAATGTGCCTGGAATAAGGAATGTTCCGGGTATTTCCTTTGTTCATAATTTGAAATTTGCTGAAAATGATATTTCCGATATTGAAGAATTATTTCTTATCCATAAAAAATCCCCAAATAAAGATAATATTTCTTTAAGAAGTTTTGCTCAGGACAAGGTTCAGAATAATAAAATCCAACACTAATTATGAAGCACAAAATATATTTAGTTTCAAAAAATAATCATATGCCATTGACAATGGAATATAAATTGTACATTGTGTGTTGCAAAACACAGGTGTCTCACCATTGAATTGCTTCTTGATAATTCAGGAACAATACAGAAAACACTAATGTAATTCACAATTCTTTGTAAATAAGCTTGTCACTTTTAATTATAGGTTTGTTCAGGCTTTTAATTTTTTTAACCTAGATGACCAGAATTTTGCTTTATAAAGCTTAGGGCTTTATGACTGTATTCTGCAGATATTTCCATGTCTCAGTTAATACAAAAAAAAACTTTCGTACTTTATATAACGGTGCTGACTACAAGGAATATAAAGAGGCTGAATCTAGACATGCAATTTTAAATAATCTACCAACTGCATCATGCCGATATGTTAAGTTCACAGCCTACCTGTAGCATTTATAACAGAGCTTCCTAAACTTCTGCATCTCTCACAATAGTCACGATGCATATCACGTACAGCATCACAGCTACTGATAGGGTTGCTTTATATTATACTCATTTTTAACGAAATATCCCCGAAAGGATGAGCGCTGATAATCCCGATATTAACCAAAACAAACGCCATATTTGATATTTCTACATTTTTAGATAAAGATAGAAAATATCATAATACAGTTTCCTCAATTTTGGCTGGAGAGGATGACCTTGCGGTTGCCAGTTCGCCCATAAGACGTTTCACCCCCTGGTAGAACCGCTGTGGCAGCAGAAACTTGACGTGGAAACGCAGAAACCCGACCGCCGCATAATTTGGCACTACGGACATGCTATCTGTGAATGAGACTTTTTTAAACCTTTCCTTGAAGAGATGTTTGTTTCGCTGACTTGAATGTGTCGGCCGTCTGTTCACCAAAAACAGAAATTATCCACGTTCGGATGGAGGAATACATTGTCCATACAGAGAAAGTGCCTAAACACCAGAATCCAACGGAAAAGGCACACAGAATCGTCTTAGAAAACCCCACAGTCAAAACACAAAAGCCGATGTCGAGTCCTAGAGAAATGGGATACCGTACCGTCCTCTATGAAAGTTTTACACATCTATCTTTCTCCTCTCCGTAATAATTAGAAGCCTACTTTGAAAAGATTAGTGTCCGGTAGATGACGCTCAACGTAAATTCGTAGTTGTTGCTGAGGAGAAAAATAGCTGTGTCAACTCCTCGTAGATGGGGCTACAATATTAATTTTTAGGACGCACGAATATAGTATTAGATTGGGTATCTTCAGGTAGAATATGTTTATGAATGGTCATAATAATGATAGTCCGCCTAATTCGGACTGGGAAAAATAGCATGTTCATTGAAAAACCATTTTTTTTAATTCGATTAAACGGTTAATTTTTAATGTACAGGTTATAGGAGTAAAAAGTTCAATAACTGAAACAAAGGTTATTTTTGTTTATCTGCAAGAATCACAATGAAGAAGGGCGTGCTCGTTAGCTCACCCGCTTTTCAATTTCCAATACCTACCTCCCCATAGACAAACACCTTCCTGAACATGAAATCCAGCGACCACCACAGTGCTGCCTTATTTCGAAAGGCCTTATACTCTGTATAGAGGATAGTTGTTCAGATTTCATTGTTGTTCTATCTGAGACCAAGCATATACCATGCTGACGAGTTGCCAAATAGCACGAAACAGCTGTCCATGGTTGGCCGTCTACGGTCGGACGAACGAAAGCTGTATCACTACATAGTTTTAAGCTCTTACGTTGTGATTATCTGCTATGTTGGACTATGAACGGCCTAATTTAAATCTGTTTTTAACTTTCTGTTTGTGCTATGATTATGTCGACTGTAAACTAGGATATATAATATATAATAAAAGCAACTGATCACTGCGCAAAAATTTATTAATGAAAAAACATAACAAAAAGTCATTTCCATCTTTTAACTGCAACTAACACTATTAACATTGATAAATATGTCTCGAAAATAAAAAGAAGTGGCATATTTTGGTTATGGAAGTGAACATTTGAATGCGATTCACATGAATATAATCATAAAATTGAAAATAAGTATAGTACAAAAATCCATAATACAGTTTCTAGTCGAAACCTGAACTTGTTCATTTATATTCAAACATTCATATAAATACATGAGACATCGGTATGTATAACATTAAGGTCTTATAGGTGTATAAAGGTCCCCGCAAATAGGGAATAATTATTTCATAATTCTGCGCAATAGACTAAATTTTCTCTATGTAATACCCATAGACATATGTATGTAAGTGTATGATAAGCATAGAAGAAAACGTAATGCAATGGTTGGAATGAGCCACGCATGTGTAATAATTCTAGGGTCAGTTTAGGAAACTAACTTTTTAGGGAGACTCCTTTCTTAATATAGTTGAAAAAATATCAAAGCTACTCCAACGTGGGCAAATCTGTGCAGTTCTAAACTGTTATTGGAAGATTTTAATCTTGAAGTGTAAACCATGTTTATTAAGCATTACATCACATTTACTTCCTTTATATTAGACAAAAATCTGCATTTTGTGTCAGACTTGAGTGCAAATAAATATGAACCATTGAGTAAAGATACCCTGTAGAATCTGTAGACTAATACTGATTACTCAAACCGTTTCAAAATTGTAAAGCTAAGTGAAACAGTTTATTTGAAAATGAAAATGTCTATACGAAATGCTAGACACAATAACCTAAGATCACAATGTTTCATTCAATTGTTTGTATGGGTTTCAGCTACATCCGTGGGCGCTCATATAGCAGGTTAGGCTTACACGCACAGTCAACCACTTTGAAGCAGAGTTGCTAGCTGTTTAAGGTGGTGGGAGAAAAAATAATTTCTATGTAGCGATACAAAAATAAACCAAAAATTGGTACTACATTACAAAATAAGGGCACTCAAGCGGGAGCTACAGGTTCCTAGCCCCAATTGCCACCCCCTAATGGGCGCCCATAGTTACTGTTCCCACTATTATAAGAAAGTCGGGTAAGCTTGTCAATTCATGGAATTATAAGAAATTTAAATTTTTATGCAAGGTTAAACAATTGTTATGACTTGACTAGAAACGGTCTGGCATTGCCTGGAAAAACCTCTTTAGATAATTCATGTGGGAGTTTGTGATACGGAAAACCACTGATAGAACTCGTAAAGTACAAAAAGGATTTTAGAAGGCTTTGTAAAACTTGGTAAACTGGCGAAAAACATAAGACGCTAGTATGACTTTATACACAGGGCCAGTTTTTAGTGTAGGCTCGTTCGATATCCCCGTCATTACGCATGTTATCTAAAAAAGTTAAATAAAATAATTGCACCCAACGGTATGCTTCTTGGAAAATATATTTATTTCTAAAGGGTGGTTCATAACTGCGTGCTGACACACACATTGATTTTTTACGTGGAAAGCCCTACATTTTAGTGCACATTTGGATAGGCCTTTTCAAACGAACCAATTTTATATAACATACTATGAGGTTTTATTTTCCCCACAAACCTCAGAGTACTGAATCTTTCATCAAAAAATGTATAACCCCATATTTTGTCCCTATATACTTTTTCAGGTTCTTGGATAAAGGGTGGTCAATGACGCAAAATGAACTACTCCTCACAACTTTCAAATGGAACACCCTGTGTTTTTTCACTTTTTTCCCCTTTTCACAAGTTTGTTTTCTGATATAAGGTTTATGGGAGCTTGTACCACGGGTTGAGTTACAAAAAATACAGCAATACCTTTACTTTTCGACTTTATTGCATGAGGCTGGGTACATTTAATTTATAATGAACATACATCAGATACAAGATGTACTGTAACCAACTAATGCTATTTTTTATTGGTTAAGATATTGTGATATTTTTGATATACCTTGATATTTGATTTACAAGAGACATAGCTGTGACTCAAAAACCAGACGTACAAATCTCCATACAATTTATATAAAAAAACTTGTAGAAATGGGAATCAAGGAATGTAAAAATATATATATTGGGTGTTCTATTGAAATATTTTGATTAATCGTTTATTTTTCGTTCATGAACATCCTGTATAAACTGCCTGTAAAACTGAAAAAGCAAGTAGATAGGAACAAAATATGGGATTATAAAATATTCCCGACGAAAAATTCAGTAGTCTAGCTATAACAGTCGCGGAGTTGCGAGTTTTCGATAAATTGTCCAATATCTCAACAATTTGAAAATAAAACCATATAGTATGTTATATGAAATTGCTTCCTTTGTAAGGGTTTATCCAAATATGCTATAAAATGTAGACCTTTCCATTTAAACAAATGGACGTTTAGGTCACCATGTAGTTACGAACCACTCTTTAGGGAAACAAATAATTTAAGAAGGAACATATACCGTTGACTACAATTTTTGTAAACATCTTTTTTAGATTGCATGCATAATAAATGACACATTACAAACTCAGCCTGTATAATTCAATAGGACAATATTTTAAGAGCACATATTTAAGGTTCATATGAATACCATAAATCTGGACATAAACTGTATGGCGGTACTGGCAGTGATATTGAGGCAAAACATTGTTTTGTATGCAGGAACAACCTTGTGGCCGTTGTTTGAACTAGCGCTACCTTCCCTATTTCTAGTTGTTCAACTTGATACGCAAAAGAAAATATCATGCCACAATTAACCCGTAAAGATTACGCACTTTGTTTCTTATTTTTTTGTCTCGGAATTAGTTCATGAGTGCTGAATAGTTAAATTTATTCATTTGACTCCAATTTTTTCTACCACCTAGTTGGATTAGGTTTCAACTTATCATTCCCCGCGGCTCTTGAAACTTTTGCTTTGATGAGTCCTAAAAGTTTAACAAATGCATTTTTGCCTGCGTATGTTTTGATTATGTATCAAAATACCATAACTGTTAGAACTATTGAATTATTTTTTCTAAACAAAATTAGTTTTGCTACCAAATAAGTGTCTTCATAAAATATTTAATGGAGTTAACAGATCACAGATCCACTGACATAGCACCAAAAGAAAACGTACCTCTTTACCTAGACTCTTATTAAACATCACAGATCTCTGAAATGCTGTTTCACTAAGAGTAAATCACTATTTAGTCACAATAATGAAATAGTTTTGTGGAATTGTCTAATTTATCGCATACATTAAATTTACAATTTTTAAACCTGTCCAGTATAAAAAATCTCAGTGCATCGTTCAGCAACGTTCATTTCAGATTAGATTTTACACATTTACATTTTATGTGTCGCTTGTACATGCAACCACGTTACCACAAACTTTAAGTCTATTCATGTGTCAGCTTTTAAAACAAAGTTTAGGAATTTTCTTTTAGTAGAATATAATTGTTCTTGAAAATAAGTGTCACTTTAATAATTAGTTTATATATACACATTTAATTTTGTTCTAGTTGTTTTTTGGTATATTTCCTTTTACTTATTTTCTGAATCTGTTTGTGATTCTTATTTCAATCTATTGGTTATGATTCTTCTGTTTTATTTTGTTTCCTGGGTTACGCTGAACAGTCTCACAAATGTTCCAATTACTGTGATAAGTGCTAGCATCTATTAGCGAAGACATTTCTGTTTACCCTTCAACTCTGTCTGTATCGGGAATGTCACTTAATTCACACTTTGCATAAAAACAAAAATAGTTAACTATTATAAATGTGCTATTTTCGAACCATCATAAAACATATCTGAAACTTGAGTCTACAGGAAAGCTTCACACTAGAACTTATGCTTATTCATTTTGTAATGAAAATGAAGAATTTTCCTAAAGAAACTGATAAATATAAAAAATCTGAACCATTTTGGTGGTAATTCCTTTTTATATATCGACGCTCAAGTGCGAGCCGCGTAACTCAAAAAATGAAAATATCTACGAACTTGGAAAAGGCCACAGCAGTGGCAGAAACGTAGTTAGTAAACAGTATTTCAAGCATACACTACCGCTCAAATATTTTGTGACAGAAACTTTTTTTAAGAGAACTTAAAATAAATAAGGCTTATATGACATTGATTGATTATTACCATCGATAATATGACTACTCAAGCTAAAGATGTAAAAGAATCAGCGAAAAACCACTTAAAAGGGAATAAATGTAAACATCTTTAGAGACGCCGATATTTTTATTAGTTCACTGCAGTCATAAATCGGCCGATTTCCTTCCGCTGCTTACTTTGTTTTGTACTATGTATTATGTTCGGCGTAATGTGATACTTAAACATTCTGGGTATCAATGAAACAAAGTAAAAATTGTACTACTAGTCGATGTGCTAGGGTCAGATTTTTCCAAAATAATGGAAAATGGGAAAGACGGGTAACGTTTCTCTTAAAAAACGTGGTGCAGTATGTACCTTATGTGATGAGGGACTGCCAATTCGAGCGATTGCTGAAAAGCTGCATTTGGGACGTAGCCCGGTGTCTCAAATTTTGAAGAAAAAGAGAGAAACATGCAGTGTCGTAGATCGTCCAAGCTAGGGAAGACGCAGAGTTGCAACTGTTCCTGGGGATAGGTTTATAGTAATAACAAATAAGCGAAATAGACATTTAACTTCGCCTGAACTCACACACAGCTTGAACAGAACGAGGGAAAACCCTGTGTCCATGTCCACGGTAAAACGCCGCTTACTAAGGGCTAACCCTAGAGGATGTGTAGCAGAATGCCAACCACTCCTGCAACCTATACATAAACTCAACCGGTTAGCATTGACTCGAAAACGCAACGATTGGACCACTGACGATTGGAATCGAGTCCTTTGGTCGGATGAATCCAAATTCGAAATGTTCGGATCTCGACGACAGTTTGTACGCCGCAAACCCCATAAACGCATGGCTCCGCAATGTTTGCAGCCCACTGTTAAACATGAAGGTGGGAGTGTAATGTTTTGGGGCTATTTTGCTGGAAATCGAACAGGAGATTTGGTTTGTATTGAGGGTATATGCGAAAAGAGCAGAATTTGGAAATATTGAAAAACCACGCTGTTCCCTCAGGAAAAAGGATTGTTGGAAACAATTTCGAATTTCAGCAAGACAACGACCCTGAGCATTCATCTCGACTATGCCGCAATTATTTGGACCAGCAGTAAGAACTTGGTGCAATGAAAATAACGACATGGCCTTCCCAGTCCCCAGATTTGTCTCCTACTGAGTATTAGTGGGATGAATTGGACAGACAGGTGAAGCAACAAGAGCCTACTAGTGCAGGAAGCGTAGGTATCCTTATCATCAACTATTCTTGAAAATTTTATACGTCGGATGAGTCGTGTGTCTGTCATGCAGTTATTCGGGCTCATGGTGGACATTTCGATGAATCATGAATTTAAAGTAAATTTTGATAGAAATAAGTTACCAACTAACTGAGTTCCAGTGGAAAACAGTTCCTTTCTTATTTTTTTGATTAAACACAATCTATTGTTTGATTTGGTTTGATTTTCCTCAAAAAATCTGCTGTCCCAAAACTTTTGAGCGGGAGTGTATGTGGTTTTATTTAGAGGCTAGACAAACATGAGGGATTGTAATATATGCATAACATTCGCTAGAAAATCGGGACAACCACCCTTCTTTTTGCTCTCCTAAAAATTGTCAGTTTTGAGTTACGCGGTGTTAGATCTTAAGCGATGAATTTTAATATTATTAGTGTGAAGTTTAAAAATTCATTTGTACAATACTGGCTCGAAGCAATATTAAAAAATCCAACAGGATGTTAATTATACTTTATACTCCATGTTCAACATGGTGATTATGGATGCAAAAAGCTTTTATAAACGTGCACGGATTTTTGTGCTGCATATATAACCAGGCATCCATCAAGGCACATCACTTTAAGAATAGCAAGCATCCAAACGTCTACACAAGTACTTCTCAACAAATGTTTATCTACAGTGACTAGTAATTTTGGGGATTTGTTTTCATGTCTGCTCAAGTCACTAAATAAAACTACAAAAGGATATTAATCCAAGAGAGGACCAGAACTATTAGTGACGAACCCTATGCTCCGCCGCTGAACCATTTGTACATCCTTGATAGATGTTGACAGTAATACAAGTGACCTTAATAGGCTATGTTAACAAAATATTAAGTTTGTATGTCAAACTATTTCGACTTTAAGTGCTTTTTGGTTCGTGCGTGACAATGATTTTATTAGGAACGGATACAACTGAGCAAAGAACCGTAATCAAATGTCTGCACAAAAGGGTATGACGCCTGCTCAAAATATTGGGGCGATTGTTAGAGGGTACATGTGCAATTTCTGGTGTAGAGATTTGAACCCAGCATGGTGGTGGACTATCTGGAACGAAAGCGACTGGCAAACACATCAAAACAGTGCATGATATACGATTCCAAGATGCAATAAAAATGTGTAACATTACAGGGGGCTTTATGGAATTTAATCTCAAAATTGAGATATGATTTTAAAGAGAATCGTTGGGGGTAGCTAACAAGTGGATAATGCTCCCAGCCATACTTGCTTCACTGCTATGGCTGATCTGCACCTAGCAGGCTTTGAATTATTGGTAGATTGCCAGACCTGGAGGGGTATTACGTAAATAATCGACACATGACATTGAAAATCGGTATGTCAACTTGTGTATAAAGTACTCGCTAGGCCATTTGTGCCTTACTTGCTGTGAGCGCCACCTATGGAGGAATAGCTCAACGACCATGTTGCCTATGATGCTGCGACTCGCATTTCGCCAGCATGCTTTGTAAAATCAACAGAATCATCATCAACACAGATCGATAATCATTTCTGTGCAGTGCGTCCTTCCACTTATGTTCATATTATAAAACTTACAGCTTAGGCCATGAGAGCTATAAATGGCCTCCAAAGGTGACATATCTGTTACATTACATCAGAGAGATACCATATAGGTCAAACTTCATGACATTTAGGCAACACATACCGTTGTTAACATGAAGTTAACGACTGAATTGGAAAAACCGATATGATGTCATTAAAACCGATATAATGTTATTTTTTAGGTTACGTAATACGGGTTCGGGATCCAGTAATTTTAGAGTAATTTCAAAATTAATAGAATATTTGCCAAAAATGAAATATCCAGTTGGTCAAAAGGTGGTATCTGCTATAGAAGTCTAGTTTCTTTGGCAACCGTAAAAAAAATTACCGAAAGGCTGTTGAAATGTAGGAATACTGATCGAATGAGTGTATTGGTGTTAGTAGGGATCATGTAAAAAGAAATCGCGTCGAGTAGGTTGACTCTCCATTACCTACACAACGCCGTCACTAGTTCTTAAAGGATCAAGTTCAGCACAACTTAAACCCTCTGAGAAAAAAAAAGGTTATGAACATGTACAATTGAAAAACTGATCTGATCAAGTTAGTCAAACAGGCCCATACAATTAGTCCATAGACATTCCATGTCCTACCTGTGGTTACCGTCTATCTGTCTAAGCACCACGAGCACATCGTTACATAGCAGGAGTCGCAAATTGAAAACATTTCTCTACCATTCTAAGTTTTAACGACAAATGTATGGGGGAAACCAATATGTGTGAAATATGGCTACTAGATGGGTAGAAATACCAGGTTGTTGGGAACGTATAAATATGCTAATGTAAAAAATTAGATATACCCTCCCAAAAACCTACCAACTCCTGCCCCCTAATTTTTAAACCCTATAATTCTTTTCAAAAATGATCCCCTGAAACGTTAAAAAACAAATTTTGAGCAATTTTTTCCCGTTTTTGAGCTTTTTCGTCCGTAATAGTAATCTTGTGTAAAAATTTTATCGAAATCGAAGCGTATTTTGCAAGTTATAGATAGGCCAATGATTAGCGGACAGACAGACAGACTGACGGAACGAGTGACATGGTTTTTCGTTGTACATATCATTTCCAAAATCCACATATCTTATCTTCGGAATTTTTCGCGATTACAATACTTCCTCGCCCTGTGGCGTAGGAAGCAAAATAAAAAATTAATTGAAGTTTTAGTACAAGTGGGTTAGCGGTGAAGCATAGGGATCATTTTCAATATCTTTTGTGCTTGTACAAACTGTTAAACATATGATTAGATAGTGTGACAGAAACACAAAGAACGACATGGAGATCCTATACTTGTCCAAATCCTCTCGCGAGCACCTTAAAATGAAGAACATTCAGCTTTGAATAAGTAGGGCAGTTAAAATGCAGACAAAAAACATCATCACAGGCTTCTTCTAAACTACCACATTTGCTGAAAGGTACCAAAAAATCACAAGTACAACTCACACGGAACAATCTGATTCTCTGGAGGTGAAATATATTTGCCAAAAAGTGAGAGCATCTGAGGGACATGTTACTTTGGAGTATATAACCAACCAAGCGGCTTTGCATACCTCCCACAAAGTCTGTAACAGTTTCAGGAACGCTAATGGCGATTTTGGCAGCGCCAATGGTAAAAAGGGCAGGTAGGACTGTGGTCATGCCTCTAAACTGCTGCGCGTTTTCAACACCTTATCATCGTGATGTAGCATAAGCGCTCCTACCAGTGCTACTAGAGTACGGTCCAACCACGTCACTGGATTGGGGTACAACATGCCTCCTTCATAGTAGCCAAGGTGGCCTCCATGGGCCGATTCGATGTAACATGTGTTCTTCTTTACTTCTGAAATTTGAAAGATGTATGAGTGAAGAATAACAGACGAAGATAAAGACATACTACAAAAAGTATGCTGTTTTGTGATAAATCTCCATATATTTGCACTGATTAATGTATTATACTAGAAGATAGCTAAGATAATGCCATATTCCCGGGCCCGAAAAATTAACCAAGACACTATAAGATACAACAGCGTTACCTTTGAGAATCTATCACTTCTAAATATATAATCTATCTATTTACTATTTTATTTTGAAAAGGTTAGTTGTCAATTATATGGGCAAATCCATCTATGAGGTGCTTCAAATTCGACTCTCACCATTGAAATCTCAGAAACTTTAAGAGATACGGAGTCACTTAAATGGGAGTTTAAATTTTTTCCTAACTTTAATTGTAATGGGATTTCAAAATCAATAGCACATTAACATTTTTTTCTTCTCTACAATGTGGCAGAATTAGAATTCCAAATAACGTTTCGACTTTTGTCCTTCAGCATCAACTTTATTTTTTCTTATGGACGCCATATTGGATTTTTGCGCAGATAAATATGATTTCAAAAATGTATAATAGGTTATACATTGACATTCCCAACCCTAAATTGTTCCAGAAAAACAGAATTTCCTAGGAAGGCCTTGGAATTATCAGATATCATTTGTTTCGCATACCAGACCAGATCTCAAATTGAACAAAGCAACAACAGTTGGAAGACTGAGACGAAAAAAAAAAAATAAATCGAGCAGTGAACGATACACATAGAAGAATCAGGCTTTGCCTACAAAATAACGGACATTTTGAACATCTGCTACATTTTATCTGTGCTTATTTATGTTTATGTGTTCAGGTTTCACCCTACCTTTTTATTTCCTTACGATTTTCATCTGTCAACAAATTCATGGCCAACTAAGTAAATATATCACTGGATTTAGGACTGAAAAGTCCATTTGAATGTACAAAATTCCAATATAGCGCCCGTATGAAAAAACAAAGTTGGTGACAGAAGTCGAAAGAAAAAATGTCGAATTGAAAATTTGACTAAGCCATCTTGTGGAGGAGAATACGTTACAATGATAACATGCAAGTTATTTCAAAATTCTATCTCAAATAAAGTCAGGAAAAAAATTAAAGTAATTTTGGGATAAATCTGGTATGCAAAACAAATAACTACCTGATAATTTCAAGGCCAACCTAGAAATTACTGCTGTCAATGTCTGACGTATCATACATTTTTTAGATCAGAATTAATAACTTTATTCATCTGCGCAAAAATCCAATATGGTATCTATAAGAAAAAATAAAGTTGATGCTGGAGAACAAGAGACGAAATATCATACTGAAATTTTAATTATGTCATCTTGTAGAGGAGGAAAAGTGGCAAAGTGTGCAAGTTATTTTGGAATCCTACAAATAAAGTCAACAATTTTGGGAAAAAAATCGTTTTTTTCCGACTCTCTTCCGAAGTACTTTGAATTTCGAAATTTTCTAAGCCGCATTTTGTTGATTACCTAAATACGCAACTTTAACCCCATCTAAGAGACTTCGTATCCCTTCCGTTTTATGATATCCCAATGGTGGGGGTCGAATTTGAAATACCTTGAATACTTTCAAAAGGTTAGTTGCCAATTATATGAGCGGCGCCATCTGTGAGACACTACCTAGCTTGGCGAGTCATATCTAAAATCAGGCTCAACCGTTTTCCTGGAGAGTACCTATGAAGGCATGAGGCATGGAATATCAAGGTGGAACGGTTCGGTCTGGAGATGCGCTCAAGTTTGGAAAATTCGACAAAAAAGAGAATTTTAACGTTTTGGCGATACTCCTGTCCTTGGAAACCGGTAGGCCCCATAATATATGACTATTCCGAAGTACGGTTGTCCAAGGAAGTAAAAAATGCCCTCCAAATTCCGATATGATAATTCATTCTGCAGATATTTCAGTCATAATTGATTTTTTAGAAATTTTCCTTTAAGTGGAAATGCCTTTTGAAACGAAAAATACATAAAATTATTTTTTTTCTGTAGGGAGATGGACCAGCCTAACTGTCTACATATATATATGAAGTTACTTGGGCCTTTAAATTGATCCAATAGGCTTTGCAGGGCGGGTAACATGTCTCATATTGGGCTCAAATTTGTTTTCTGTCGAGAACCCATGAGAATCGTAAAGTACAAAAGTCAGCTTCCTTATATTTGTCCCTTTTTCCGAAATCCTATATTATACTATTTTTTTTTTTTGGTTTGGAAATAAATGAATACTCACGTGATAGCTTTCTAACAGGCTCCAACAGCGGGTCAGGCACTATAGGATCATCCTTAGAATTTATAAATATTATAGGCAGTTCAATGTTATCCAAATAATTTACACTGGAACTCCATTTGTACAACTCCGAAATGGAGTTCATACCGTGCACTCTCCTCGTATATGCTTCATCCAATTCGGGAAGTGTTGCTGCAGAAATGATCTCGTGTTCGCTTAAGTTGTACTTCTTGCGGATTTCATCGCAAAGGAGCATCTTCCTATGGCGCAAAATGGTGTTTTTCATGTTTTCTGTCATCACGTACAGGTAGAATCTTCTGAAGTTCTGCCACTGTAACAAAAATTTCGTTCCCCTGCAAAAAATAGCGTCAAGTTGAGTGATACGAAATTTTCAGTTAGTGATATTCGATGCAAAATAGAGATTGGATTGAGACACGACACAGGTGCTTGTGTGTAAAATTACGAAGTAGATCTGTATCAAAAACAAATTTCATTAAACAAAACAAACTTTGTTTTATGAAAGATTTATCATACTTTTGGTACGTGGAACAGCTAACACCCTGAGTGTTGCTCATCAATATGCAGTGAAGTGTCGACAATTTAATATAGGCGAATCCTTTAATTCACCGGTTGAGCCACCGGTGCAACCGGTTAGACAATTTTACATCCTCTAATTCCCGCTGGTTGCACACCAAACTTGTCTTTGTACTGATGGTGGATACGCCACAGCATCCACGTTCGGCCTCGATTGATCCAGAACGGACAAGAAATTATAACCTCTACATTTAACCATTTCTCTACAACTTCAGCTTTGTGTCTCAAAAAATTTGGAAATGGAAGCAGAAAAGGTTGAAGTTGTGTTGCAGTATACGAGTGTCATTAAATCAATTGTATTTATAACGCCGTCCGAAATATGCCATGCATCTGAAGCCAAGTGATTTTATTTCGAATTATGCATATTTGAAAAGTTTTCGGTTTTCCCATATATAGTTCTTTTATTGATGTTCTGCGCAAACTGTTCTATAAATCTATTCGAAAAATCTATTCTACATGTCCCAGATAAATTACCGAAAAGTTATACAAACTGTACAAACACCAGTTCATGGATACATTGGATAGTATCGAAAATAAAGTGTAAACTAGTTTCTTGAGATAATGATAAGAAACTATTGAAAAAGAGAGATATTGATGCTATGTTTTACTTCAAAAACACTAAAACAGGCAATATTTTTTCATGTTAGTGAGTTAAATTATTTTTAGTTTCTTATGTGCCTGCATTACTCCGTGTTACTGTCTACTTTGTTTTTGTTTTATGATACATAATGTGATTAATATTGAATTGCCATGTTTATTTCAATGAAGATATATTGTGAATGTTTTTTTTATCTTTTTTTAGTTGCCAAGATAGAAAAAGTAATGAATGGAATTTGAAGTAAAGATGTTCCTTAGGGTGCATATTAAATACTCATGTGTGTTGAATGTTTTATTCCAATATGTAAATGACACCAAAAACTCCAAAAAGAAATGTGTATTTTACAAAAAATAGTAAAATATTATACAAAATATACAAGGTTTACGTGAAAAACCTTAGCTACCAGATGGTTTTGTAGGCAAGCAAATAATAAATATATTGTTATAAATGTTGATTTTATAAAATATAGATTTGCAAGACTTATGAATTATAATTTACACCTAATAAAAGTGAAAAGTTTATAGCTCAATCCAGTTTAATAGCTTGCTAGCTGGCCCGGTAATGGAATCAACCGACGAATTAAAGGAAACGCCTTATGTTTGATTTCTTTCTTGTTCAATTATGCTTTGTTCTAACTCAACCTGCTACTGTAGCAAATTTTGAATTGTTTCTGTGATTGTGTGTATTACATTGGAATCGAGATTATCATTACTATATCAAGAATAAATCATGATTATTTTGGTAGAATACATTAAACACGTCAAAGTTTGTGAAATCTGGTGAGTCTCATCCAAATTACATGAATGGTGTCATCATTGAACGAATTAATCTTGTTTTAATGAGGCATGCTTTATAATATGTCACTAGTGTATCAAATGCGTCTTAGTATTAGTAGTAGATAAAATAAACAAACCCTCACAACTTCAATTTGGCAACTAGTGTGGGCAAAATTATTTAATGAGACACAGATTATAGCACTTTCTTATTTAAGCACGTCAATACATTCAATGCTTGGGATAACTAGTCATACATTATAGTCCAGATGGATATATTAATAGATATACAACTACTTACCCCAGAGCACAATATCCCTGGCATATAGAAATACCACCAATAATATTATTTGGCTTAGCTTTTTCTTTCTCTCCCAGATACTTTGTGATCAAATTACCACCTAAGCTGAATCCAACACAAACTATTTTTGTGTTAGGGTATCTTGAAATTATATTTCTAATCATTGATTCATAATCTTTTGTATCTCCTAAAAAATAAAAAATTATTGAGTTAAAGGCAGATACCCATTTGTTACGACACGTGATCTCCAGGATTATCACGCAAACTCACAAATCAAAATCTAAATTGATGGACTCTGATGGGTACCTGAGGTGACAACAGTATATTTCTGAATATATTGGGTACGTGGAGATCTACGAAGCGCGACTTACTTTTTACAACTATATATACCTCTTGAATTTCAGTGAGTTCACGTGTCGTGACGAGAACAATGTGTTATCACCTTAACATATACAGAGTATTCTGACATGCAATACATCTGTTACTATTTGTGTCTGGTTGCCCAAATAGCAGACAATGCCATATGCAGAAGGAAAGCAGAGAATGGAAAGAGAGAGAGAGAGAGTATGGAGGAAAAAGTGCAGAGGTTGGAATAGTGCTGTGGCATTGTAAATGTTTATCATTTACTTTGGTAGGCACTCACCATAGCTAAATATTCGCGCTGCTGTAACAGGTACGTTTCTTAAAGCACCCACATGGTTCAGTACAATGCATCTGTAGCCATGATATTGAGCCCAATGAACAAATGTGCGTACATATATACTCTCTGAGGTATTACAGATTCCCGGACATATTGCTATGCTAATATCATCTAAAACAAATAGTATTTACTGAACAAGAAGTCCGCCGTTGTGTTTCTGAAACATTTTCAAGAAGTCATAAAATCGTTTGTCTTACTTTTTCTATTTATCTTTTTTTATCACTAATAGGAAACAAGATACATCTTATTGATCTTTTTTGGGGTAAATATGTCAAAAGGTGTATAAGAGTATTCTGTGTTGCTACCTGAGAAACTAGTATCTAAAGGCTGATACATGTCAAAGGTTACAGTAGTACCATCTGTCACAGTCATAAAAACTCGTTCACCGATAGGCCAAGGGCACTTCACACGGCCTATAATGCTGTGCAAGATCGTTTGGACATGCCCACTGAAACCCCATAATCTTGTTGGTATGTATCTAAAAATAACAAGATATACATCAACTATAGAATAGGGCAAAATGGTTAAGCTTGAAATTTCATCACTATAAACCTGAACTAGAATGTCAGATATGTTTTGGACCTATAGCATATACATTATACACTGAAAATCAAACGCGTCCGACGGCTTGTGTTCTATGTGACGAGAGAGAAGTGTCTATAGGCGCATATGTTAGAAAGAGATAGAAGCCGGCTGGCTAGCGAAGCTCATCGCCACGTTGCTCAGCAACGCTGACGCGGCAATCTGCCGCGTTGCCAATATGTTACACCAGTTCCTTTAATTAACATGCATATTGAAAATATGCGTTAGTTTATTCTTTATGCCCAAATAATGGTTAAATTTTGTGCATACACATTTTTGAATTGTGAATTGTGTCGACACTGTTTAGGTTCGATTCCGGATAGGTCCTAACGGCCCTCCATTTTAGGTCAGGATCGCCACAAATTCTGCAACATTGCATCATATTGGTTTGTTTGACAATGCTGTATCCATCTAAGCTCGTAGGGGTGTGTCGTCCTGCTTCGAAATGGCTTTCACCTGCGTACACGCAGACAGTGATAATTTGTATTACGTAAAGTTATTTGCTGCAGTTTCTGACCATAGCGCTGTCAATGGTAGCAAATTTTTTCTTCACACTTGGAGATGAAACTGAGGGGTGGGGTGGGCGGCAATGAGCTCTGTGCCCCACTTTGTTCAGAATAGTGGTCATTACTACAGCACATGTATGTTCTATTAGAAATGGTTTGTAAATTTTAATACATTGTTCTAAATTTTCCTATAATATTTAGAGCCATTCAAGATTGAGGTCATTAAAAACATTCAAGCATCATACATAAACTATACTCCTCAAACTTTTTGTCTTATCATCTTTATATATGCTAATTATAAATAGTCTCAGATACTTTATGTCTACATAACTTCAAGTGATTATTTTTGCCTTGATTTAATGCTAACAATATTTACCCAGCTCATTAACTATTCAGTAATTGCCCAACTACAAAATATTATCTATACATCATGTAGGACTGTATGCATTCAATATGTGACATCATCATGAGTATTTTTAACTCAAATAATTCATCATACACTGGAATAAACATAGTTACAAAAAATAACAAAAATAAAAGAATGCAAACATCTGTATTACTTATCTCTGTTACAGTCATAGCAATATGCTAAATTAAATCAAGGACAGGACAAATGTAGTAGAACTTATAAAATACAAATATCATATTAAAATAACTATGAGAAAGCATTATCAAATATCACAAATTTTTGAACCAGTAAACCATTATAGATGGTATAATGATTATCAACATAAAAGGTCAAAACAAATTGTGAAAAATTTAGAAACTACTACACAATAATTACTAGCAGGCAAGATATTAGTGAATATTTCCCATATTACTATATGTCAGTGCCATATTTGTATAATTTGCTACAAGGTCACCAGCATAATATACATTTATAACTATAATTCATCGATCCCTCCAAAACCTCACTAGATGTAGTGCTGGCTATGCCTCTGACACAGAAGTTTCTTGTCAGTGACATCTAAATTTATATAATATATGCAGACATAAAAAATATTCAATATCAGTAGTGGAGTCAAAGGGTGTTAGATTGTAGGCTACTCCAAAATGTAGTATGAAAGTACATTATTCTGCTATAAATTGACCCCCTCTAACTTTCTCGTATGTCTGTTATAGGGTCTATAATAATGATAAAGTGTTTCATGCAAACACTTTTTTATGTGGGTGTGGGGGTTATGGGCTTCTTTTCTGATCTTAAGTAAAAAATTTTCATTTTGTCATCGAATCATAATTACGTATTTGGACATTATATTAGATTTCATAGACAGCTAGATGCAAAATGTGAGTTGGTTTGAACTTGAAACCAAGTTTTTGACAAAAGTAATAAAAACAAGTATGACAAACCATACTCAGCGTCTATCGAAATACAACAGCACATCTATCACTATATGGCAAAATTTTGTTTCATCCAGACTTACATTTTTCGAGAAGTTCATGATTTATGTTTTTGTTTTTGAAAAACTGGTTTGCATTCAGCTAATGCTGTACAATTCCTACAAATGTCAACCTCATTGGACCTGGTTTGTTTTAGAACACTTAGATTTAGAAGTATTGCATCCTACCCAGTATTACTTTTTCTTGAGAAACCCACATAAAAATTACACCAAAGTCTAAATATTATTGAAAACTAGTTCTCATTTGACCCTGTATGGTGAGAGAATCAAGTATGATGAGTTGATCACTCTGCCAAGGACGAAAAAGCGGCCGGCGGAAAAAGGCCACATAAAAAAAAAATAAAAATCGCACAAAGTTCATTATGTGATGGTTCAGAGGATCCTGATCATTTCTGAAAATTTTGTTAAAGGTAAAAAAATGGGGGAGTGGGTTGGGCTATAGGCGGGGTGATGAAGAGTGTTTCTCAATTTTTTGATGTTAGTATGTTGACTAAGATACAAAAAGAAGATTCGGTTGTGTACTTTGTAAGTCATGGGCTTTATATATACATATATAAGTTGATATACTTCCAACCACAATAATTCTTCACACATCACTGGCACTCTGCTGCCCATCATGCACCATGCACCATGTTTTCATATATTGGAGGACGCGGCGTTCCCAGATGAATGGTACTATGTTTAGGGTAGGGCAAAGAAAAAATGTTATGGACTATTTGTACGGACCTGTTGGATGAACTTGATCTAATTTTTTTTAGAGTGTCTAACTTAAACATGCTACATTCTTTGTTTCACCAAAGACAGCTGTTTCATGCTTATTTGGCAACTCACCAGCATGGTCTAGGCTTGGTCTTTGGGACAACAATAGAAAACATAGCAACTATCCTGTATCACGAGTATAAGGTCTATAGCACTGTCTTATTTGGATAGGGTCTATCTTGTGCCAAACACAATCCTTTTAGGAAGTGATGATGGCATTGTAAAGGAAGTGTAGTCAAGCTACTTGACGCCATTCTTTTGTTGCCAAGCCGTAATATGGCACTTTTTGATATTCGCAAACACTGACTCTCCTCCATTATAACTGCAATTAGAAGAAAATAACCACACAGTGAAATTAACAATAGTACTATTTAAAAATTGCCACAACCAAGTTTTCCATACTTGATTCTCTCACATTATGGGTTGTCAAATTCAGATTTGAAAACAGGTTTTCATTAAAGTTAAGACTATGGTATGATTTTTACGTGGGTGTCTTTTAAGACAAAAATTATACTGTTGGGATGCAATGCTTATTTCTGAGTGTTCTAAAGCAAACCTGGTCCAAAAAGGGGATTAAACTTTAATTTCTGAAGACCCAATATACCTGAAAAGAAAAGTGACATCATTTTCACTAAAGATATGTAATGTGAGTTATTTAAAAAATACTACTTTATTCAATAACACTTTCTGAAACAGAAAGAGGCTGAACTATACATTCGCGCATATCGCAAATATTTCAAATCTCATTTTAAAATGGAAGATTAGGATGTAACTTGCACGAAAATATCATTTTTTCTTTAAGGAACCCTCTGCTTGCTATTTTATAGAACTTCAAAGTTGCATTTTGGGTGCTAATACTGTGGTACAGAATACTGTTTTATAAGCTGTTTTCTTGTTTATACAAAAGATTGTTCAAAATTATATGCATATAAAATACACTGTAAGTTACTGTGATACTGTTCATCGCAATAATGCAATTTTGCATTATTTTAATGATGAAATACTACACCACCGTCACTATCATATTCTCTCCATCTAGTTGCAATGTTGCCAAATCATGGATAGTAATATACCTTAATTTGGTGCAATCGGCAGAGGAGTCATGAAAATGCGATTTGGAGGTGTGGCTGGCAGGTTTTACTGTACTAAATCCACCCTACGATACCGTTAGCTAAAGAGACGTTTTTGAAAAATGCCTTGTGTGCTTCACAAAAGTACTTCGGTTATTCTATTGACTTTTTGTATGTATGTACTCGGAGAATTATTTAAAGTGAAGCTGATGTTACAAAATATACCTAATGAAATGTGATATATAAATGAGAAATAACTGAAAAAGTAACTGATGCAAATCACCAGATAATGAAAACATAACAAAGAACATTGCATTTTTTTTGATGATTTGATGAAATGATTGTTGATCTTTATTTAACTATAATGTTGGACGATGATATGTTGGGTGGACCTGGCGAGGTGGTCCAAATCGAAGTTGGGTATTTTTATATGCAATGACCCCTGGCGCCTTTTGTATTTTTTGTCACGCGAGCCGCTGGTGCATTTTTCACTGTTTAGACACATACTGTTCAAAATTTCATCTAGTTTTCGGTAAATATTGGGACAGCTTTTCATAAAACGAGCCATTGACAATAAATTAAGATTTTTATTTTGCAAATAACCTCATTTCTAATTACGTATTTCTCCCAAAAAAGGTACAACTTGGCAACAATGGACATCATTTATCTTATCTGTCAAGAAATGAGCCTTATAAAATGGCCATTGAAAATTGTTTGTACTTTCAAATATTTCTTATAAACGCAAAAACTTTGATCTCATTGAAAATTCGCGAAAAAAATGGTTAAGGAATTTCAAGAAGACATTGAAAAATCACAAAACAACACCTCTACACAGTTTACCAAGTAAATACCATCATTTACATACGTACTATGATCTGTTCAAGCTAATAAACTAATGTGTAATAACACGTCTGGTTTTGAACCTTTTTTTGCAAAAAACAACGATTCTTTACAGTTTCACATCTATTTGCCTTAGTACTATACAGTGTATGTTATATTATTATAATTTAGAGCATTCTTTTGTATAAAAAGTAAAAAAGACAGCATATAAAACAGTATTCTATTCTAGTGTATTACCACCAAAAATGCTACTTCGAAGTTCTATAAAATAGCAAGCAGAGGGTTTCTTGAAGAAAAAATGATATTTTCGTAAAAGTTACATCCTAATCTTTCATTTTAAAGTAAGAAATGAGGTATTTGCGATATGCGCTAAAGTATAGAAAGATATTGTGTGAAACTTTATTTTAGATCTTACAATTCATGAATAAAATTTATCAGTAGCTGTCATATCAGAAAAATTAGAGGGGTCCAATTTATAGTTGCACATGCTGCATACAATCGTTTCCTGAAAGCCAAGTCATAAATGTCAAAATCACCATTCTATCAATGTCTCCTAAATTAGCACAAACATGAATCAAAATCAATTCAACACACTCTGATCATAAATGCGACCTTGAATCAGTTGTGCTAATCTTACAGCAATCTATCAAGAGCAGAACTTGTTCCTTGGTGATTCATCAACATAAGAAAAGCATGACATCATTCTCGAATTCTGAGAAACCACTATCACTGGAAGTGTCTAGAATTAGTGACATGCTAAAATTTTGCAAGTGCAACAAGTATATAACGAATACTTTACTTACTCTTCGTTTAGGAGGGGCGCAATTCTAAGAATGTTGTCTAAAAACTTATAGTCGCTGCACAGTACATTGGGTTTTTGAGGCTGGCTATTTACATTCAATATTCTGAAGAGAATACATAAAATAACAGCAATAGCTGCAAGCAGTGCGGTGGACATGGTTGCAAAGATTACAAATTACACCCCTTAATCTCTAAAAACTGGTCCCAGTCAAAGGGGAGTTCGTGTTGTTCCTTAAACACTACAAATTCACCACCACCATTCGCCACTTTCACTCTCTTCTATTGTGTATATCCGACAGTGACGGCCAGTGACGGCAGAAAACAATTGAGACGCCGCAATCCAACAAATGGCATGATCAGCTGATCAAATTTTGATTTTGATAGATGTCACTGTGATATCTGTGACTCTGTGAGGCCCTGCGTTTTCTGCATTTTAATAGAGTTCGGCGAATCCCTCCATGATCCAAAATCACTCTCGTGAGAAGTCACGGTGCCTCAAGTTTATGTCCTATGTTCTGTGCTCATATGCCACTGTTACCAAGGTTACCACTTGTTCCGTAGATCTACCGATTTTAGTCTTATTCTATGGAACCACAGATTTTAATTCGAATTCTACTGAAAATCTCTCAAAGTCTTAAATAGTATATTTCTGATATAATTCACCTAACACAAAACCGATAAAATGTCAATTTGTTAACTAAGTAGGCTAGTATGCATTTTGCGCTTGCTACAAGTGAGCATAAAGTGAACGACACCTAGTTCCAAGTTGACGTCTTGCAGAAAGACCTACAATGTCATAAAAACTCGATCCAATGTCAAAAAAGGGCTTCCTGCTTCCTGCCACTGTTCAAGTTACGTAATACAAATGCCGGCAGGGGCGAAAGTTTTTAAGTTTTTTCAATAACAAAACCGATTTAAAAACATGGAGATAAGACTCAGGAGGCCAAAGCAATGGTCCCCCATCGTCCCTGATGAAGAATGGACCCAGCGAGAAGGCGAGAACAAAAATTACGATAAAATCAAAGGAATTGATGACACCAGCTGTAGCAGACGAAAAGGACAGAATCATCCTGACAGTTAGAGCAGAAACAGTAAAATCGACTTCCTCGGCACCCACAATTAATTAGTACTTAATCAAAATTTAGATTCCAAAGCTGACAAGGCAGTCAATTTAAAAAGAACTTTTGAAAATTTGACTTGTAACATGACATCAACCGATGATGAAATACATCCAGGACAAGGGTGATGTCTAAAAAAGATGCAGCGACAAACCGGACAAAACCGACAAGGACTTTCCTCCTCTTCCAAAAGCAAAATCCAAATTCAAGTTGACAGTCCCCTTCAAAACCGCCTACTCAATATTGGTCCATTGCATCGACTGATGGTGCTTTATCTCAACAATCTCACATTGCTGGTGAGTTGACCACCACAGCACCCTGCCAGAAGCGATTCATGCCCATTGTATTGCGTGATGCCACGTGGCAAAATCTAAACTATTCCTTTATAACGCGCAGTTGCCGTTGACGCGGGAATCATTTTGCTGAAAGTTGCTGGTGATTACCGTAGGATCATTCGCCTGTTCAGAGTGGAGGACGTGCCCCATCATACGTTCCCTCTTCCTTCAGAACGAAATATTCACGCGGTAGTCAGAGGTATACCCGCAAAATTTTCGGAACAGGAGATCTAAGAGGAACTAGAACAGAGGGGATATTCTCCTCTTCACATTATCCGACTTAAACGCAGTGGCGGCGCACCCATGTCTTTGGTGGTCGTGATACTGCCCAAGATTGAAATGCTCCAGCAGCTGTTCAGCGAACACGAGCTGCTGGGTCTAGCAATCAGAGTTGAAGTTCAAAAGAACTCGAGACCTATTGGGCAGCGCTGCCAAAGGTATGGTCATGCACAGTCTTACTGCACAGCATCTCCCAAATGTTTAAAATGTGCTTCCGACTACATTACACATTTATGCCGTCTCACAGGGCAAGAGGAGCGAAGGTGTGCGAATTGCGGAGGTGTGCATCCCGCTAACAGTCCCACTTGCAGATTCACCTCCAGGAAAATCTGGAACCCTCTGTGATTGAGTTTTGCACACTAGTGGTAGAGCTCCAGCGCCACATTAACGACCTAAAGGTGCGTAAAGTACCTGGAAAGAATAAAATTACCAACAAAGCACTGAAGTTGCTTTTGCTCAAGGCTTTGACTTTCTGGTCTGAGTGTAGTTTGGAGCTACAGGCAGTTAGACTGGTGGAGCATGTAGCCAAGGGGTTCACCCCGAACAAAAGTACTGGTATCTTGCTTTTAGATGATGTATCAAAGACATTTGACAAGGTGTGGCACATGGGCCTCTTGTATAAGCTCATTCAAAAGGGCTTTCCATGTTGAAATCGTTTCTGGAGCGAAAGAAGTTTTGGATCAAAATTAACAATTTTGTCAACAACACGGCCGGTAAGAGCCGGTGTTCCTCAGCGTTCGGTCGTAGGACCAATCCTTTATTCACTTAATATACATGACATCCCTTGGCCCAGCGACTGTGAGGTCTATCTCTATGCTTACGACACTGCACTGGTAGCCAAGTCGTGTTCTGGTAACCTAGTTTAGGACAAGCCGCAGAGTGCGGCGGAGGAAGCAGGAGTAGGTATGCGGATCGGTGGCTATTCAAAATTAATACAGTAGACTCTCAACTATCCGACCTAAGGTGGCGGGCAGCTAGTCCGGATAACGAAAAAGCCGGATAAGCCGAATTAATGTCCAAACATACGCAACTTTATTAAGCAAATGTATTTTAACTCAGAACTTACATTTGTACCTATTAAGGTATGAGAAAATGCATAATTTGCCACTGTGTTCTATTCTTCGCTGACAAGTCCCTCCACTTATCAGTTCAAGCTTTTGCTCAATTGTCCACTTTCTTTCGCTTATTGCTCATCATGACATAAATAACTTATTCAATTCGCAAACGAAACAACTCGCTTATTTGTAACGTATCTATGCACTAAATGAAATACGCATATGTACATAATTATGTATGTACATACTACAACACGTAAACTCGTTCTAACTCGTAAAAATTATGTTTAGCGGCGCCGGGTCCTAGGCGATCCGGATAAGCCGAAGTCCGGATAGCGGCGAGCCGGATACTTGAGAGTTTACTGTACTTCGAAAACGCAGGCAACCTATTGTACTAAAAAACGTCGCGGTGCTCCATCAGAGACATCAGTGAATGGAACTCGTATACCATGGGAACAATTTGTCAAGTACCTTGGAGTCATCATTGACAAGGATTGACCTGGCAGAAACATTCCGATATGTTGAAAACTAGATCCCAAATTGCGTTTCCACAGCTTTATTCTTTGTTATGAAAGTCAAATTTAAGTTTGATCAACAATATTCGGTTGTATAAAATGGTCATAAGACCCGCAATCACCTATGCATGCGCGGCTTGTTGCTTTCTTGCAAAGACGCACATTCAGGACTTGCAGAACCCTATGCACAATATAATATCCAAGGTATTATGTAAATCTGGGTAGCCAGACCTGACAAACTAACAGTCTGACGAGACTTTTAACTAAGAGCAAAGGCCACCGGACCGCTCTGACATACAATGACGAATAGTGCCGATGGAATTATCATCAACACAGATTATTAGCACACAAATCCTCACTATTCACCTATGCACTGCCGTTTCCCTCTAGGTATAGTATACGTATACAAGTTACAGCTTAGTCCTCCTAGTGTTGACAGCTAGCGCTAAGTTAACATCTTATAGAAAAACTTACGTTATGTCACAAAAAACCTACAAAATTTAAAAAAAGCGACAAAATGTCACTTTTCAAGATACGTAATAGCTGCATTTCAGCATCCAATGCTATAGGTTCTCCGCTCTTCGATTTTCAAAATCGACTGGATCTGAAGCAATGTGCCCTTCTCTCCAATTTTCAATCTCCTGCAAGTGCTTGCTTTAATGTAGACCAAAATCTACGGAAAATTTTCCCACGTATCTACGGAAAACTGATCGACTTTTCTGGCAACACTGAAATTCTCAATGTTTGCTGTTCCGTGTTCCGTGATTTATTATTATGGCTTATGGCGCTTATGGCATTTCGTGATTTGTGATAGCGGTTTGTTGATTTGTGCAACTTTTTTAATTTTGTTAATGAGTTTATGATTTCTAAGGAGATATTACGGCATTTTTCCGATTTTGCGGTTTCCAATACTATTTTTCCACCGTATACTGTAAGTAGATACATGTTTTTGTGGCTTGGGCGTCAGGTTCCCCTAAGGAACAGAGCACAATCTGCAATTTGAATGGTGTTGCAAAAACGTATTCGCTTTTTCAGCATACCCAGATAACTAGAAACCATACGTGACTCGACAGGTATATATCTCTTGGAAGTATAGCTTCATTTGCCAACTATAAAAATGAAGACTGTGTTCAAAGAGGATGATAAGGTTTTTGCAAAAATAAAAGGATATCCGGCTTGGCCGGCAAGGGTAAGATGCTATAAGTAATCATAATCACATCATAAGCATGTCTGCCAAGGGAAAATCCAAGCCTGAGAGAAAACATGTAAAGAGAGGCGAAAGTGTTCATCAAAGATAGAAGTCTCTATTTACATAGGACCAGCTTAGATTTAATAGGAAGATCATTAACGGTTTGTTGGGTCTCCTATCAGAGTCTCAATCAACATTTGAGACACTTGGGACTAGCAGAGACATTTGGGATTACAAATCTAAGTATTAAAAGCTATTTAAAGAGCTCTATCTTGATGTATGATCTGATCAAAAGATCATAACTTGACCACAATAGATCCATGTGGGTAGCAGTGGAGTTTGAGCTAATATACTAACATTGCTAAGCCCTTTCTGAAATCTGTAACTACACATGCCTCTGCCACATTTTAAATAGTAAACGAAAATATTGTTGCAATGCATAAACATTGTAGCTTTTCCTTGCACCAAATTATTTCTTTGAATAGACCCCTTTTAATAAACCAACTCTTGCTCATTTTAGTGGCATTTGCTCTGATGCTAGAATGTTTGTAGGTTCTATCGAATGATGGGAAGAAGTATACTGTCAAGTTTTATGGTACTGGAGAAACGTAAGTAATGGTCCATTAATTCCTCAACTGCTATCATTACATCTCAGAAAGTACAATAAGTGTTGGGACATCTTGAAGAGAGGCACTCCAATACATTATCTTAAAGACTTTGCCTGTGATGTGTAGCTAAAGACTTATGTCCAGCTTTAGCACTGAATGTAGCATGGTTGGCAGATATGGGCTTTTGAACAGCTGGAGTTGTATAGTGATATCTCTAAGCTACTTCATCATGTAGTCAGCCCTATATGAATCATGGAGATTAGCCGACATATTTTGTTTAAGCTTTAAAAGTGTGTGCGATGGTCTCCTACAGTCTATTGTCATTATATAAAATCAGTGAATTTAATTACTTGCAAAACTCAAAGCAGACTTGGAAAACATAATTCTATGACCCTACTATTAGATCCGAATTAATATATCAAATTGTATTACCGATCATTGATTGAATTGACTTGGTTTGTCTTCAAAAACTCTTTCACTTCAGTCAGGTATTTTATTTATATATGTATTTTAGAGGTGTCGTAAAAGACAGTGACTTATTTTATTACACAAAGAACAAAGATAAGTTCCAGAAGCCACTAAAACGCAAAGATTATATAGATGCTTTCACTGAGATTGAAGAAGCTATAGAAAAGGCTGGAGGTGATGGAGACCCAGATACTGATTCAGCTGCTAATGTAAGCAAATCATGAACATATTCAAAATCATTCAGGTGAACAAGACTTCCAGTTGGACCATTGTCAATGAATACACCAGAGTAATTTTGGTATTTCAATTTCCCTTGTAGTTGAAGTATTTGTTATGTGCTAACAAAGACTATAAGTTGTGGAGTTTGAGGTTGATGAATTTTTTGTAACCTCTTTGTCTTGATAACACAATTGATATTGGGGATTTTAGGATTCTCTGAATGGTACAGATAAATCTATTAAGACTGGGAAGAAAAGCTTGGGCAAGAGAAAGTCTACTTCTGAAAAACCACCTCAAGAGGATATTACTCCAAAAAAGAAAAAGCCTACAAAAGGTAAAAATACATAATCATATATGACAGTTATGGCAGTTAAGGCTGCACGTCCATTTTTTCGCTTTTTTTTTCAACTACCTGTTTGTAACAGAATTCTAAATCATTTTCATCTGATTACTTCCTGATGTGTACAAAACTGGATAAAAACATCGTTTTTAATTTTGTTTTGTCATAAAATTTGTCAATATTCCACTTTAATGGATGAATGAAACAAGTGATTACTTTTACTCTTATCACTTTTTCTTTTCAAGAAAACTTGGCTTCAAGCAAATCAAAGATTTTTCGAAAAGGAAAAGTGACAAGACAAAAGTAATCATTTGTTTCATTCTTCCATAAAAGAGGAATATTCACACACAATTTCAGTGCTGTACTTATAGTTGTTAACAAGTACCGATTGAAGAAAAAATTTACAATAAAATGCACACAAAATGCATTTTCTGACAAAACAATGAAAACATTGTTTTTCAGTCATCTCTATATACACCTTGAAATTATCAGATGAAAAGGACTTAGAATACTGCTGCAAACAGGTAGTTGAAAAATAATCTAAAAAAAAGGGATAGGCCACCTTAATGAATGAAACATTCCACTAAACTGCCTGTGTTGCTCCATATGTTTAAAAACCAGTCTATTGTGCTGCCCTCTCACATACAGATATTGAAAGGATCAGGCACTGAAGAGACATTAATAGATCTGGGTATATATATATATATATATATATGTGGATAGTAAACTACTGTTTCACGAGCATTATGAATACATTATTTCAAAAATATCAAAAAAGATAAATTACTTCTATAGAGTTTCCATAATCTTAGTATGTATTCCAAAAGAATTGTGTATAACACTATAATTCTTCCCCATTTTTTATATTGTTCAATCATATTGTTTACAGCAAATTAAAACATATTTTCAAAATTACAAAATCTACAAAAAAAAGCTATGAGAATCATTTTAAATAAAAACTAATATGCTATGACTAAGTCTATGTTAGAAGAACTACAGTGGTTGAATGTGACAAATTTCATGTTATTTCATATTCAAATTAAAAAATCATTTGTTACCACTACATTTAGAAAACTTCACAAAATTAAATAGTCATTATCATAATTATGAAACTAGAGGCAGTATAGATTTTCATCTGCAAAATTGTAATAGTAGTATAACTAGCAAATCTGTATTTCAAAAGGGAGAATTTGAATTTAATAAATACAATAATGATATTTATTAACCCTCAACTGGTAACGTCACGAAACTTGGCACAACTGGTAACATCGGTCTGTGAGACCCTTCTATATCTGTAGCCTTCTAGAAGAGTATAGTAGTTGGTATGGAATAATTTTGATCTGAGAGTAAATTTAACACTATTGTAGGATAATATTTATTGATATATGGTGAAATTTATAATTTGAAGGAGGACAAAAATAAGACTGGAAAATATATTGCAATTTTTGGCAGCACTTCATATTTTTCAAAAAACAAAAAAAAATAAACCGTGATTTACATTTCTAATAGATATAACATAAAGACAATATTCAAGTAGTACATGTTAGAGCAAAATTGAAGTAAAAATTATTTGGACAGGCTGGAACTTTATTCGTCAGTTTTTCCTGCGTAGCAGTCATTACATAGCCCAGTCAGGTGTTCTAGGCACATGTATTTTTTGCATTGTGCACAAACGAACCTAGTTTTTCTGTTTTTCCTACTACTACAAAACGCACATTGTCCTAGGAATATTTTGCTGAAGAGATCTTCTTACATTATGTTCAAATCCCAAATTTTCCAAATAATTTTTTCTGGGTATTTTTTTCTGAGTATTTGATTTGTAAATTATGTAGGAATTTATTCCCGCTACATTCAGACAGCTGTAAAAGATTACCATGGGCCAGCGCCGAGTTGCTCGCGCACAGTTGTATGCTGCACACAGTTTGTCTACAACATCGACTCCTCCTTTTGTTTGATTGTAGTCAATAATTATTTCTGGCTTTCTTGTAGTCGCATCAATATTATCGTCATGATGCATAGATGAGAGAACTAAAACGTTTTTATTTTTTCTAGGTATATACGAAACTATGGTAGAGTTTTCCCGGAAAGCAAACATACTGGTTTTTTCCGGCCTTCTAACGGTTGTCATAATTGGTGGTATTTGCGGTTTATTTCTCCTTAGCGTTCCAATTACAGTGATACGATGTTCCCGTAAAAGCAGCTCAGTAAGGTTCATGCTTGTAAAAAAGTTGTCCATTGTGACGTTCCTTCCTGTTCCTCAAATGGGTTCAGTAAGCCGAGGTACCAATGCAATATTTGAGGTATCTACACGAAATGGCCCCTCAGGTTGTTTTCCAACATAAAGCTCCATCTTAGATGTGTAGAACATTTTAGCATCTGCTAATGCATATATTTCTATGCCGTATTGATTGGGCTTATTTGGCATGTATACTCTAAACGAGCACCTACCCCGAAAGGCTTCTAATTTTTCATCGACAGTAGTGTACGCTGAATGGCTGTAATGCTTAGAGATATTGGAGTTGAATGTGTCAAAAATCTCACGTATTGGAGCCAACTTGTCAATATTTTGTCTTTGCACTCGTGTATTTTTGTCGTCAAAACGAATGTGCCTGAGGAGAAATTGAAACCTTCTCATCGCCATCGTGAGTCTATATATTTCTATTGATCTACCATCTGTTCTGAACAGATCTTCTGCATTCTGATGGTTACTTTTTTGAGATGCAGATATATATAGCATGCCTAGCAGAGCTTTCAGTTCAAAGATGTCTACTGGCTTATTGGTTCGGTATTTTGTTATCTCATAGGACTGCATAGCAATAAAAATATTGGTATACTCTACTATCTTTTTCGTGGTGAAAAAACATTCCCAAATTTCTTTGAAGGTATGTTTTTTCCGTATTTCGCCTCGGGGACCTGGTAATTGTGTGTAGAGGTTTTCTTGCCGAGTTCGAATGTTACGCTTCAATCCAAGATGTTTCTTCCATCTCGTACCATCTTTTCCAATAAGGCAAGGCACCCGTGTTGCTGGTTGTGCGGTAACATGGTCTTGGACATCGTCAGTGACTGGAATATCCTCTTTAGAGTTTGTGTCATACTCTAGTGTTTCTAAATTATCACCTTGTAGACTTTGATCATTATCTTCTACCTCGGATGCGGAAGGAGTTGGAACTTCCTCAAATAGGCGTAACAACCTTTCTTGTTTTTTTTCGTAAGAATAAGCCATTTTCGTGAAAATTGCCTAAAATATAATACATCAGTAAAATATAATGAAACAAAAAATAACTGACCGTCTAATTTATAAAGCACTCGGCTGTCCCTGTCTCAATATGTTACACAAAAGGTAACGTCGGTCGCTCGAACCGCGTTTCCGTATATCTCTACAACGACCTGCACACCAGCACTTGCCGTTTGTGACTAACTAGATAACACTATTGTCGAAAGGCATGATACTATGACTATGAAGGTAAGCTCACTTCGCGGTCGAATTTCGTACGCCTTTGCGCATGACGTCACGCGGAGACCTATGTTTGGCGCGCAGTACGAAATACAGTGTATTCAGATACGATTTAGATGTAGATTTAGACGTTGTGATTTCAATATTTGGGATGTTTGATTTATATTTTGTAGTGTTTTTAATGTCACATGATTGTTTTAGTATTGCATAGTATGCATAGATTGTATTATTTATGTTTTGATGTACTTGTCAATAGAATTTAATGGAGTTTGTCAGTTGGGCCGCAAGTAGAGATCGGGCGGGTCGCGCGTTGGAATATATCATTATAGATAAGTTATGGGTTTTAAAAATGAACAGTAACATGCCACCAGCCGTTTAATAACTAAAATTTGTTGTAACTCTAAATAAAGGGGCTCACTTTATTTATAGAAATAAATAATAATTCATTTGTGCATTTTTTCAGCAGAAAAAAGTAGATGACGAATATGTCGCATCTCATGTCTTTATAGTGTTATGTATAAATAGGTAGTCTACTTACATAGTTTTTCAATATTTTTATAGATAGGTGACAATAAAAACCTCATTCATTGGTAAACAGTTTTATTTAATTTATTTTACAATATTCATCGGTATAAATACACAAGTCTTATTAATAGAAAACACAAAAGAATCTCACATTTGGACCATATTGGCAAAAAAGAATATCTCAGATTTTTCCCTAAAATCTTATTTATTGGTAAACAGTTTTATTTAATTCATTCTACAATAGTCATCAGTAAAGATACAAAAGATTCATCAATAGAAAACACAAAAAAGTCCATTTCGAGCACATTGGCAAAAAAAATCCCAGATTTGTCCCTTTAGGCGCCTCAAATTTTATATACTAAGTGACGAACACCCAGTTTAAATGGTTTTATTTTAATAAAATTTTGTATAAGTATTTAATGAAGCATAATAAGTAAATGATAAAAAATTCAAAATGATTGCACTGCTTTAAAGCCCTTTGACCTTTAATAATGTGTGGATGCACCCTGATGTGCTACGCATTCTCCAACGCGCCTAGGCATGCTTCTGATCAGGTGGTCAATGTCCTCCTGTGGTATCTCATTCCAGGCAACCACCAACTCCTCTCGAAGTGCTTCTAGAGTCTGAGGAGGACGTTGCAAATTGAGCAATCGCCTACCCATCACATCCCACACGTGCTCAATTGGGGATAAGTCGGGAGATCTTGGTGGCCAGGGTAACAATGTGACATCATTATGTTGAAAGAAGTCTATTGTGACTCTTGCAACATGTGGTCGGGCATTATCTTGTTGGATAGTTGGATCTGACAGGGTGTCAAGATAGGGTAAATGAAGGCTGAAATATTCATTTTTAGATCGTTAGTGAATTAAAAAAAAGCAGTATAAAAACCGGAATGTCCAACTGATAAGGCTGAACATTTTTTCACTTGTTATTTACAGTAAGATAAATACATTCACCAACTTTTATTAAAATAAAACCATTTAAACTGGGTGTTCGGATTTATATGTATATCACTTAGTATATAATTCATTGCACAATTTTCAACTTTTTCCTTTTTGCAACCTGGGATTTTCCTTTATGTGCCTGTTCAAACTCCTAATTTTAAAATACATCTTGCAACGAAAAAAAAGATGCTTGGCATCTGCACTCAAGCTAACTGATGCAGCTAAATCCATCAAAGATTTCAGATAATTTTTGGTTAATTTCAATGTTTCCCCATTAAAAGTGCCGAAAATATGGTCAAGTTCATTACATTTGACCATAAAATCGGCATTTGGTTTGAATAAACCACCCTCAGAGAGGTGGTTAACCCATGAAAATGATGATTCACTGTCATCTGGAATAACACCTAAATTTTCTTTTTTCCTTAACCTATATGCTATATAACCAGCCAAATTTTCTAAACCATCCCATTCTAATTCTTGGAGATGGTCAATGATTGTATCCTCTGGATCGGAATCTTTTTGTACAGGTTCATCACAATTTGGTACATTTAAAACTTCAAACATTTGTCCAGTAACAATTTCAAAGTCATCGACATCATTCTCATACACATTAAGGTCCGAAATACTACTTACACTAGCGATTGCAATATTTGGCACGTCCCCTATGGTAGCAATATTTGCTGATTTGGAAATAATGTCGTCATTTCGTCCCATGATGTAATTGCGGAGTCTATATTTGAACTGCAGAGCAGTGGGGTGATCATATAAGCCTCCAATTGCTCTAATTTGTGAAAAAAAACCTACTAAGGGATCCTGATTCAAATTATAAGTTAATAGATATTTTATACCGAAATCCTCTTTCATGTCATAAAAAAGCTGCTTCAAAGACTGTATGCTGATTATAATACCTCGTTGAAACGGCAACAACGTGTTAGAGCCGACTTTTCTCAGATTTTGCATTGTTTTTTCCATTGACTCTAAAATTTGATTTTGCTCATCTAAAGCCAACCCATATGCCTTTACACGTTCCCTTGAATCACTCTGAGGTATTCTCGAATTGAATACGTCAAACCAGTCATTGGTGATCTTTATTAATTCTGAACATTCAACCCAATTGTTTTCACTTTTGAAAATACCTAATGATCCCAGCCTTGAAATTGCTTTTGATACTGTGTGTGAAAACAATTTGGTTGCAAATTTAACTTTTTGTCGTTGAGGACCCTTAACTGTTAAGAAATCGGTATTGATTTTATGTGCAATATTTAAGTCTAAATTTTGTGTATTTTGGAGTAAATCTACAATTGGTTTAGAGGTTATAATCTTTCCATTCATAATAAAACCATCATCAAGAAAGTGATTTCGCAATAGTTTAATCATGTGTGGTGCATCTGCAAACACATGTACTCTTTTTTGGCTTACAGGATTTGTGAACCATGTTCTTTCTTCTGTTATATTCAAGGATTTCCATAGTCCCCTGTTACTACCTCCTAAATCGGAATTAATTGCATAAACTGGGTATCCCAGATTTTCTAATTTGGAAATGATTTTAAACAAAAGATCCTTCGTTATTATCCTGTCATAATCATAAAATATGGGCTGCTTCCACCTTCCACATATTCCACGAGCCATGACAACTTGCACATATTTACTGGGTCCTAAGGTTCTGTCACTCTTCTTATCATATTCATAACAGCTTTGAATTTTCATTTCATCAAAGAGTAGGACACATGCTTTTTCCATCATTGGCAGAGCTGTGTCTTTTATCAGTGTCAGTACTGTGTTAAGTATACCTGAAACAATTGAAGTAGTTATATGTTATTCAATCTTAGTTACATGCATAATATTAATCATAAAAATTAATAAACAATCAACAATGCTGAATGACTAAAAAATGACATTAAACATGGGATGAGAAAGCTCTGAAGAACACTCACAATGATGCAGATCCTAGAATGTTTTCATCAAATTACATATTCAAATATCTATAATTTGTAAAAAGCAACGCTGATGGTTTTACTCTTCATGGAAGCAATCATAGTTGCACAATTGTTAACAAAGTATGTTTTCAAGTATACCTAGACAAATGACCAATACAAATCTATACCTATCTATCTATCTAAATACCTGGTTCAATATTAATTTTACTAGCCCATCTTCTCAAAGTGGATACTGCAGGAAGAGGATAACCCCTTTTTCTGAGTAAGCGGTATGACCTGGGACCACCTGCATATAAGGAAATAGCTGAAGCTACATCTCCAACACTCCACTGGATTTCCTTGGTTGATTTCAGCTTACGAAGTTGCCCTTCAGTGAAAACTTTTGAAATTTTTTCCTTTTCTTCCATTTCTCTTTGAAGTAACTGCTTCAATTTTGCAATTTCAACTTCAAGACTTGTGATGTGTTGATCAACATCACATTTACTAAAATAAAATAGATATTTAGATGATTGTATATATATTCTCATGATTATATTATTTATTATATAATTTATTCATTTTTTACCTTGTTTGAGTGGATACAGTTCTATTTTTCTCAGGAATGTTCTCTTTGTCTCCCTCACTTTCACTTTGTACTTCTGCCATTTCTACCTCTAGTTGTTGATCGATTGATTGTACAAGCTCCCTATTCAACCTTTGTCTTATTCTCCTAGTGCGAGGAGTCTCAGCCTTTGGTGATTTGATCAAATGAACAGAGGGTATTGCATCGCTTTTCAACTTCCATTTATTTTCAGGTAAACCCAACAGTTTCTCCTTTAGACGATAATCGCTTTCCACAAAATGGTTCGAACAAATTCTTGCAGTTTCAGTATTGAATGTGTGTTGCTGATAACACTTCAGAACCCATTCTTTGCGAACTTGTTTGTGTTTAGGAAAGCGGAAGAAACTGCAGGTTGAAAAGTATCTGCTTTTCTTTTTGTTGTTGTTTTTACAACCCACCACTGCACAGTACACCATAGTTCAATGTTAGATTAACTGTTTTTCACAAAATTTTAGCCACACCAGCAGATCACAAACTAATTAAACAAAGCATAAACATTAAACAAGCTAAAGTGCCATATAAAACTGAACTTCCCAGGGGATTTGGGTCTCCGAGTGACGTCACGTGTGCGAGAGAGATAACCTGATCGCATGCGCGTGGGTTTATCTTCTCAGTCATAGTATCATGGTCGAAAGGTACTAGGAAGCGCAGTTGCCAAACACTCCGCGTTTGTTTTTTAGCGCGAGAATTCTCTTCCATCGGTCTCAGGGACCGTACGTTACCAGTGGAGGGTTAAACAGTGTTCGAATTTAAAAATGTTTAAGGTGAAATTAAAAAATCGCTTTATGAATACTTAAAATACATAGTGATGTAATTTTAATAGACAAGAATGTAAAACTACAGAAAATGGATTGAAGAAAAATGTGTAAGCATATAATTATACAAAATTGACTTTGTAGGATTAATGCTAAATAAATCTTCAGCAAACCAAAATTTAAAAATCAGCACTCACATGTAGTATTCCTGGTCGAGAGGGATACATAGGCATAGATTGATACTATAACTTTGATTTGATTAGAAAGGTAAACTGCCTATGAGTTGTGATTTTGACATTTATCTAATAGCTCCCCGATCCCTTCAATATCTGTATGTGATTTGAATTGTCAACTTTAGATTAAGTGATTCTTACTTAGCTATATATTTTGGTTGTTTTTACAGTTGATAGGATATATGAAAACAAGGGCTGGTTTAGGAATCTGTCTAGGGGAGGGGTGCAGTGTGGTGATCGCAGCAGGGCGGGGGGGGACTACGGCGTCTATGGGAAGCGCTTCCTCTCCACCCGTCTAAATCCGCCCTTGTGTGAAATGTCAATTGTCAATATTTTACTAAGTGGTAAAAGTCATATATTTCTGTACACAGGCTAGATAACTATGTTTTATTCCAGATTCAGCAGCAGAAACACCAGCAAAAAATGCTGCCAAAAAGAAAGATGATGAGGAAACTCCTGTCAAAAAGGCACAACAGAGAAATAGATCTCAAGGTGAAAAAAGTGATGTTGATGAAAAAGAGAAACCTGAAAAACAGACCAGGAGAGCATCACAAAAAAGAAACAAAAAAGAGAATGATGACTTAGATGATCAAGATGTATTTCCTACCAAGAAAACGAAAAGTACAAAGGATGAGTCCAAGGAGTAAGTTACAGTTTTACTACCTAACTTACCACAAAAGTTGAAGTACTGAGCAGAATAAAAATTGCCCCACTAATTTTTTCAGGATTGAGTTTGTCACCATTGAGGGCGAACAAACATCCCCCAATAAACGTCAAGATGTTGATTCTAGTAAAGAGAAATTGGAGGAAAAATCTGATGAGCTAGATTTCAAGGTGGAAGTCGTATCAGAGAAATCTTTGAAATACAACATTACTTATGTAAGGCATACTTTGATCAATTTTAAACAGTGTACTAATTAATATGTTTTTCAGGCTAAACACGTCAAAGAATCAGAGTCATTGTATAAAGGTATGTTTATATTGTGTAGATGCATTTAATGAAGATTTTATACTTTATAACTGTAGACGAAGCAAAAACATTGCACTCATGTGGGGGCATTTGTGTTTGTTTTTTTTCACTAAGAATGTTTGTTGGATGGTAACATGTATCGGGTGGACTATTCCATATGCTAGAGGCAGGCGCGTGTGGCTTAGGCCCGTATCGTCACTTGTCCCTACAATTGTAAGGCGCGTTTATGGCCTCTTTGATTGTCATACTTCTTTCTCTCCTTCAAAAATTTCTAGATTACACTTGTCCCGTGTCAGCGTCAGCGCTCTCATATTGTGAAGATATGTTTTCTTTTTAAATTGTAGGAAATTTCAGGCTGATAAAACATGATATAACTCAAAAGCAAGCACAATTTGATGCAAATAGATGTTTGTGAGATAACCTCAAAATAGAGCGCTGACACGGAGAAGTAGAAAACTATGACAATCAAGGAGGCCATAAACGCGCCCTACAATTGTAGGGACGACTGACGATACGGGCCTTAGAGCCCGTTATTAACAAATTATGAGCCCAAATTACTCTTTGGGATTTTGCAGGGTAAAACTTCAACTTTAATTTTTTTAGACGCTTAGCTGAAAATTGCAATTTTAAGGGTTCTCAATTTTAAATCGCTTATAAGTCAAAAACTCACAACAGAGAGGGGTTACAAAATACCTTTTTACTTGCCACGCCTCATTGGCAGAGGAAGTATTGTAACAGGCACATATCTCAGTTTCGTAGTATTACCAGAGGTGTGCCACAGGGTAGTATTTCAGGACTTTTGTTGTTTTCAATGTATACGTCAGATTTGAAAAGACAGCTGGAATTTTGCAGTAGACATCAATATGCAGATGATACACCATGATATTACTGTTTTAAACTTGATGATGCTTATGTTGCCTGCATGCGTATCAATTCTGATCTTGAGTATTTATCTAGATATGTAAGAGCCCACAGCCTTGTATTAAATGACAATAAAACTGAATTGCTTATTTTTGGATCAAGATCGTGTGAGGTTACTGACAACCAGAATTTTAGAATCTGCATTAATAACACTGTATTACAAGCAAGCAACCAATGTAAAAATTTGGGACTATATATGGATAATACTCTTAAATTTGTTCCCCACGCTAAGCATCTCTTAAAAAAAAGCTTATGCTAAATTAAGGACTTTTTATCTCGACAAGAATGCTCTCTCTACTGAAGTCAGGCTGAATCCATGCGATTCGTTGATATTGTCTTCCTTGTCGTATGCTGATATTGTATACTGGCCTGCTCTTACTATTGGAGACAAACGTTCTATTCAAAAAATTCAGAACTCGTGAATTAATTTTTCGTACGGTTTGAAAAATTATGACTTCAGTGACGAATTTCGAGCCTCTGGCTGGTTCAACATGCATGAGCGCTTTTTGATACATCTTGCTTGCTTAACTTACAATATTAACAAAACCCAGCTACCACTTTACCTCTATACCAAACTTGTTAAGAGATCGGATCTTCATTATAGGGAAACTCGTTCTTGTAATCTCTATGATGTTCCGTCACATAGTACTGAACAGTTTAAAAAGTAATTTACTTATGTTGCATCTACCATCTACATGAGGGTGTATCGCAAGTTTTTGATGTTAGTACGAATCTTGTTTACTTGAAACCCATCTTTGGTCCAGAAAAACGTATTGGCAAATATATCTACTAATAATAATTACCACTACAATTAAGGCCCATATCCCATTGTTTCACCAATCGATATATACCCCGCTTGAACAATAATTCTTGTGGCTGCTGCTTGAAGAATTCTTTTACGGCATTTTGTACTTCTTCGTTCGGCTGAAAACGCTTATTCTCTTTCAGTGGCCCAAAGATGTGACAATCGCTTGAACTTTAACTTCTTTGGTGGCGGAGAATTAGCGTGTTTCCATTGCATCGACGACAGCTTACTGGAAGGTTCAAAATAATGACACCAAGATTCGCCGCCAGCAATTATTGACGAAAGAAACTCACTACCGTTTTGCTTGTATTCCTTGAGATGTTGCAAAGATGAGCCCATTCGCAAGTTTTTTTGGTTCTCAGAAAAAAGGCGAGGAACTCAAACTTTGCTGTAACCCAATTTGTGTACGATACTATGGACAGATCCAAATTGTTCTGATTGAAATTCGACGATTTTCTGTAAGCATGCCTTCCACACATGTCACATTCCTTGACAGTTGGATACGCAAAACATGCGTTTCCATACACTGCTTACATTCGCGTATCAATTTGCAATGATTGCAAACCTTCAGCATACAAAAATTGAATGATCGCACGCTGATTATATTTGGACGGATTGTAAAAAGCAAATGCCATTTTTAGGTCACAATACGTAAAATCGTAGTCAAATACAAAAGACAGGAAATTATCAGTGTGACGTTTACAAACACAACTAACATTGCAAAACTTCAGTTAATTGATTAGAATTGTTTCCAAGGCTAACCTGACCAAAGATCGGTTTCAATTGAACAAACCTCGTATATTAATTACTCTTCCAGCACCGGCAATTCTCCGCACCTATTAGAGAAATTTCACACATCATAGATTTTCAAGGTGTTGCGATATTATCACATAGATTACGCTTGTAGTGTAATTTAATGAGGTTACTTGACCTCAAGAGGTATCAAACATTAATGACACACAGTTTTGCAGCAGAGCTTCACAGAAATGAGGCTACCGTGTACGGACACGCTCATTGTTGCAGTCTGAGAGATTGTCTTTTTATGAAAAACTCAAACAGTGCACTAATGTCTCTGACAAAATTCACGATGTTTTGATTTCATTGTACTACTGTGAAAACTCTCATAAGCGGGCAGCTATGGTTCCAGCTTTTTTGTCCGCTTATTGGAAGTGACTGGTTAAAAGAAAACTAACAAATATAGGAATTGCACTGTTTTTTTATTTATAAGTGAGATGATAACATATATGTATGTACATACATACTATTACATATATGAATTTATACAGTATAATATGATAATTACATATATTAAATTAAGTCTTATTATAACATGTATGTACACATTGTACATAAAATTATAATTTATAATTACAATTATGTATGTATTATGAGATACGTACATACATATGTATTGGTGACATGCGAAAACAAATTTTTAAATAACAAAAGGACAGAAAACTTATTTAGAAACAGTTTGAAAAAATGTTAGAAAAGTTGCTTGCTTGAGTTTTTTTTGCTTTGCATCATCACGACATTTTTGAAAATGACATTCCAAATGTTTAATTTGTTCAAAGGAAACATAGTCATCTTTTGCGAAGTTTTTCAGTGCTTTTACATAATTAAGGCTTCACCATAGCTTTTTACTTTATTTTCCTCTTCTTGAATCTCCTCAATTTCGTCATCCGTCTCATTTTCTTGATTAGATTGACCACCTAGTTCTACGACTAAATGTTCAAGCTCAGCGTCTTCTTCAGTTGGAGTGTTTTGATCAATGCTCACATATTCATCTAAATTTTGATCGTTGGTAATGTTCAGCTCATCCGCAGCTCGGACCATCGTTGCAAAAACAGATAATGGCAAGTCATCCTCGGGATGTGGATGTGGCTGGCACATGCTTGTTGTGTCTGAAGGCAAAAAGATAATTTTAACATTTTTTAGATGTAAGTATCGAGGATGAAATGCAGCATTGTCTAAATATAGCAGAATTTTGCTATTTTTAATGCCCATTTTTCGATCCAACTCTGCTAACCACTCACCCATTATTTCTCGTGTCATCCAGGCTTTTTTATTTGACTTCCACATAACAGGTAAATCCTTAATGTTTACATTTTTCAATGCTCGATGCCGTGCAGATTTGCCAATCACTATCAGTTTTTTTTTTGTCCAGTCATGCTTGCACAGAATAATACGGTTAGTTTTTCTTTCGATAGGTAATTTTTCCCCCAAAGACTTTTCAGACTTTAAAGCTAGTGTCTTATCCGGAAGCGCACGAAAATATAGACCGCTTCCGTCGGCATTGTAAATGTCTTCACATTGGTATCCCAAAAGCAATGAAGGAAATTTCTCTATAGATGCATCAACTGTCTCTTGATTTACATCTGCCCCTTCACCAGAAATGCATTTAAAACTAACATTGTTTCTTTTACGCCACTTTTGAAGCCACCCATCGGATGCACTAAACTTTTGATAACCATATTTTTGTACAATTTCCTTTGCTTTTTCTTTTACAAGCCCCCCAGATATGGGTATTCTTCGATTTCTAGCACTAATAAACCACCCATGCTTCATCGATGTTTAAGCCTTCAGTCCTACAAAAACTTCTTTTTTGTTGTTCATTTAGTCCAGACTGCCACAAAAGTCGGATATCCTCCTTATTTTTTGCAATCCACGTCGCTTGTATCTTTCCTATATTAAATCGCAATGCTATAGCCCGAGTTGATAATTTTTTCTTATCAATAAAATTCACAATTTCCATCTTTTCTTTTAGCGTCAATATTCGTTTTTTCGGCGGCATATTATTATAAATTAAAAGTGCACACTAAAACACACAACAAGACTAACACTGCTAAACTGCTAACTCTAAATTCTAACATCTAATACAACAACTTGTGACCGAATGGCCATATTAAAGTAATGGTTAAACTTCATTTGCTCGGTTATTAGAGCCCCGCGATCGCTTATAGGAGATATTATTTAGTCCTAAAAATTGCCGCCCGCGTCCGTTTATTAGAGCGCGCTTATTGGAGTGTTCCAAAAAATTTTGCCGCTTAAGGAAGATGGTCGCTTATTAGAGCTGCCCGTTAAAAGAGCTTTCACTATACATGTATAAGTGTACTCGAAATTGTTTCAAAGGCGTTGGAAGTTAATCTACTTGACGTTTCTTGTTTAGATAGATAGATAGATAGATAGACATTTATTTCCAACAGGTAGATGTGCACCCAATAACAGGAAATGCATAAAATCAAATGAACATTTCGTTTTATGTAAAAGAAAAAATATAACTAATGTTATATAAAAATAAACACTTGAATAATATAAAAAAGATATTTCGAAAAAGTTACATATTAAATGTGATCTGCAAAATAGAACTATAAACTAGCGAGATAGGGGAAAAATTGATGTCACAGCTGTTACATATCAAATTAAAATTGTTACAAATTATCGAAATAGGCGACTTACCATGCTTACCTCAATAGGCACTTTCCTATGGCTTAATGTATTTGTGAGCATCAATCTAATGTAAGATATTTCCACAGGGATTTTTTTATAAATCATAAAACATTTGTATCATGATAGTACAATATACAATCTTCTTAAGTACATACTTATTGGAATTTTAGGTAGAGCTGTAGAACCAAGGGAAGATTACATCAACCAAGTGCTACCTATACAGCTACCCTCCGGTACCATTGGAGGCTTAAAATTGCACACAACATGGCCGCTGAAATTTGAAAATGAATACGAGAGAGCGCTCTATGACGAATCTGTCGCTCTCAGAGTTTTGGAAGCGAAATCAGAAGTTACAGTATCATCAGACTCTAGTATTATCAGTAATCCAGAGCTATTCATACCCGATATACAAATGACTTTAGATGAAGTTAAGCAACGTATATGCAAGAAGGAGATCGAGTGGAAAAACATAAAATTGAAAAGATTAACGGTAAGAACATTGCGTTTTTTGAATATTTGCACGTGCATATTCATCTGGGATTCTGATTTTTTGATATTATTTTCACCTGCTTTCTATTAATCGAGGATAGGATAGTTTCTCCAAAATTGTAATTTTAACAGCTCAAATTGAAGATTGTTCACATTCATTTTCATGATGCAGTTTATCCTCGTTTTTCACTCTTACGTCGTGCTAGACAAAAATGGCGCCTTTAAAACTACTTCTAGTACAATTTCCCATTTAGTGCAATGACATCAAAAACACGTAGGTGTAACATTTCAGTTTAAGCATCTCTTCCAGCGTGACCTTCTCGTTGTTGTTTTAATTATCCTGTGTCACGAAGTCTGATAATTAAATTTACAAACATCCGTGGGGCCGGATGATTTAAAGGAAACCTTTCCGTATACAACCTGCATGCTGCGACTGCATTTTGTTGGCACTCTCCGTATGTTAGTGTTATGTCCACTAATTCATCGATTTCGTAAACATGGTCTATTTAAGGAGGCTATAAAACTTTTGCTTGAGCGTTATCGCGTTTCCTTGTCGCTAAGGAGTTCTCATGAATACCGCAACATTTTTAATATACAGTAGCGTCCAACGCGCAAGGTTGTCAGGTCCAACGACGATCACGTCGCCAGGAGGAATTAGAAAAATCAACCATTTCACAGTACCAAAAAACAAGTGATAGCTTACATAATCGCTTACATATGCTATACCTAGAAATATTAAAGCTTCTAGAACCTTTGGCTATGAGAAGACATAAACTAAGCGTTGAAAGCATCAAGGTCTGTTTTACCTTCAAATTGACAAGGTAGCAACAGAAAATCACACTCCCTCTCTTTTTCTACTCCCCCGGTTTTCCATCGATTCGAAAATACTGTATTCTTGGAAGGACTTGATAGAAAGGAGAAGGAAATCAAGACACAGGGTTGCCAGGTTTGAGTAAACGTGTTAAACCAATCAAAATGGAGATAATTTTGACATTCAAAAACTAACCAAAGATTTTGGTCAATATTTTCTCCTTATAATTTTATTTATGGAGCCGAAAACTTTAAAAAAGCACATTACAAATGAACAAAAGGACAAAATGATTGAATTTCTCCGAGAGCAGCCCCAAACGCACCAGGGAAAACTCAATCATAGATTAAAGGATACTGTTTTAGAATGACTAAAACTTGATATCTAGGACTCTTGCCTTTGTTTTGATCAAAAGTACAGAAGCTCATGGGGGTGGACGTATGAATGGAGTCAATATCTTCAGCAATTCATACACCAAATCTTTGGTCAATCTAAACATCTGTACAAATTTTTGGATCCGAAATTATGAAAGGATCTCGGTGCCCCAGAATATCTCTCTCAATCTCCCATTCCTCAGGTGCCTCCTCTACATCCTCGTTAATAATACCGTTCCAGTACATCAATTGATTGAGATTAACCATTTTTGCAATGTATTTAGCAGGAACGACAATAACAATGTCAAACACGTCAATTTTTAGGTTATATAGCGCTATTTTCTACTGATTTTTCCTGTTTCTCTTGGTCGATACCAAGAGAAATCGCGACTCCCTAAAGTGAATTCATTTCTATCACTTTTCGGTAGAATTCATTTCAAGAATACTGCATTTCTTGGCCACATACACTTTTTGCCACTTTCTCTCACAATTTCTACTCCCTCAAACTCAAGAATAGACGTCCGGGATGTAAAATATTGTCCTTCATTTCTGATAATATATTTGCCTTAATCATACTGTTGCTATCAATGTATAACCACTATAACATGTGATTTAGCAGCATAAGCAAAGCATACGTTGCTACCTTACCAACACAAATTTAATACACGGGTCGTCCAGCCGTGGCGATAAAAGTGGTCAAGATGCAAATCACTACATCATCACGACAAATTTAAAGATATCGCTAAAATTCTTAAATAACGCGTGTTTGATTTAGCAGGATTTTGTACTATAGGAAACTTACTAATTGTGTTGTATGATGGCTCGGGAGATGGAGCAGCATAATCAGTAGTTGCACATGCCACTTGGAAATATTCCAACTGTAAAAGAGACCTTCATGAACTCGCAAGTGTAGTCAAATCTTGGGTATCGCTAAAAAAATGCCTATCACCAAGTCGAAAAGGCCGACGCAAAAGCATATTCAAAATCGCTGTCGGATGTCAAGTAGACTACTTAATGGGCCTACCACACGCGCAAGCTTCACCACACTTTTACCTGAGCCGGCCGGTTTGTACATTTAACACTGTGCGTGTGGTTGGCGTTCCGTTGGCTTGCGCAAACCTCGCAGCGTGGCTTGCGCGAGTTTTGATTTGTTTCAGATTTTGCCTGGCCTGCGCTTACTTGCGTGTGCGTGTTGTTGAGTGTTCAGTGTTCAAGCCACAGTCTCTCCATACTCGCAATCGGAGAACTATTTTCAAACTCGACATTCACAATAAGAAATAGGCCAATCATGACCTCAACCCTCTGAATCACGGAACCTTTCTCAAATCTTGGTATGATCTTCCAGTAGCCAGGAACCTTAAAGTAGCGGTCAGCCTTTCGTGAGGTGATATACTCTCACTCATAACAGTATTTTGACGTTGAATGAGAGGCGTAACCAAGCGTAATAATTCACTATAGGCATTTTCATCCATCCGTAAGTAATTTCGCCAGTCGTTTGAATCATCTCCTTTTAAATCCTTCGGTAGATTTATATGTTCTATCCAACAGCTATTTCTTCATCCACTTCGATCGTTTACATTTAGACTTTAGCAGTGTATTTTTCTTCATTAACAAAACCTTAAAATATAACAACAGAAGAAATAGTTCTTCATTGGAAAACATTGTTTCCACGACGACGATTTTGACAAGATTGTGGCTTGCGTATACTTAACTGTGCCGTGTGGGAGCTACGTCCGTGTTCAAGCTTCACCACAGTCTTACCTGCTCAGGTAAAACTGTGGTGAAGCTTGCGCGTGTGGTAGGCCCATAAAAGTCTGTCGCGCAGACAATTGCGTAGCAGCTGCCAAGCGACAGTATTGCGTGAGCCGGGCTCTGAAGGTCATAGAGATTCGACCATAAAATCAAACGTTATTTTCAGAGAGTTGTGCTGCTGTTTAAAAAACAAGTTTGTTTGCTTCCAGGTGGAAGCTAACCTGGTTAGTCTGGACGCGAAAATCCGAAGCTGCTTGGGATTGGACAGCGCGAACCCTAAGGAAGCCATCGGGCACCTGGAGGAGATGCGACAATTGATTTTCGACGAAATAATGCTAAAGAAGCACGCGCATGTGGTTGAGATGGTACGCAGGCTGCGCAAATATGTCGGCAATGCCAAGGAGTGGAACATGCCCGAAGAGTCACTCAACGAGTTCTCTACCCAAGCTGAGAAGGTCAGGAGTAAAGCTGAGCAGGTGTACACCAAGTTCAAGGTATGCCAGAAGTAATTATTGCTTGAAATTTGTAGATAATGTAGATGTCAGAACTTGTAATTAAGTATTTCTTACTGCGACGAGTTGCATACATCAAAAGTGAGGTTATGATCAAAAAAAGTTCTAAAATGTTCATTCTGCCATCGTGACATTTTTATTGAATACATTCATAAATCGTTAACTACTCAAGGATTCAATTTATTGTAAGAATTTTACAACTCATAAACATTATAAAATGCTTATATAGGCATGTTGAGCTCTCTTAAACGATTTTATTATGGAAATCTCTGAACTAGATTGTTTACGTCCATTTTTCACTGCTGTTGTAGATTGTAGATTGAGTTTTTCATCATTCTGTCGGAAAAATGTGTTTGAAATTCAAATCATCTCTTGCTAAAGAAACCAGCCTGTAGGATTTGATTCTTATTCTAGATACCTATTATACAGATAGTAACCATATATCATACACTGAGAACCAAATTTATCTGACGACTTGACTTGAATGTGTACGAGAGAGAAGCTCATCATCACGTGGCCTAGCTACGCTCACGCGGCAACTTGCCGCGTTGGCAAAATGTTACACCAGTTCCTTGAATTAAGATGCATGTTGAAAATATGCGTTAGTTTATTCTCTACGTCCAAATAATGGTTTTATTTTGAGCGTACACATTTTTGAATTGTGAATTGTGGCGAATCTGTTTGGGATCGATTCCGGATCTGTTCTAACGGCGCTCCGTTTGAGGTCAAAATGAAACGTCAGGATCGCCACAAATTCCGCAACATTGCATCATTGGTTCGCTTGGCAACACCTCAGGCAGGCAGTGCTAATTTGTATTCCGTAATGGTATTTGTTACCTTTTATTTTTCGACCGCTCGCTGTCGCAAAATGTAACAATAACTCAGGATGTGTTGATTTCATTAGCATCAGTGGACATATAATAATTCTAAAATAAATTAAAGCACTAAGTCGCATCAAAATTGAAATAAATAATTCTAATCAAAATCCAAACAAAATATTAAATGAAATGTTCAAACAGACCTCCTTTTTGGGTTTGACAGTGCCGTAACCGATTGTAGAAGCCCGTGCGAACATTTTCTGATGTAATATACCACCTTGATCAAAAAGTTCCCGGAATTTATTAAAAAAATAAACAATACAAGTTTATTGTTTAAAATTGATACTGTTCCCTTCAAAGTACTCCTCATTGACTGCAATGCACTTATGCCAACGCTTGATCCAGTTCTCGAAACATTTTTTAAACTCGATGTTAAGTATCTCTACTAGGGCCATCTTCGATTGTTCCATTATATCCTCTCGGCTGCTGAAAAAGACTCCTCTCAGAAGGAGTGACAGGGGGTCAATCAGGTGAATTCGGTGGTTGTTGAACGGTATTCGTGTTGTTTTTGGGCAAAAACTCACGGATAATGATGGCATTGCGCGATGGTGCGTCATCGTGGTGCAAGATCCACGTGTTGTTTGCCCACAAATGCTTGCGTTTTTGACGGATTGATTCTCAAAACACCCAAATAGTACTCCTTGTTGGCGGTCTGACCTTCTGGCAAGAATTCACTATGCACCAGGCCGCAGTAATCCATGGAAACCGTGAGCATTAATTACCTTTTTTCGACTGGAAACGACACGTTTTCTTCGGTCTCGCCTCATCCGGCGCGCGTCATTCATTGCCTGATGGCTTGACTGCGTGCTCCAGTAATGATGCGTTTGATAAATGTTGGGTCAGAATCAGTCATGGAAATCATGTCGTTGGCGATATCAACACGGTCATTTTTTTGCATGAAATTCAAGTCTTTTGGTACCAACTTGGCTGCAACACGACGGACACCCAAATCATTGACCAAAGTGCTTTGAACGGATCCATAAGCAATTCTCAAGTGCTCAGCCATCTCTCTGATAGTTAATTTGCGGTTGGTGGCCAACATTTTCTTCACTTTGTCTACGTTTTCTTCTGTTTTCGATGTCGATGGCCTGCCGTTGCGCGTATCATCGGCGATGGACTGACGACCTTCTGTGACCCGTCGAAAACGGCTGTTTTCTTCAAAGCATCGTTGCCGAAGCATTTTCCTAGCATTTCAAGGTTTTAGTACCGTTGATATTGTTTTTAATACAAAATTTAATGCAAACGCACATGTACTCAACTCGACAACTAATAATGAAATGACGCCAAAATTCGGGGGAATATCAGTGAAAGTTGGGCACCATAACAAGACAAACAGAATTGACAGCCGAGTGCTACGAGCACGAACTTCTGTGTCTTGCTAGGCAATGTGGAGATGACCTTCGCCCTTCAGCCGGCTTCTATCTATTCCTAACCTCGGTTCATACACACTTTTCGCGCTCCTGTCTCGTACACCTTGAACTCAAGCCGTCAGATAAATTTGATTTTCCGTGTATATATAGAGCGTGGCCATATATCAAGCCTAACGTTCAGACAAAAGAGGACTCTCATTCTAATGACAGGCCGTGAAAGACTTATTACGTCACTGCTTTGGCGCGTAATTTTAGCTCGAATTGAATTTTCGCTGACAGGATACTTATAATCAGCCGATACCGATATATCGGCAAAGAGTAGTTATATTAGGAGAAAACACACAAGGCGGATAACATTAAAAGAGAGATTGAGGCGTAACCAAAAACATGGCACACAGGAAACAGCTGTTGGCGTCCAAACACGTGTTCTACTTACTGCGATGTTGCCAGACATCTTTTTTTCCATGAATTCATCGTCTATCACTTGTATCGAGAGATGTTTTGGTTAAATTTACTTTCGCTTGGCGATTTATTCATGGTAGGTATATCTATTATCCATTCGCAGTCTACGAAATATATTTTTCATTCAATGTGTATATTATACAGTACAAAATATTTATGCAAGTGTATCGATCGGAGCGATCACAAAAGATGTAGCCGACATTCTAATAATTATTCAAGTCAACCAATGGATCTCATAGTAAAACAATATTCTCGAAAGCTTAATTAGTTATTAGTTTAGAAGAGTCAAATATTCTAGAAGCTGAATGTAAGGAATATGCAACAATAAGACAACTGTTGAAGATCTTTTGTAGGCCACAGTAAAAAGGTTAAACTACAAGAATTACTTTTATACGCCCATCTCTCTTACACATACGTGTTCAATAGGCTTCTCTTTATTCTTTAGTGTTGTATCAACGCCATGAAGATTTTCTTGTCAACGTATCATCTTGCACATTTCTGCTTGTCACTGTCACTATAACAAGTTGCTTGTTATGCGCATGCTATTCGAGTTGATCTCTGATATCAAACATAACAATGCCTGGAGATACAACCACAATGTCAACATCTGTGTTAATTTTTTGGATTGTTTTCAAAAAGTGAGTGAAAACAATGTTCCTCTGTTACACAATCTGTGTGTGCGCAACAGCAAGTAGCAGCCGCGTTAGGGATCTGTTCGCGCAGCGTGCAATTTCCTTAGGGAAGTTCAGCTCTACAAATGGTACTGTTAAGACAATCTCTTCACTTATTTTGTATGGAAGTGTAATGTAATCCCCAAACAACGTCAAAAGAACTCGGCTCAGTATAGATATACAGTGTATAAATATTTTCTGTCAGTTTCGCAACATTGCCTCGATATGGCCGAGCCATCTATGAGCGAATAGCCAAATCAAGAGCGTTTTCTTGGGAGATGCCGATCCATCTATGAGCGAACAGTCAAGCCAAGGGAGCTCGCTCATAGATCGCTGTTTTTGCCGTAAATCAGTAATGCAGTCTGAACTCAAGGTCAATGGAGCTGACCATGGATTTGAGATATTCCACGGAGTATCTTATCTCAATATAACTACACTTTGATATCGGCGTTATCGACCTATCGGCTGTTTGTTTCTTACCGTACACAATCGGGTGAATTTTGATTCCGGTGAGTACGTGAGCCGTAATCAAGTCTATTGGCGGCAAACACAGTATATAGCTGACAAGTTGGCTTGTATAAGTATGTCACAAAAAATTTGTCAAAAATACGTAGCATCAGGTGTAAACAAGTCAGCGTCAGAGTACAGGTTCGAAATAATACACACATACATGTGCACTTCGACAAGTTTGACTTGTACAAGTTACAGGGTAGAAATTCGAACATTTCCACAAGCAATTCTTGTCGTACACATCTATATGCATGCAAGTTATGATGTTTGCTTGAACTGTTTGATAACGTATGAATATGTCCAAACTAGTGCAAAAAACAGACTTCTTTGGGAAAAGCAGCGATAACAACAACTATGAAGTAACATCTTTCTCAATATCACCTAGACGATTCAGGTTAAACCGTCGAGCTGCTAATGTAACATCTGATCCTGTTCTGTGGTTTTCTTGCTGATAGGACTCCATGATTTTCTGGCCGCTAAATGAAACCATATATGTTTGAATTAATTTTTTTAGCTACGTCTCGGCCATCACTTTGAAAAAGGCCGAAACTTTAGTAAAGCAGTGATTCAAACATATGTGGTTTCATTTAGCAGTCAGACAATCATGGAGTCATATGGCTCCTAAGGTACGTTTTGTTATAGTCACATAACAAAAAGAGTCTACTTTAATTCAATTCAAATATATTTCCACGTATTGTATTGTTTTTTCCTAACACAGTGATATTAACCATTACGAATTTTGTAATTTACTATATATCAGAAAAATAGGCCGATATTACCGATATGCCGCTTTACATGCCGGTATCGGTCGATCCCTGCTTTGTAGGGCAAGTTTTATCATCAAACAAAATGGATACACTCGAAATATTATTTTTCGAGGCAAAATACATACAAGGTGTCCATTAAGTACCACGACAAACTTAAGGAGAAGGTAGGCTTTGGAATGACCTCCCAAATAACAAGAAAATACCTATAGAAAAGTGTCACCGTTTTTGAGATATTGAATTTTTTCTTAAAGTTAAAAAAATACTGAGAACTCTAAAAGCGTCTTTTCTTAAGAGATGCCGAGCTTGTATTAGAGTAGGAGGTCGCCAATTGAGCATATTCTGGCAATAAATGAATACATTTTTTCCACAAAATTTGTGCTTTATTTCACGCTAACCCGTCCTTCACAAAAATAATTCTTTTGTATTGTTACTGATTCGAGTCCGTAAGTTTCATAAAATCATATCAGGTCCAGGTAATAATAATGTAGCTTTGTACTATTTAAATCCAATAATTACATTTTAGTGTGCGTCAGTCACTTACAAAAGCAGCTATCACTTTTTTATATTCCAAATAGTTCGTGTGGTGCCTTTCTGAAATCTGTATTCAATGAACAATCTCTTTATTCAATATAATGCAGTTTTAGCCCAGTACATTTTTGTTTCACCACAGATGGTCAAAGTTGAGGAAAAACATCAGAAGGTTATAAATCCCAAAATAGACCTTATTTGATCATGGTTCCTTAATATCTTTTAACTACATTGCATTTGTATATGTATCTAGAAGCATTTTATAGAAAAAATGAACTAAGTATATTCTTATTTGTACAGCTAAAGACCACAGATGAAAAGGTTCGTTTTTTAAAATTTAAGAAAAAATTCAATATCTCAAAAACGGTGACACTTTTATATAGGTAAGTTTTTGTTATTTTGGAGGTCAGTCTAAAGCCTACCTTCTCCTTAAGTTTGTGCTTATTGAACACCCTGTATATTCCGTCGACTTACAAATTTTCGAAAATACCCCATTACAAGAATGGAGTGGTTCTGAAATGTTGAAGAAAATCTTGGGACATCAATTTATATGCGCAGGGTTCTGTTATGTGCTAAATAATGATTCTTTTACAGGAGGTGGTGAAAGTGCCAGAAGATATTGAGGGCGGTTTCTGGGAAGCTTTCTCAGAACTACTCAACACATACAGAGAAGACTGTAAAGGTTTGACAGAGGAACAGATACAACTGTTGTGTGCTGAACCTAGTAAGTCATCTTTCTTACCTGTTATATATTAGTCCTATACTGTGGGATCATCATAGCAGCCGCGGTGTTCCAGCATTGAGGCTTCTGCCTGCACGGCTGCTTCGATATATAAAAAAACTGTTTGTCAGCAGAAGTGCAAGCCACATAGAACCTTCTTACAAAACCTCACTGCAGAGAACAGACATGCTGACGTCGAATCCAGAAACAGATTTAACGAAGCGGTCCGCAATGTCAAAGACCAGCACGATATAAAAGTAAGGCAAGGGTTATGTCGCAGCGCAATGGCAGTCGGTATTTCTGGACACTGGCCAAGCAGATTGAAAGGAACTTCTCACAGAATAGCAGCCTTCCACCATTTACGTGTCAGGATGGAACGATTGTAACCGACTCAAAGGCTAAGGCGGAAGTGCTTGCCAAACTCCACCATGGACGTTCCCTCCAACTCCTGAGTCTAATCGATTCAAAGGGTTCCCTACAATATGCGGGAAATAACATTCAGACATAAGATCGTAAGACGGGTGCTCTTGTCCTTAGACATCAACAAAGCTTCTGGTCCGGAGCTTGCTCCTGTTCTTTCGGGCATGTTTCAGATATCTTATGAATCCGGCACCTTCCCAGAAAACTGGAAATTTGCTCATGTCCAACCCATCCCCAAAAAGACCCAAAGATCGACTACAACCACAGGCCTATAGCGCTGCGTTCTGTTATGAGAGGTGCATAAATCGCGAGCTTCTGGACTACCTCGAATGTCGCTGCTTAATTAGCGACAGGCAGTATGGTTTCCGGCACCAGCGATCCATAGGGGACCTCGTAGCTTACATCACGCAATTGTGGAGTAAACTCATCCAGTCTTATGGTAAGGCTCAGGTCGTTGCTGTTGTTATCACGAAAGCCTTCGATCAGCTGTAGCACGCTGCCCTTTCTCTCTGGGCGCAAGCTATTCGTCGTAATTGACGGGTTCTGTTCATCCCACAACGTCAACGCGGGTGTTCCCAGGGATTGATCTTAGCTCCGACACTGTTCCTCTTACACATCAACGACCTTCTTTCTTGTACGATCAATTCAATTCCCAGCTTTGCTGATGACAGCACTCTGCATGCAGGAATTCAGAGCGACAAGCCGATCTCTGCCGGTGAGCTGGAAAAAGAAGACTAGCAGTGAGTTCCTCTCTGACGATAGACCTGGCAGTTATCTCTGCTTGGGGACGCAACAATCTTGAACAGTTTAATACTTTCAAAACACAGCCCTGTACCTTGACGAACAAAAAGCTTCATAGTGCTCATCCGGTTTCGATGGATGGCCGAGCTCTGCCAAAGAGCCGTTAATAGGCTGGTCGGAGTCTAGATCACCGAGAACTTGATCTGGGACGAACACATCTCGTAAATAGCAGCAGGTGATGGGAAAAGTCAAACCCATTTATGTAGGGCTTAGAAGTACTTTTCTCCACATGACCTCCCCTCTCTATACAAGAGACCTAGCCTCGAGTATTACTGGGGTGTTGCCACCCAGACTCATTCTTTATGCTCGATTCTGTCTAGAGGAGGGCTGTCCGACTGATCGGGTCTCGGGAGCCTTTTGCACCAGTGAGCAAGCGGCGATCTAGATCTACCTCAACACGAACGGGCTTTGCTCCTCAGAGCTCCCCTCTATGATGCCGCTGCGCCTTGTGCTTGTCAGACAGACCCGTCTGACCTCTGACTTCCATCCTAACCGTGTTGAACTTCGTACATCCAGATCGACCGCTCCTTTGTCCTTAGGGTGTCGAGATTGTGGAATAATCTACACGAGGAGGCTTTCCCCAGTTCTATTAATCTTAGGCTGTTCAAAAATCGGATTAACAAAGTTTCTGTGGGATCCGCATAGCAGCCGCGGTGTCCTGACATTTAGGCTTCTGCCTGCGCGGCTGCTTGGGTGTAAAAAACGTCGTAACTAATGTCTTGGACAACCCTGCTCAGCAGCTATGCGAATGGTATTTCAACCTTATATAAATTTAATATTCTATTTATATTTGCATTACATAAAATTTTCATTTTCAGGATCACGAATAGCTTTCTTGGATACTTTAGATGAAAATGAATCAGAAAAGGTGAGTGTATATTAATAGATCCATTTTTTGTTGAGACATGGTATACACTTGGACACCTTGATCTCCTGTCCTAGGCATTCACTTACCCACTTCACGCAATTATGACGTTTAATATGATTTGAGTTTTGGGTTTTCGTGAAGCTGAGTGACGGACTTATTTGCAGGAGAATTCAAGTGAACCACCAAAAGCCGAAAAAGATGGGGGCGCAACAGAAGTGAATGGATCTGCAGAAGAGGATCACTAATATTGATTATAAATGCGTGTACATAAAAGTTTGTTCGCAGCTGTAATTTTTTGTGTCAGCAACATTTCTTTACGTCATGGATTGCATTTGTTTAATAAAAAGATTACACGAAGATCAGTACGATTGGATTCCCGCAATGTTCTAAAATAAACAGGATAATTGTCTTATGTTTGTTTTTTATTTATTCCGCCAGCATCATTAGAAACTTCAAGCTTTACATTATAGCATTTATTCCAAGTGTAATGCAATGCACGTGATACATGCGCTTTAAAAGTTATAGGGTTACAGTAATTACTACAACTATTCCTACTAGCCGCGTTGATGTTTTCATTCTCAAAACCCTAACATAGAATTTGCAGTGTTTGACGTCATGTGAATGATTTTGTATTGTTATGTGCAACATGAAGTGTTTTCCAGTGCCTCGTTTGTGTTACTTGGAGTAACTCGGGTCTACCCACCACCTCTGCTCTAAAGTGTCATGCACCTAAGCTACTCATTTTTGAAATCCCATGCCCTCTCGTGCACCAGCTTTTTATTCGGTGTTAAACGCTCAGAAATAATAATAACGAAAATGACAATGTGTCAAGATTGTTAGGTTATGTATTTTCACCGTATTTGTTTTTTTGCATTAAAAACCCAGAGTCACAACGTACAGTTGAGATGTTCGTGAATTATAAAGATCACAAGAGAGTGCAAGAATGCAGGTTCATAGCGGCTTGTAGTTGGCTTCATCTATCTATATCTAGACACTTTGAATGTCTATACAAAAATATGAATTGAACACATTTATCCAGAAGCTTTATAATAAAAATGCAGACCTCTGACGTGTTGCGCCAGCATCATCAGGCATCAATTGGATAGTGTGACAATGCTTCTGAAAATAAAGGCAAAATGTGTGTACATTTTCATTGTTTGGCAGTGTGATACAAATTGTCAGCGTCAAAGCAAAACATCAACAAACAGGTTTTTATCGTCGCGCTCCCGTGCGCATTTGATAGCGTAGTTCGGGAGCGTCACACTCCGGGTGCATACAACTCTCAATTCAAAAGCACTGGAAAGCAGCTCTGAAACCCAATGATTCTGACAGATTTGATAGGCAGTTATGATCGCCAATCTAACTAGCGCCATCTACTTCAAGCTTTCCAAATTACCTCCCATTCCTAGCTAATATGTAAGCAGACGTGTCACTTAAAAACTGCGATGGCAAATAACATTAAGCAATGTGTTGATGCATTTGTGACATTTTTGATTAGCCCAATTTCTAATGACATTCATATACCTCCTCTAGCGTAATGGAAATGGTAGATTTTATTCAAAAATATCGAAAATTGAATTTAAAGGAGCACCGAGAACAAAATTTAACTCATATAAAGCGATAGGTTAATCCTTTTTCATTATGAAAAAAATATGATTTTTTTCGGAACGCGTCTGGATTGACAGCCTAAGAAAACAATGAAACATTACAAAAAAATGTAGGCTACAGGGGAAAGAACATGAATGTCACAAGTATGTTTTGTGAAAAGTGAATTTAAAAGTTTGAAGACTCCTAGACTCGTTGTACAAGGCGGGTCAAAGATCTGATGGAGTAATATAGATTTCTTATTTAAAGAAATCGAAAAAAGTTAAACTATAAATAAAAAAATACTTTCTGACATACAGAATAGCCCAAAGTGAAACCAAACATTTTTTAACGGAAAATCTTTTTTATTTTTGTATTTGAAGATTCTCCTAATGATTTTTTATGTGATAGCGTCCATGCGTGGATTCAACTTTTTCGAGATATTGAGGCTTTCATCATATGCGACACCCTGTAAAGTCTAAGGGTTGATTAACCAGCAAAATGCCTATCTTAGGTTTTACAATCTGTCCTAACATGAGAACTACCTTAACAGGAATTTTATTACACAGCGCCTAGAACATAAAAATGTGATTTTCTAACATCAATAGCTCAAACACAGAATTATTTCTAAGTATCTTTTTAACTGGAACAGGAAAAAACAATGAACCAAAAAAATCTTTATTCAAAAGAATATATGTAGAACAAACAAAATTAGTGATAACTGCTTAAAAATGATTACTTAACGTTTATTTCTTTCTTCGCAGATTGATGTGTGGTTAATTGTTTCGGTGACGATCAGTGGACGTTCACCTTTTTTCATAAAACCAGCATCGGTTTCCACATAGTTCCATTATTTTAAACTGGCGTGGTATCCAAAATGGCATCAAATGAAATAGTGAGTGCAAGTATTAACGTTACAGAGCAAATTGTAGCACTAGAAATACCAGAAATTAAAAAAAATATTGCAGAGAAAGAAACCAAACCACAGGGGGTGGGTCCATACATGGATATCACGTAGAGGTTCGTTGGGAGCATCTTATAGCTTGATAAAAGAGTTAGCTCTTGAAGACAAGGAAGCTTATTTGAATTATGTGAGAATGCCCCAAGACAAATTTGAGTTTTTATTGAAACATTTATTCAATAAAATTCAAAAGGCAAATACCTGAATGGGAGATGCTATACCAGATCGTGTAAAAATTGCAAGTGATATTAAGAGACCTGGCATCAGGAGATTCATTTGCATCTTTGCAATATACATATAGAGTTCCTAAAAGCAGTATTTCAAAATTTATAAGTGAAGTTCTAGATGCTATTTATGAAGTGCTAAAGAATATATAAAGGTAGGTTATTTATTTTTTAACCAGTAGCAGTAAAAGTTCGTACAAGTATCTAAAAATATAATTTATATTTTGTAGTTTAATAGGCACGGATGTTCTTCATAAACTTCTGAAATCATTTTTGTATCATCCGTTTACCATTTTCTTGATGTTCTAACTTGTGACATTTTTCAATCTCAAGCTAGCAGCAAAAAGGACTACTTTGTACGTTACTGGCGCCAACTGATTTTAACTTGCTTAATTACGAACTGTCATTGTTTTTGCGTGTTTCCGATTCCTCATGGGATTGTACTGCTGTTAAGACTAGATGTTGCCGGTTCTAAGTACAAAACCAAATTTGTGACACTCACCTTTTTCCCCTGTACCCTTCAAATACTTTTGACTGAAATATCCGTCGAACTAATTATCAGATCGAAATTTGAAAGCCATTTTTGAATTCATCGAAGTAGATACATATTGCGCCTCCGTTCGACCTACGAGTTTGAGATATTAAAAGTCTCATGCCTCAAATAGACAAATTTGAGACCGATATGATATATGACACGCATTCCTGTATCATAAAAATAGCCATTTTTGGTCCAAAATATCGAAAAATGGATCTAAAGGCCGATCCGACCAATTTAAAGGTCCGAGTACAAAATTCTGTTTGTATCGGTAGTTAGGATGGTCCATCTCCTTTACGAAAAAAAAGAGTGCATTTTCCTTTCCGAAACACCTTCAAAATGGGTATATCCAGTTCATTGCAACAGTTAATTGGTTATTGCAAAAAATTATTTTATTATAATTTTTGCCGAAAAGGGTAAAAGAGTAAATATGAAATAGTAGCCAAAAGTTAAAGTATTTGTAGTGATTAACAACGAAAAAAATCTTCAAAAACACTCAACCTATCCAGCGACGTAACTACTGCACCAAATTAAGACATACAGAGTGTTCTTAGTATCTAATTGGACAATATCTTCATTAGTATAAAACAAAATCAAAAATGGCATTGACCAAAATTATGGACTAAACGCTTCCTACTTGGCATATACCGCTCCCTACATGACGATTGTTGTTAAATGGAACACCGTACAACTTTTAGTATATTGTAATATGCCACTTCAAAGGTAGAAGTTTTGATATAGCCGGGGATATAGCATATGATACTAATTCTTTTTTTTTAATCCTGGGAATAATTCCTCTTTGTAGATATTTATTTGTCGTTTTCTACAATTACTAGTACTAGTTCATACTAGAATGATTTGAAAAACAAATTTTTCATATTTTCACTATTGGGATTTCCTAAACGGTAATAGTTACGGGTTGGTTGGATGGTAGCAAAGTTTCGTATTTATATATTTTAGAAAATGCATTTGAAAAGTTTTGACGCTTCCAGTATCTCCAGAAAATCGTTTCTATTTTTCCCTGGATTTATTTGAGCTAAGATTTCAAAATAAACTGCACATTGACATTGCCCCTTTTTGATCTCTACAAGGTGGTATAAAGAGAACATTAATACGATGTTTCGTCTCTTATCCCCCGTCTCGACTTTGATTTTTCTTAAGTATGCCATTTTTGCATAGGTGGATAAGCTTTTAATTTTAAAATATTGCCATGTCATATATTATTATAAAATGAAAATTCTGGAGTAAGCCTTTAAATTATCATATAGAATATCAAAGATGATAACATGTTACCCATTGATATAAAACTTCAATTGCCTAACTTCATATAGGTGGTCTAAACTCATCGAATGAGGAACAATATAATTTACCTCATTTATATTACGAGTATGTAAGGGTAATCGTGACCACATCGTAAACGGTATAATTTAAAAAAAAAAAACGGAAAACGAAACTCTAATTATAGAGTAAAGTTGGTGAATGTGGAATACTTTTCATTTGAAGCCTATAATTCCATACTAATTTGAGGCATTCAAATAAATCAAGTAGTTCCGATATCTGTGAGGTTCTGTCAAGTCGCTGGAGTAATTTACTTCGCATATTTCGAGTCCATGCATTTGCAAAAATGAAATTATGCATGGCGTGTAATATGTATGTAGCCATGGAAAATTAGTATGGTAATGTGGAATATGCTGCTGAATAGTAGAATAACATATGATTTTCTGACCAATTGTGTTCTTTTATTTCTTTGGAAGGCATTTTCTGAAATAAAAAGTCACAGGTAGTCCAAAACATAAACAAATTCAGTATCCTTAATCAGTAGGCCCGGTAATGTGGAACACTCGTATGGTTGATGTTTGGAAATATTCCACCATACCATTCCACCCTCACTTAATCTCAAGTTTATAGCTAGAATCTATAAACATAGATTTGATAATTAATTCACACATAATTTGATAATGCATGTATCTGAGGCTTAACAACAAATAGTAATTATTAGAACAAAGTTGTACTTTTCCTAGAAATCCAAAAAAATGGCAGCCAGTCCAATGTTTCAATATTCACGTTTACCGGTTTCACCAACTTTTTTGAGGTTATGCTCCTTAATCGATAAAACAGCTTGTATTAGATAGTTACGCTACTGATACAAGAGTAAACAATGCCATGGAACTGCAGGTGTCGCTACTGGTTTTGGAGATATTTGACTATTTCACAATACCTGCCTATTCCACATTCACCAACTTTACTCTACCACCGCGTAGAAAAGAAAAAGTGGTAATGGTGTTGATTCATTTGTTTGAAATTTGTAGATAATGTGGATGTTTGATAAGTTTTGTTTCGGACTAAATCCAGGAAAAAAACGACTTAGAGTAAATTCGAAAATACTTTGAATTTCAAAACTGTTCATGTTTCATTTTTTTTTACCTTCGCAACTTGTCCCGATAAGGTACTATGCGTCGTATATTTATCCTGAGTGACCGTCAGTAATTATTGATGCGAAATGTTACGCAGAAATCCACTGATGGTACACGGACCACAGTAAATACTGATCGTGTGGTTTCAACTAATTCTAGTAATTTCTCATTTAATAGATATTGATTCAGCTTGTGAAGAACCCTGTACATGAATAATTTAATTTTTGTAAGAAATGTTGGGCAGCAGTCCACGTTGCCCCCCCTGGGTACGCCCTTGATATGAGATATATGACCCGCCAGGTCAGGACGTGGAACTTTAGTTTTGACCCTTATACACTATGCTCCTACTAATACTAAACAAGTCGCTCATCATAGGGCCTGTTAGTGCACTGAAAATGCAGTAAATGTCAACTCTGGTTTGTAATAGCGGCCGGTGCTTTGTAAAGCGTGGCGGAAAGTTGAATCACACATCGATGTTTACCACCAAAAGGCAACTTTTAATATTTTATAACTATTTAGTGAAGTAGTTTAATATAAATCATAGTAAATAGTTCCATGAATTGATGTCACAGCAATCATTAGTGCAGTCGATACTGTACAATACCGAGCTTCATTATTGGCAGTTTTGTTTCTAACTAAATTCAAAAAGTCTATCAGCTCATTGTTGATTATTATGTCCACATCTTTGGCGATTACATAATCCAAATGGTTGAACCCTCTGTACTTCACATGACGGACTTCAGAATTCTTCACCTTTTGGGATAGCGTTTCAACATCCTGGAAAGTATGTAAGAAATTAGAAATATTGGCGCAGTCTCTGAGTTTTGTTTATTGGGTTTTGCTTGTTGTTTGGGTATAGAAAAACACTAAATTGTCAGCTTAAAAGACCGCTTATCCAGAGAAACAAAAAAATTTTGCAGATCATTCTTTCAACTGAACCTCATTGATGACAAGTTTGCTCTTTGATATATTTGTATATTGGAAAATAGCGTCAAGTTGGTTGCATTTCCCCCGCAAAGCTCTCTTCAGTTCGTAAAGGATTATGAGCTAGTTATAAACATATATAACAATAAAATTAAATGAGGTGTGAAAGTTGTATTGATAGGTGTGTAAAATTACTGAGGTTGGAAGCGTATAAACGTACTGCCCGATTTTCAACCCGTACAAATATTTTTCTGTAAATGATCAGGAACCCCTGCAATGTAAAACGAGCGATTTTTATGTTTTTCGCGTTTTTCTTGTCAGCTCCGCTGCCACTGGGCCGATTTTCAAAAACTAAACCTTTTTCGTCCTTGGCATCAAGGAAACTTGTGTGAAAATTTCATGCATATCCGAGCAGTACTTTCCAAGTTATAGGCGGTCCAAATTTTAAATCCAAAATTTCCGCGATTACAATACTTCCTCGTCAGTAGGCGTGAGAAGTATCGATAAGTGGTCTGCGTATGAGTTCTGGGTGATGAAAATATCTAAAATTGCTGCAGCTGTTACGTTGCTGGAATGCTCGTCAAACAGACCATTTTTCAATTAGAAATCTGAGGAAACTGTTAAGCATTCAAATCGGTTATTGCAAAAATCTCGTAAGTTACATAATTCCAATTTTTTAGGAGACAGTAAAAACTGTGTCACTTACAAATGAACTAGTTTCGAAGTACTTTTTTGGGCTTAACATGGTGTTTGAGTTCTAAGAGATTGGAATTTCAAATAACCTTCACAGTTTATTAATAATAATAATAATGGAAAAAAGCCCGAAAAACGATTAAGGACTTTGTTGTTTTAGAAGGCAATAGGATTAGCGGTATACAACTCAAGTATAGTAATCGTATTATTGAAAATTACACTTTAATATTGGCTTATTAACAAGCCACGGGTTGTAAAATTTTGTGGCTTTTAAAATTTCTAAGGTACGTAGGGGAAACTCGGGCAAAGCGAGCACATGTGAAAATCGAATTTCCGGTTTTACATCCAAACCATGAATCTACAATCGTGAAAAGGTACATAGACTTATCCGTTCAACTTTCTTCAATAATCGGCGATCGATTGTAGAAGAACGTGCTTACTTAACTGCCAGGCATCAAAACGAAAGAAAGGAAAACAAATGAAATGTTGTCTGGAAGACAGATAAAAATACATTGTCATCAGACATGTAATTAGTACTACAGTGGTGGCAGAAACGTCGTATCACTAAACATTTCAAACATATGTGGATTCATTTAGCGATCAGAAAAACAAGGAGGATTATCAGTATGAAAATAGGAGAAGTTTCAGAGGTGTTGTGCGCGTAATTTCTTTTTTATACTGTCTATACTCTATACGAACTGCTTTTTAAAATATTTAGGGAATATTTAAAAAACTTTCCAAAGAAAAACAATGAGGAGGTGTTGTGATAGGAAACAAGAAAACTCTTAAATAAGTGATTTCCCAAAGCGTATAAGGCCCATAATTTCTTTAGTTAGTGAATTTAAAATTGGTATTTTGCATATAGCACATAAATATGAAAATAAATCAAGGATACTGGTACTGTTTTTGAAATAACCCATACAAGTACCCGCCGTCGAGTCCGGCAGGGTTATTACATAAAAAACCTATATAATGCAAAAAAAAAACGATAAAATGTCAACTTGTTGACTAAGAAGGCTAGTGTACAAATAGTTCATTCCGCGCTTGCTACAAAAAACGTACATAATGTCAAAAAAACCGACATAATGTCACTTTTTAAGTTACGTATAATTACAAGGCCTACCTACGAAATTCTGCTTTTTTTTAAATAACTAAAGTTTGGCAATGTCAGTCAATTATACATTTTTGGAATCAGAATTAAAAATTCTATTCATCTGTCCAAAAACTCAATATAGCGTCAATAAGAATCCTGGGGACAAGAGACAAAACGTCATATTGAAATTCTAATTATGCCTTCTTTTAGACGAGAAAAAGTGACAATGTTAATGTGCCGTTTATTTTGAAATTCCTTTAAAAATTAAGTCAGGAAAAAATTAAAACGATTTTGGGGAAATTAGTTTTTTCCGTCTCTCTCCGGAAGTACAGTAGAAGTAGAATTTCGAAACCTTCTAAGCGGCATTTTGTTGACCTAAATACCCAACCCCATTCAAGCGGCTTCGTGTTTCTTACAGTTAGCCGAGTTCCCAATGGTGAGGGTCGAATTTGAAACACCCTGTATAATGTCAAAAGAAAACGATAAAATGTTAACTTGTTTACTAATTAGGCTAGTGTGCAAATAGTTCATTCCGCGCTTGCTACAAGTGAGCATGAAGTGAACGACAGCTAGTTCCAAGTTGACGTCTGTAGAAAAATCTACATATAAAAAATCTACATAATGTCAAAAAACCGACATAATGCTACTTTTCAAGTTTCGTAATACCCCTGCTGTATATAGTGACTTACAAGGTGTGACACTGCAGAGGATATTATGCAAACGTTATGGACTTTTCGGTCAAAATTATGTGGAAATCATGTACATGTTTATTGCAATAACAAATTAACTGCTACAGGAAATTAAACCTTTAAAATCTTATTTTGATGGATTTTTCATCCTCAATAAATCTTATATGGACCATTTATACGGCTATTTCGTATTTTTTTTTGTATATTTAGATTTAAACTTAAGAATACAATTTCTTTACAAATTCAGTAAATATTTTTTTTTGAAATTGTAGACACCTGGGTGTAGAAAAATAAGTGCAAAGTTTATGATTGCGGTTTTTTTACAAGTATTGAAAACTTTGTTCGAATTCTCAGTTATATTATGCTTACATACCTTCACAGATGAAAGATAGTCATTCTGCGAAATATACATTGTTATCGGAGCGGTAATTCGGGATAAATCGTATTCTGACGGTGTGGTAGAATTATATCTTCCTAAATTCTCTTCCCTTCCATAGTCGAATTGTGTGAATTTACCTGAAAAATGCAATGGGCTTTTAACAGAGAATAGGACAACTTGATAAAAAGCTGAACAATTGACCAATGAGGAAACAGAAGTAAAATTGTAAGAAGTTGACCCTATCAAGTTTGGAAAAACAAAATTAAGTTATTCTTTATGAAGACTTCGAGCTACTACGAACCGTTTTCTGTAAATATATACAGATATCGAAAAAGCACGCAACATCATTGAAGTTTACCTGAGGATATTAGTACGTAGAAGTGTTCCAGGTTTTTAACTGAAGTTCCGGAAGGGCTGTTAAAGATCAAAGTTGGTAGAAATGTCTAAAAAAAGAATTATGTAAATATTCATCGAACCAGTAAAATTGTTGATAGCACAATGTAAATCAGGTTTGCTTGCTTAGATACGGGACGTTAAAGAAAAAATGCAGGGTGTTTCCAAAACAGGAAAATTCTAAGCCTATTGTCTTCTGAAGATTTTGGAATTACCGCTTCTTTTTAGAGCTAAGGGACACCTCTAGAAATCGCTTTTTCTTGAATAACTTTTGAACAACACCACACAATTAAAAAAAAATGTGGGCGTAGTAACTAGTTGAAGCCACAGATGATGGTGTCCACAGAAAATAGTTAGTTCATTTAGATCGAGTGGGACGGACTAATCCTAAAGCATTATTTTCTAAATTTTATACATCCTGTACAATAATGGCTCAAAAACAATATTTTTTTTGAAAAGCTTGATTCCTTCTCTGCAAAAATGTATCCATGTTTAATTTCGATAAGGCCAGCCGCTTTTGAGTCAGTCTTGTTTCAGTACTGTTATATTGACTATAAAACCTCTTCCGATAGACTGGTACAATTTAACAACTTTAAGGACCGTTTCGTAATCAGTTTATTGAGGTCTTTTTGATTGCAGGAACTTAATAGCATGTTACCATAATCCAGATGGGATTTAACTAGTCCGTTATACGCCATGTGTAAGGTTGCAGGGTCGGCACCCCAGAAAACCTTCCCAACAATTTTTAAAAGTTTTATTCCCCTATTAGCCTAGGAAGGGATCCAGATTTTCGAATATTGTTTACAGATGAAGCTTGTCTTCCTCGTAATTCACGACTAAATAGAACATAATTTTCAAGAACAGTTTTCTTTTAATATTGGGGTTGGAATTGTCGGTGACCATCTTGGGCCTCATTTACTTCCATCTAGACTTAATGGAGAATAATACCGAAGGTATTTAGAATTTGTTTTACCTGGACTTTTAGAAGAAGTTCCAGTCATGAAAATATTACGTATGTGGTACATGCACGACGGGATTCCACCACGCTTTAGTGTGATGGCGCGGCAATTTTTGGGTTTAAATTATCATAATCGCTGGATTGGGAGAGCAGGCTCACACCTACGGCCCCCTCGCATGCCCGATATGAGTCCTTTGGATTATTTTCTCTGGGGACACCTTAAAGCGTTGGCATACAAAACACCTATTGAAAGTGAAGAGGATTTACGAAATACAGTTATTAATTCATGTGACATAATAAAAAATACGCCATATCCAACACTTAATTTAATGAAATTTGTTACTTTAGATGTTATTGTTATTTAGTATTTGTTTTTGTTACATAATTAATCATAGAAATTATAAAAATAGGAATTTCCAAAGAAAACTTTTCCCATATTCCTTGTGCGATCCAGGGATATGCAATTAAGTGGACCTTTTTTTTCGAAAACAAAGCAAGATACGAAAACAATTGTATTTCTATTTGTTTAATCCATAGAACATAATAAAAATTGCACAAAAGTGAGTGGCGTATATTTTTTTGTCACAAATATTCGTTCAGATCCCGCTCGAGATGCCACTGGACTCTCAATTTAATTAGGTTAAGGACTAAATTAGCTCTTTAATGTTATAAATACCACCCCTACATTACCATTAAAGATATTTACGAAAAAAATATTTTTTTTTAATTTCAACATCCTGTTATATGTTTATATGAACTTTTTGTCTTAAAATTACTCAAAGAATCGTCTGTTAAATTTATGGTACATACTTAATTAACACCCTGTATATAGCCAGATTATAGGCATTTTACAGGTGTTACTTTATAGTCATTGTTATTGAATGATAATTCAGCAATACTGCTTTAGGATATTAAATTTCTGAGGTTATCATCACGTAAGGCTTCAACTAGTTACTAGTTTGTCAACAGCTACTAAGTGGGACCGTGGCAAATGCTTGTTCGTATTCAGAACAACGTCTTCCTGTTAAAGTGATTCTAAACGCGTTAAGGATTACCCCAGTACCGATTGCCGGGTGGCGGTACAAGCCCGCCAACGGGCCACTTTAGTTCTATTTAACATCATTAACACTTTAAAAGAAGGGGGTGTACAAGGACCAGTCGACTGAAGCCGTACCACCCGCTGACTTTTTCCAGGGTGCCTTAAAAATGTCCGGATGTTTCCACACCTAAGCTACACAGTCGGTTATCTTCCCCAACAAAGAAATTAATGATGATGGATCCCTCGAGTACTAAGAATTCCGGACGTAAACGCACTATATTCTCGGAAAGTCCGCGTGGAGGGTGAACTCTAGGGAACAAAATTGATGATAAAATTTGTTTAATGAACATGCTCATCACTAACTGCAATCGAATCATCCCGTCGTGCTTTTCTTGGTGGAGACAGAAATCTCAGATTCTGCACCGATTAATCATCTCAGCTGTCCAAATTACGAGGTGCACTCTGCCACGGACCATAACTGGGATGACCTACTTCAATACCTCGCTGTCAAGATCGACTTCCTGAACATCAATCATTCCGCTTCAGAGGTAGCTCTCCTCGGTGATTTCAATGACCATAATGAGCTTTGGTTGTGCTCAAATAAGACCGATGCAGCAGGTCATGCAGTTGAAGCGTTCGCTATTACCCAAAGACTGACCCAGCTGGTGGTGAACCCTACTTTTTTTTCCCGCATTTCATCACACGCCAGTAGCCTGCTAGATCTTTTTCTGACCACGCATCCTTTCCCTTACAGCACTGCTGTCCTGTCTCCCCTGGGTAACTCACACCATGGTGTTGTGCTGGTTAGGTTGCGATCACAACCCGCTGTGGCAGCAGAAACTCGTCCAAGCCGCAAAATTTGTGATTACGGACATGCTGACTGTCAAGGGCTCGGAGACTTTTCCACCTTTCCTTGGAGTGATATTTGTTTCGCTGTCGCGGATGCGTCGGTTGTTTATCGATAACCAAAGTTACCCACGTTGGGATGGAGGAAATCATCGTTCATACGGTGAGAGTGTCTCAACCAGAATTCAATGGCTGGTTCAACAAATCATGCGACGCTGCTCGTCAGCAGAAGATCAAGGTACACAGAATCTTCGTACAGAACCCTATCGAAGACAAAAGTTAGGCACAGGGTAATGTCGCAACGCAATAACAGTCGGTCTTTCTGGATGCTGGCCAAGCAGATTAAAAGGGACTTCTCACAGAGTAGCCTTCCACCACTTACGTGTCAGGATGGAACGATTGTAACCGACTCAAAGGCTAATGCGGAAGTGCTTTCCAAGGTCTCTGCTGCCAACTCCACCATGGATGCCCCCCAACGCCCGACTCGCGTCGATTCAAATGGTTCCCTACACTATGCAGGAAGTAACATTCAGGCATAAGACAGCAGGACGTGTGCTCTTGTCGCTCGAGATCAACAAAGCTTCTGGTCCGGACTTGATTCCTGCAGTTGTATTGAAGAGGTGAGCAGTGAAGGTTGCTCCAGTTCATTCGCGCCTCTTCTAGATATCTTACGAATCCGCGACCTTCCCAGAAGACTGGAAATTTGCTCATGTCTGCTTTCTGTTACAAGATGGAGAGGTGCATAAATCGCAAGCTTCTGGACTACCTCGAACGTCACGTCTAGACCAGCGACAGGCAGTGTGGTTTCCGGCACCAACGAGATACAAGGGCCTCCAACCTTACGTCGCGAAACTGTGGAGTAAGCTCATCCAGTCTTATGGTGAGGTTCATGTCGTTGCTCTTGATATCTCGAAAGCGTTCGGTCATATGTAGCACACTGCCATCTTATGCAAACGTCCATCCTATTGCCTCCCAGAGAAGCTTTGCAGATGGGTTGCCGACTTTTTCTCTGGTTGTAAGATATCCGTCGTAATTGACGGTTAACAACGTTAACGCGCGTGTTCCCCAGGGATCGATCTTGGCTCCGACACTGTTCCTCTTACTTATCAACGACCTCCTTTAATGTACAATCAATCCATTTCACAGCTTTGTTGATGACAGCACTCTACTAGCAGGAATTCAGAGCGACAAGGCAACCTCTGTCGGGGATCTGGAAAGAGATGACTAGCAGCGACTTCCTCTCTGGAGGTTAATCACTGCTTGGGGACGCAACTATCTTGTACCGTTTACTGCTTTATTTATTTATTTATTTATTTCCAACAGGTGAAACCCAATTACAGGAAATGCTGGAACAAAAATAACGATTAAAGAGACATGGTTCTTGGACTTAAATCTATAGTATCACACATTCTAAATAAGATTGGATGATCTATAGGAGTTAATAATCGATGCACAACTGTCACTGTAAATATCACACATTCAGTAACATGACGCAGCACATGAGATTAATTGGCGATTTTGTCATAACATTTGTACGGCCAGCTTGACAATAGAATGCCGTTTGTTGTCGACTCCCTAGCCTTGGAACGCGGAAACATATTTTTTCAAGTAAATTTTGACGGTCAATTTTATTGTGAATGAGGCCATACAAAAACGACAAAGCAAATATGTTTCGTCTTGTTGACAATGAATCCAAATTGACAAACTCTAATAGGGCACTATGGTCACAACCTCTTTCTGGATAAGAACCTGAGCATCTCAAGTTTCAAAACTCAGTTAAAAAAATATCTCTTATCCCAGCAGTACCTAGTAACCATGTTTTAGGAAAATATTGATACAAGTTTATGATTCATTTTAGTAGATGTATTAATGTAAGCACTGCATATACATTTAATATTTGTAATGTGTAGAATAAGTAGGTCTCACTCACCTTTTGTAGACTTTTTTATAGCGGGTTAAGTGGAAGAGCAGCTACAGCTGAACTTCGCCCGTATTTGGGTATTTTTTTATATAATCAGTCTATTTCGAAATAAAGACGTTTATTATTATTATTATTATTATTTAAGGTGAAAATACTTTAAAGCTTTACGTTGAATGGCCTCAAGGATCACGACAGAATTTTGGTATATAGGAGACCAGATCAGAGTCGCATACTCCAACTTGCTCCTGACAAAAGTAAAAAATAAAGTCATTAATGTATCAAGATTGGAGAAACCCTTCCAGTTTCTGATACAGAAACCAAGTAGTCGAGTGGCAGCCGACGAGATATTGAGTATATGCTCAGTAAACGTTAGCTTGGTATCAAAAGTGACTCCAAGATCTCTATAAAGAGGTGCATCTGTCTATAACCTGACCATTGATGTTATAATTATCATAAATTAAATAGTTAACCTTTCTTGTATAAGTCATAACTTTACATTTCGAAACATTCAGACTGAGACAGTTTCGTGAACACCATGACGAAATTAGAGCTAAGTCATCTTGCAACATGACGCAATCCTCGACTGTCTTGACTGACGTGCAGATTTTAAGGTCATCAGCGAAAAACAAATGGAAACACTTCAGTTCAAAAGACAAGTCATTAATAAATATCAAAAAAAATAATGGACCTAGATTTGACACTTGAGGTACCCCGGACGTGGCCCGATAGTAACTCGACCAATGACCACCATATTCGACAAACAACCTTCTATCCCTCAAATATGAATTCATGAGCGACAGCATTGCATCAGACATACCCACTGTTTTAAGCTTATCCAGAAGTGCATAATGATCAACTTGTCCCTGACCGTCCGGTACTTCAGAAATGTACTGAGTAATTAGAGCCAAGTTGGTGACCGTAGATCTGCCTCTCATAAACCCATGCTGATTAATAGAGACAAACCCATGCTGATTAATAGAGACTGCACCCCTGACCGAGCAGTAAACCGTTTCATAAGCGATGATCTCAAACAACTTGCTGAAATTGCACAGGATTGCTATTTGGCGATAGTTGGAAATATCAGAGATATCTCCACTTTTGTGAATAGGACATATTTTAGAGGTCTTCCAGATATTTGGATATGTCTCTGATTTTAGAATTAGGTTGAATATGGAAGCCAGCGGTTTCGCTAGTATATGAATGCAATCTTTAACGAAAAAACTTGGAATATCATCACATCCAGATGTCATTTTGTTCTTTAATCTTTTCGAAGCCCTAATTACGTTTTCTTCACTTATATTTTTTAAAGAAATGATATCGGTAGAATTATTTCTTGGAGGAGATGGCCCTAGTAGACCAGACGGGATAAAAACTGTTGAAAAGAAGGTAGCAAAACTGTCCACTATATCCTGAGTCGTATCGCAGACATTGCCGTTAAGCGTCATCCTTGGGGGATTCTAGATTGCTGGTTTTTGATCTGGGCAAATGACCAGAATTTGCTAGGATCATTGATAATGGCATCCTCAACCGATTGGACGTAAGCGGAGTAGGCAACACTGATCTGGTTCTTAATGAGCTTCCTAAAATTACTGAACTGATCATAAGAAAACTTAGTACCGTCACGTTTCCAGTTCCTTCTTGCTATGTCCTTCTTCTTGATATTAAGTATAATTTCACGTGTGAACCATGGGGGATACGAAAACATTTTATTTTTACATTTAGGGACTTGGACCTCAAAGATGCTATTGATAACTGAATACAAGGCGGTACAAGCGACATCAACATTAACTGTACTGATCACCTCCGTCCAATTAACATCTTGCAAGGCTGTGTACATTTCAGGAAAGTTAGCTTTGCGAAAGCTAAAACTTGGAGAATTAGCAAATGGGAATTTCGTTGGAGATCCGGATGTAATGAATTCCATGATCAGTGCAGGATGATGAACGTCATCTTTAACAGAAGGTGAATTATCTCTGAGGACTTCTATTTCGATATTTCCTAAAATTAAATCCAGTATTCGACCATTTATATTTGGAATATTATTAAAATTAGTTAAATCTAAAAACGAAATAAAGTTGCTCATTAATTGAGACTTCTGATCATTAACGTCATTGTTGAATGATGCGACATTAAAGTCACCAGCAACAATTATTTTACAATTACTGAATGCATTGTTAAATACTTCCAAAGCTTCAAGCTACTGACCAAACATGTCCAAATTAATTGAAGGCGGAATATAAATAGAAAAGATAACAAAATGCTCATGGTTAATAATAAGCCTAATTATAGTATCAATCGACGGAAAGTTTCGACTCAAAGCACTAGCGTCAATTCTAATTGCATGGAAATCGCGTTTTATGGCTATCAAGACTCCTCCGCCGAAGACTAGACCAGATCGAATAAAGTCACGATCACATCTGAACACACAGTATTCAGCCGGAAATAATTCAATATCACTCACATTCACAGACAGCCACGTCTCAGTCAAGCAAATTAAATCAAATTCGTCGTCACTGACTGCATTGAAGAATGACACCGTCTTAGAATTGAGACCACGAACGTTCTGGTAGGAGCACCTTAGCTTAAGTCTCTCATGACAATTTGGTCTGTTATTGGGTACAGTTATGCATTTAAAGTAACAATCTTCGGAACCCCATTGCAATATTTAATTCTGAGGTTACTCTCACCTTGCGCGATCCTTTCATTAAGTTTGCCCCTTAAGTAGCGATAGAGCTTCATCTGTTTTGGAGTTTTATCAAAAGCAACCGATGTATTTTTATATTTTTCATTGTTTTTTAGGGTATTAGTCTTCTTGATTATAGTATGAACCATCTCCTCTGAGTGAAAGATTGCCTTTACTGGCCTGGTCGAGCCTTGTCTAAATTTTCCAATGCGCAGAACCTTAACGCCCAGACTAGTAAAATTACCATCGACAGCTCCAAGCAAATCTTTAACAACAGCTTGATCAGAAGCCAGTCTTTCCTTTCCATCAGTACCTTTCGGTTCCGGCAAGCCAAATATCATCAAATTCTTTTTACGCTTTTCTCTTTCATGAACTTCCTGAACAACCTCCTCAAGCACAGAGGAATCAGATGAGTTTGAACTATTGGTAGCCTTAAGCTCACTAATTTTATTCTCCAAAGCAGACATTTTCGCAGCGAAATCGTTCTTAAGGGTCTCCAATAAGCTCTTCAAATCACCTAGTTCGCCCATAAACTTACTACAGTTATTGCATAAAAATTTGACTGACTTGGACTACGAGTAACCCTTACCTCATCAGCACTGAGACCTACACAAGTGAGGTGTACATCCTTATTACAACCATCACACGATATTGACGATCCTTTCATTAAACAGTTAGGCACTTGAAGGTACTCATGTTTGAAGAATTCCAGCAAAAGACTGCAACGTCGAGATGGTACGACCCTGCAGGTGCAGTGCCAGGTGTAGCACAAGAAAACATCGAATAACTGACTGCAAGCTGTCCCAGTCACACACTAGATGTTAACTATGACGATGATGCACTTTCAGAAAATTAAATTCACTCTATTCCACATTTATAGGCTCTATAAACAAACACTGGGATGATCAACTTACAATTGCCAGGTTTATTTTAATACAGTACCTCGATGAACAGAAAGCATCCTCGTGTTCATCTGGAGTCCTGGCATTTAGCCTTCTGCCTGCGCGGCTGCTTCGGAGTAAAAAAAAGTTTGATGAATTGTATAGGGCTGTTTAAAAGATATTCCAGAAAAAACGATTTCCAGACCAGTGGCGTTTAGGGGTGCATATTTCCGAAACGAAGCGTTATTTAGAAAATCGTCAGACGACAAAATAGTCTTAGAATAGTCATAGATTTTCCCCGTGTTTTGGGAACACCCTGCATATCCAAGGGGTGGATAAAGGTATAAACTCAGGACATTCTCCGTGCTCTTATTTGGTTATATTGGATGAATATATATAGCCGGTATAATAAATACCTTATTGAGCTGAGGATAATCATATCCACAGATGCTGAACAACAGCATTGGACATATTTCTTGAAATGGCGATCCATCTGCGCAAAGCAATCTACCAGCTGCTTTCATCCATCTACTGGAAGCAAGGACTTCGTGCACATTGAATATATTAAATAGCACCTGAAAGTATACAACGAACAGAAAAATGGTTATAAACAAAGACAGCTGTAAATAGCAGAGTTCGCCCATGTCATTAAGACACGTGTCCACTGATTCTTAACGCAACAACAAACAGGATAGCATTTCTGGAAGGTGACGTAATACGGACATAGGTTCTTACTCATTCTATGAGCTATGCAGAGATGTGACTACTTTAAGATACAAGTATCTGAAATACAAGATATAAAATACGTATTTTCTGGTTGTATCTAGGATGCTTTTTCCAAATTGTATATGTATCTTGCATTTAGATACCTTTCGTTTGGTATTTTAGTATTTGGTAAATACTATCCCAACTAGCAAGGTGGAGCTGCAAGTATTTGTTAAACAAAGTATTAAACTCTAAAAGCGCACATTTGTTGTTGCTTGAATACCAAAATGTTGGCTTAATGTCATGTTAAATGTAAACTTGCTTTCTGCAGCGTATTTGCTCTAAAATGAGGTGTCTAAAACATTCTTGTAACAAACTTATAGAACACCTTATAGGATAACTTTTGAACAGTTGCATAAACGTTACACCTACAACCATTTTACGAGTATATGGCATCTAAGCTCGGCACGGGTGTTACGTATCTCGAAAGGTGACATTATGTCGATTTTTTTTGAGATTATATTGGGTTTTTCGTGACATTATGTAGGTTTTTCTACAAGATGTTAACTTAGCACTAGCTGATGGACATTTTGTTGTGAACTCGTTTTTAGTTGTAGTGTTACCTAAACGTCATAATGCTTCAGTTATCAATGTTTGGCTCTGATGTGATGTAAAATCTGCTTCAGAGATGACATTACTGGAGGTCTAAGCTGTAAGTTGTATACTACAGCTAGAAGGAAATGGCAGCGCATAGTGAGGATTTGTGAGCTAACAATGTGTTGATGATAATTCCATAGGTTTCTTGTCTCAAATACACTTACTTGAGATTCAAAGCTACAAATTAGTTGAGCATCCACTTTTTCTTATTCATTCTAAAAATTAAATATCCAAATTTTCCGAATTTCAAAAATGAGAGAGATAAGAAAAGAAAATATCTGGTTGGTGAAGACACAGGTGAGAAAATATGCTACAGACAGTAATATTTATGAACGTGTAAAGGTTATTAAATTATATTTTATTTCAAGTCATTTACATTTTTCAGAAATTTATTTTGCGATGTCAATAGGAAATACAAATCAGCGCCTAGATGTGAGGTACTGCGAAAATGTTTGATGTGTGATGCATCATTCCTAATTTTTCTGTGTGGTGGCTTAACTGCACACAACGCGGGCGCGATCGCGATTTCCCGTAAAGCTCCTGAAATTTTTTGAACACGAAAAAAAAAACGGGGAAATCGTAATTCTAACTTTGAATATAACCTGTCTTCAGAAAGGTCAACATACAAATAACCCGTCGGATACAGCTAATGCATATACTTTATTGGCAGTTTATTCAGTAATAATTTTCTCACCGATTTTATACTCATGCAGACCAATACCAATAATACTTTTAGTAATATTTCTTCACATCAGGTGCATTTGAAACTATAGACTGGGGTCAAAAATATGTAAAAAAACTTGTCTCGTCTGAAATGCAAAAAGTTTATCGATCTGATAAAGAAAAACCGGATGCTTTAGACAATATTGGAAGTAATATACTAGTGAAAAAGAAGTTATAAATCGAATTTTATGACATATTCTTAGAGGTCTGATTTCTTGATTGTGAGGAAAACAGTACAGCAATACAAATGATAAGATACCAATTCATAGAGCTTAAATGCATATCACACAAAAAAATATTTCCCAAATATAACTCTTTGCCAAATTCTGTCCATGTGGAGCGACTCTTCTCTTTTGGGGGTATTATAATTAAACATAACTGAAAAAAAGAGTGATAAAGAACTGGTTCTACTTGTCTCAGTTAAAACCATAAAAGCACGATATTTTTTTCAAATTTGCGCGAGCAACGTGTGAATAATTAATGTAACAAAATAAACTCAATAAAAGCCTTACAAAAGTATTTTATCTTTGAAAAGCATTTAAAAGATACGTATTTTGTATCTACTCGTAGAATTACAGATATCATGCCAATGAGTATTGTGTATCAGGTATCTGAAGTACTTATTTTAAAGGTACCTTGTACAAAGGGTACTAAAAAGCTTTGCAATATGACTTAGCAAACGAACGCAGGAGGCTGCATGTTACTGCATGTTGGACATGTCCATGAGTGTTTAGCAGCCAACAGCAGCACGTCTGTTGATTTAGTTGTTCATTTGTATTGACAGTGTAAATTGCGGACTATGGCATCGTGGTCACGGAGTGAGATAAGAGCAGTTTTACAGTATAAATTTACGCGTGGTTTAAGCATAGACCAGTGGTTAGAAGAAACGACGCTTGCATTAAAGAATGATTGTCCTCATCGTACGACTATATTCAAGTGGTACGGAGAATTCAAAGAGGCAATTTCAATCTGGAGGACGCTGAGAGGGAAGGAAGGCCGCGAACGTCAGTAACAGATTAAGACATTACTGCTGTGAGGAAAATGCTCGCCGAAGATCGCTCTGGGTACCGCATAGTCTGTCGGAAGAGCAGACGACTCATTGTACGACTTGGTGCCGAAAGATGCTGAAAATGTTTGATAAGGGGACAATCTCGGTATGTAAACAGCATCGTGACAGGTGACAAGACTTTGCTCTATTATTACGATGTGCCGACCAAGGCTCAAAATAAAGTTTGAGTTTTTGATCATGATAGCTGTCAGAAAATCCCAATCTGTTAAGAAAAAAATGGTAGCTGTATTTTTCAAATCGAGCGGGATTGTGGAGCAGGTGGTTTTGGACACACAGAAGACAGTCACAGCTAAGAGGTACACGAAATAGTGCCTGCCCAAAGTCATGGAGTCTATGAAAAACCTGCGGCTAAAGTCAATAATGGATACTTGGTATCTCCACCATGACAACGCTCCAGCTCACCTCGCCAAAGCCTGCACTGAGTATTTGAACACTACTGGACTGAAACTTATTGAGCACCCTCCTTACAGTCCAGATCTTGCTCACTGCGACTTCGCACTGTTTCCGCATGTGAAGATGAAGCTAAAAGGAAAACGGTATTCTAGCGATGTGGACCTTCTGAGGGCTTGGGACAACGAGAGTGCCGCAATTCCGGGTGAAACTTGGCAGAGATGGCTTAAGGACTGATTTTCGCGGATGGAGAAGTGTATTGACTGTGGTGGAAGTTACTTTGAACGAAGTCAATAAATAAAGCTGTATTGCAAAACTTTGATATTACCCTTTGTATTTTGTATTCCAGACACTTTGTACAGGGTATCTTGTATCACTGCAGCTATGTATGTGGACAATAGTGATAATGATGAACATGAATGCAAGACTGAAAATGAGATTTTGAATGACCAGTTCGTCGGTAATTGGATTTGGTGCGAACAGACCGATACTTAAGATTCGAACCTATGGACGTTGTACCTTAAAGTATCACATATTACACGTACCTTTAGTCGGTCTTCAAACTTGACCACTAGATCGACGACCTGACTCCTTGCGTCGGTCATATAGGCTACGGGAGCCAAAGCTATTCCGTGTTTAATTTTGTTGTTGTATTCGGGTCTCATACTTGTTAAAACGAACAGTTCAGTGGTACCTTGGGAATGTCCTATGTAGTATAATTGCGACTGGTTGGTCATATTTAGTATATAATCAATACATGCAGGAATGTCGTAGTAGCCGTGCTCGTGAAACCTAGAAAGTATTAGCTGAAACGGGATTTCCAACAAGAAAGGGTCGATGTTGGAATTGAATTAAACAATATGCGAGATAGAATCGTTTCATCTGAATCAAATTTCACATACAGAAAGACCAAGTTTTGAGGTGATAACGTTTGATATATGTAGGTATCGCTGGATTTTTCCATCAATGTGTTGGACCTTCCCTATCATCTAGCCGTCGAAGCGTGTTTCTGACGAAGTAGTATTTCATCTCCAGTGGCTCGTATTTGGTTCCGAAGTCCTGGTAGCGTTTGTGGAGGCTGAGGTAAATAGGTCACTCGTCTTCCCATCATATATACTACACATGTTCAATGGGCAAAATGTCCTGAGATCTAGGCGGCGAAAGAAGGAGACTGACTAGAGCGTTATTGAAGTAGTCCATTGTAGCTGCAGTAATATAGCGATGGGCTTCATGTTGTTGGAATATAGGATTCGAAAGCGTTTGGACAAACGGCAAAAGGTGAGGTTCGAGTATGGATGTAACGTGGCGCCGTGATACTTCTTCTAATGAAAACTTGAGATATATATGTAATTACAACGGCACCTCAAACCATAACTCCGCTGTGAGACCTGCTGACTCTGGCCCGTCGTTCACGCATTCCTAAATAGAATAGAATAGAAAAAAAATTGGAGGATCCATGAAATAACATTGTTTCTATCTAGAACATAGTGGAACCTCATCTTTTGCTATTTATTCATACGATTGAAAACACTATTTTCCATCAAGATAATGCCCGCCACCATATTGCTAACGCTATAATAATAATGTCTCTTTTTCTTGCAGTTTGCACAAATTTTTGTCTGAGGAGCTACTTCTAAAGGCGGCAGATCATTTGTTCCGCATCTAACGCACGGCTATTTCTATTTTATGAGCATTCGCTTATCCTTTTATTCCTGTCATAAGATGTGGAATAAATTGCTTACCACACGGATACATCGAGAACCAAATTTCTCTGAGGGCTTGATTTCAATGTGTGCTAGAGGGAAGTGTATATAGACACATATGTTAGAAAGAGAGACGCCGACTGGATATGGAAGCTCATCACTGCGTTGCCTATCAACGCTGACGCGACATTCTGCCGCGTTGCCAATATGTTACAACAGTTTCTTGAACTGAGATGCATTTGAAAATATGCGTAACTTTATTTTTCACGCGCAAATAATGGTTTTGTTTTGAGCTTATACATTTTTGAATTGTGAATTGTGTCGAATTTGCTTGTCGATCGATTCCGAATCGGTCATAAAGGCGCTCCATTTCAGGTCGAAATGAAAAGTTAGGATCGCCACAAATTCTGCAACATTGCATCATCCTCACAACACCGCATCTTATACATTCCAAGGCAAGGTTTCCACCTCCATGTTCGAGGTTGATCGATTTTGGTCAGTAGCCGGCTAGTGTCGTCCTGCTTCGAAACGGCATTCACCTGCGCATACGCAGGCAGTGATAATTTGTATTGCGTAATATTATTTGTTACATGTTCCGCCATCGCCATCGGTGGAAATCAAAGATAATTCTAAAAGAAGTTGCATCAAAATTGAAATAAATAAATAATTCGAATCCAAATGAAAACGAAATATTAAAATAAATCTTCGAACAGACCTCTAGCTTGGGTTTGACGGTAACCTAACCTGCTGTAGGAGCCTATCTTCTGCTTCTCCGTTGCTAGGCAATTACCTTCGCTTTTCAGCCGGCTTCTATCTCTTTCGAACATGTGTTTGATACACACTTCCGGCTCTTCTCTCTCGTACACATTGAACTCAAGCCGTCAGACAAATTTGTCTTTCCCTGTATATAATTATCTCGTCATCTGGAACGTGTCAATGTTAAGTGCTTCCCTATTCAACAAGGTATTTGTATGATATTTCTGAAAGCCATATTGATAAAAATTTAGTGTGTTGTCTACAAGAAGTTCTGCTAATAGTGATAATGATCAGAGGATGAAATAAATTATAAAAAAATCAATTCAGTCATAAGCAAAGACAAGTAAACAACCACGAAGAAGGGGCACAGAAAAGCTTTTGTATAGCGAACCGCTGATGCCACATCCATTTCAGTGTCAACGTGTAAAAATAAATTTCTCCTTGAACTGACATTTTCATAAGGATCAATATGATACGCATTAATGAAATATTCCTTACAGTATAACAATTCTCCGACTATTTGACTTGAGAACGACAATCGACACAATCAATCATTTTTGTAAATCGGGCACCCCCTATTTCTCATCTCGGAAATTAATCATAGGATTGCTCTTGTTCAGGAAGGCGAGCAGCATATATTGAATTTTTAGATAAATCGACTGGGACCCATCTCCCACATGTTTCGTGCGGGGTCCTTCAGCAGGATCTGTGCGTCAGTGATGTAAAATGGAAATCCGTGCAATGGTTCGAAGCCGCGTCGAACAGCTGGATATTGTTAAGGCGCAATTCCACTGAGGCAACAATGAACATGTGGCATGCGACTTGTTTCCTAGTGTTGCCTCTTGTTGACGTTCGATAGTGTTGCCCAAAATTCTATTAATGCCGCATGCGGATTTTGTTCCGCTCTGTGGCATGCGCTTTGTCGTACATGAGTGTAGCATGCGACATTAAAGCAAGATTGGGATCTCTGCATGATCCCTCGGGGGGGAATACTACTTCTGAGGAAGGTACTCTGAGGCTTCTGATGGATACGCACTTTCCCGGTTCCACAGTAGCGCGATCAATCACAGAGTGCATGCAGTTGCGCAGGCCCTCAAGGGAGGACTGGCGTACGGCTAGGGAGATTGTCACCTTCGAAAGGACGGTAAGGGCAGTAGATTCGTTTGCTCTATACAAAAGTCCAGGGCTGGACGGCGTATTTCCGGCCATGTTACAGCAGGGACGGATTTCGGTTGTTCCTTACCTGTTGAATGTGTTTCGAGCATGTGTGGCCACGGGCTTCACACCTAGAAGCTGGCGGCAGGCTAAAGTGGTATTCATTCCTAAACCGGGCAGAGATAGATATACTGGCCCGAAGGATTTTCGACCGATTACTCTTTCATCTTTTGTGCTTAAGACACTGGAAAGGATAGTTGATAGATACTTAAGGGATGGCCCGCTAGAAAGGTGTGTCATTCATGCAAATCAGTTTGCATACCAAGCTGGAAAATCGACGAATCTGGCCTTACACAATCTGGTCGGTAGGCTGGAGAAGACTCTAGATCAGCGAGAAGTGGCACTCGTGGCCTTCTTGGACATTGAAGGTGCATTTAATTGCACCACAACCGACTCTATCAGACAGGCCTTGGTTAGACACGGGGTTGGATCAATCCTAATAGATTGGGTCCTCTCTACTCTGGAGGGTCGGGTAACAACAGCTATGCTGAATAATGTAAGCTGCAGCGTGGATGTAGCTAGAGGCTGCCCTCAGGGCGGAGTTCTGTCACCCCTACTGCGGTGTATCGTGGTGAACGAACTCCTCGTCAGGCTCAGCAGTATGGGTGTCTATGCGCAAGCCTATGCTGATGACGTAAGCATAGTAGTTAGGGGGCGTTTATGTAGAACAGTCTCGGAAATTATGCAGGGCGTTTTGCGCTCCGTGGAATCGTGGTGTAGGGAAGTCGATCTTTCTGTCAATGCTGAAAAGACCGAGCTGATCCTATTCACTAGGAGAAGAAGGCTTGACGGACTGGTCATGCCGACCTTCTTTGAGACTAGATTAGTTTTGTCCCAGTCAGTGAAATATCTGGGAATTATCCTGGATGGCAAACTGAACTGGAGAGAGCATGTGGAATACAAGGTTAGCAAGGCTCGCAATTCGATGTGGGCTTGTAGACGTGTTGTCGGGGTAATGTGGGGGCTTAAACCCAAAGTGGTATACTGGCTCTACACGACGATAGTACGTCCATCTCTCTTGTACGGCTCCCTGGTCTGGTGGCCTTGCATTAGAACTGAGTCAACTAAGGCCAAACTCAATAAAATTCAGCGTTTGGCCTGTATTAGCATTACAAGCGCAGTGCGAACAACGCCATTGAGTGCAATGGAAGCTCTGTTGGATCTCCCACCGTTGGATCTGGTGATCCGCGGTGAAGCGAGAGTAGTCGCTCATCGACTGTGGAGTCAGGGTCGCTGGGCTTTCTTGAATCCTGTCAAGGGGCATACTGCCACCTTAGTCGAATTAGAAAGGGAGGACCCCGTCCTTCTAAGCAGGGGTGATCGTATTACCCCTAAATATCGCTTCAACCGCAAGTTTATTGTGGAGTATCCAACGAGGGAGGAGTGGGACGCCGGTAGCCGGGGACTTTCCGAAGTGAGCGGGCAGGTCTGGTACACGGACGGCTCGGTCACCGAAGAGGGCTCAGGTGCTGGGGTCTCTGGGCCTAGAACTAGGCTATCTCTGCCTCTCGGTGGATACACCACCATTTTCCAGGCGGAAATCTTTGCGATTCTGGCTTGTGTATCTCACATTTTGGAGGAGGGTGGGCATAGGAGAAGAATAACAATCTTATCGGACAGCCAGGCTGCAATGAAAGCACTAAGTGCCTGTAAGATTACTTCGAATCTTGTATTGCAATGCAGGGAGGCTCTGGATTGCCTCGCAGCGAGGCATCCGGTATCGTTGGGCACGCTGGGATAAGGGGCAGTGAGACGGCGGACGCTCTGGCGAAAACAGGATCAGCCAGCAAGCTCGTTGGTCCTGAACCAGCTCTAGGAGTAACCGCGCATAAAGCTAGGAGGAAAATGGAGACGTGGGTTGCAACACAACACTCTCAGAAATGGAGAAGTATCTCTAGACATCTCCGCCAGGCACGAGAGCTCATTGAAGGGCCCAGTGCTAAGGATGGACGCTTCTTCCTATCTCTGGGTAGAGCCAACCTAAGGTTGCTGGTGGGACTGTTGTCTGGCCATAACACGTTAAGGCGTCACCTGCACGTGATGGGGGTGGCTGAGGATCCATTGTGCGAACGCTGCGGAGTAGAGGAAGAGACCTCGGCGCATGTTTTGTGTCGCTGTGAAGCTCTGAGCTACTATAGGCAGACTATACTGGGGTCCATTACTTTGGACCCTCAGGACGTCAAGGAGCTTGGACTCAAGGCGATTCTCAACTTCGCTAGAAGGGCGAGGCTTGTGATTTAAGTATTGTAGAGGTGCATAAGGGCCCGCTCAAGCGGCCTATGCACTGGCTCCTTATGGTGGCCGGGATGCCTCTAATTTTAAGATTCATTAATTCATTCATGCGTCTTCACGATTCAATTCAAGCAACGCGTGAAACTGCGAGTGACATTGTGCAGAATGCATACTTTCTATACTATCATAAACTTTCGATTGTGATTCAATCACCTAGAAAAAAAATAAAAAACCAGTTTAGTTGAAATAAAATCAATTTTAGTACCTAATTAGTAATTTAATTTATTATTTTCAAGGATTTTCAGCACGGTGTAATTTTCCAAATTGTGCTGGTGCTTTGGACGGAAAGCATATTATATTGCGAAGTCCTTTCCATTCAGGTTCAGAATTTTACAAGTACAAGGGGACATTCAGTATTATACTACTTGCTTTAGTTGATGATCAATACTGTTTTCAATATATAGATGTGTGTGCAAACGGAAGAGCATGTGATGGAGGAGTATTTTCAAAAAGCAGTTTGAAGAGTGCAATAGAGAATAATTTATTGAAACTTCCTCCAAATGCAGTATTTGTAGCCGATGACGCTTTTCCCCTTAAAGAATATTTACTGAACCCTTACTCTTACTTACTTAACACAAAAAGAAAATATTTTTAATTATCGGCTTTCTCGTGCTAGACGTATTGTAGAAAATGCATTTGGATTACTTGTTTCCAAGTTTCGTGTATTTGAGAAACCCATTGCGTTATCTCCTGAAAAAGCTGACATTCTTGTAAAAACCACTTGCGCGTTACACAACTGGTTGCAAACAACATCTGATGGATATATAACCTGAAACTGTGTAGACTATGAAGACTTTGAAAATGGTGTAATAGTAGAAGGTTCGTGGAGACAAGAAGTTCAAAGTGGCTCACTCACAAATTTAAGATCAACTGCAGATAGCCGTAATTATTCTAGAAATGATGCACAGCTCAGAAATAAGTTAGCTGATTGGTTTATAGGTGCTGGCAAATCAAAATGATAAATTAAAATTTAATAAATATAATACAACTTACAATTTCTGATGCTTGTGTTTCTTTTATTTGTACAACTTGTTTCAAAATCCTGTCTGCCACTGAAAACCATGGCACTCTTGGTGTATATAATTCACCTGCACCTGCTCCCGAATGTTGGCTTTTCTTGATTTTTGCTAATTCTAAAGCGTACGCATTTCTTATAGAACGTATTTTTGCTTTTACTTCAGCAATACCAAAGCCTTCAATATCCATTAATTCAGAAAGCTTTTGATAAGCGTTTTCTCGACCGTCTTTATTTTTATAAGAAGTACTATGTACATCCCATAAGCACGAATATGATTCATAGCCTTCAAGAAATTTGATTGTCTGTCCTACTGACCACTTTCTTTTAGCCATATTATACAAAATAGCAGCTCTACGCTCTACCGAAACGAAACTCAAGCTAAATACTGGCAAACCGCCGTGCAAGTACTTGTTTACACACGCCAATTCTGGCAACATTATGTTTTTCCGCGAAGATCTGTTGCCACTGGCGCCAGTGATTTCAGAAGCATACAGAATTTTTTAGTCTATGCGTGCCAAGATTCAACTTGTATGCAAGTTGATGTTCACATGTGCAAATTTAATTTACTGGCGCGTCAGTTCCTATTGGCGCCACTAAAACCATGCATGTGTAAACTCACCATAAGATACTTGGCTACGGGTGATAGTTATCTATCGCTTATGTATCTGTTTCGGATATATGAACCAAGCAATTTCCAATACCGAACAGTTGTATTTTCCTATTTAAAGAAATCAACCGTTAATAAATAAGCCAACTATGTAAAGAAGATGAGATGTTTCCTTCTTGTCCCCCTGAAACCATAACCAACCGCAGACAGTACTGTTTCGGGCTCATTAGCCCTCGTCAATGCGATATACGTCTGCTCGTTTACTACTGGTAAGTCAAGGAGTCAGCTGGAGTAGCCACCAACTATTTTTGCCTCCTGTAATTTATCCTGCTTTAGTCGTGCTTCTTTATATCTTTCCGGTTTGTTATTCCATAATTCATCCGAATTATGGTAATCTTCAATTAAAGATAATGTCTCTTTATTGGTCCACTCCATTTTGTCGCCTGCTACAAGACGCACCGATCCGAACGGGTTTGGATAGCCGGCGACACTGATCAAATCAACACGTGGATTTATGTCGCTGATGGCGCCCTCGAGAGTCAACAACGGGCAAATTGTGGCATACGGCAAGGAGACATTTTTTCTGTCGCTTTGTGTTGCCTCTATGGAAAGACAGTGTGCCGCATGCGTCAATGCCGTATGCTACATGTTGCCCAAAAGTTGCCTCAGTGGAATTGAGCCTTTATACTCACAAAGGATACAACTATTATATAACACGCACCATATAAAAAACATCGTTGTTACTTCACGCACAGCTTGGTTTATTCGATATAATCGGCTTATCCTTATTGAGCAACATCTTAGTTTTGAAAAGTATACATTTTTAAACTTACGAGAATTCCCAAAACTCCTTGTCCTTATCAGGATCCAGCTTAACGTGTTTCCTAGACCAAGTGGTGCCTCTAACGTTGCCCATCCAGACATCGTATCCAGCATCAGCCAATAACAACCCCAATGACTTATCAGGACCCAGATAAACCCAGTCCATGGAGGACATCAAAAAGCCGTGCATCAATAAAACGGGTGGTCTAACCTGGTTGTCACCCTTACTATGGTTTCTCCCATAAGGAATTCTATGCAGAGTTAGAATGTATCCGTCTTCTGTTGTTACTTCATGAGATTCTAGCAGGTATCCTTTCTTTGGGACGAACTTGGTCTGTCAAAAGAGTAGGTGAATTTTGTATGGAGTGTTTATAAAATATGGGATAAAGATACAAGGGGTGAATCTTTGGACAATTATAGGACTATTGTTTGTTGAAGATTTTCAAAAAAACATTCGGAAAGTTACAGCTATAATCCTGATCCCAGTATAACAAAAGTAACAGTACGGCTTTGTATTTTTCCAGATAAGGTGTTTCAAAAGGAGGTCAGGGTCAAATAATTCTAGCTTCGATCAAAAAGTTCAATGGTGACCTTGTATTTGATATTGAACCTTACTTTAAAGGTTATTTCAATGCCAATTTTTGTTTGTTCAAATACCAACAATTGTATGAACGGGCAAACCGTTAACCTAAATACATATTTAAATCAAGGTCACTTCTATTGGTCAAATGATGGCTAGTGAAAATTTGGCAGGATTTTTCATCGATTTTTTTATTCAGCTGGGAATCCTGAACCCCCTCATTGACATTGGTAATGAAAATTTTACATTCTAATATGCTCCCATGGACTGTTATGACCTTGAAGTTGAGGCTGAAGGTCAAACCCATGGTTAATATTGAAATCCTTGTTAGCAGTCACCGAAGGTCTAACCGTGATTTTTTCAGCAACAATCCTGCTAAATTTCGAGGAATTCTCTTTAGCCTCGAATATGTATTAAAATCTAAGATCAAGTTCACATCTAAAGGTCAAATGTATGATGCCAGCGCAAATTTACCAGGATTATTGATGAAAAAAGTCATGGTCAGTACGTTTTAACAAAGATTTCAATACTGACCTTGGGTTTTCTTGCAATTACCTTTATTATACACATTTACTACTGTAAAGACTTTGTAGTAATTGCATATAAACTTGTTTATCATTATTTCATCTTGAGGTCGTAAGAAAGAAATTTGAAAAAAGTTGACCCAAAAAGGTGAATTCAAATTCTTATTAAGAGTTTCTAAAGAAGAATTTTTCCATCAAAAATCCCGTTTTCTTCTAGGACACACATTCGACCTTCATTTGACCTTCAGGAGTGACCTCAAATAATTTTAGTGCATATTCAGAATCAGAATCTTATCGTTCTTTCGATTGCTGGTGTCCAAGAGGAAGATTTTCATTTAAAAAGCAAAGGCTGGTGTCGAAATAACCTTAAACGAGAGACTCAAGATCAAATATGAGGTCACGACTGAACTTTTTTCCAAGATCTGAGTTTGACCATTTTCAAAAATACCTTAACTGGGAAAGTAAAGCGGCGTTCCGTTATTTTTGTTAAAATGTTCAAAATGATTTCTCGTCTTTATGGAATTGCGAACACACGAACTCAATTACCTCAGGGTCGTTTTTTATATTTAACAATTGTCTATTTCTCAGAATGTTCTCATACTCCTCCATGTTCCAAGTTGCTCGATGTAACGCAGTACGAAATAATCCTGGTTTATTTGAAATAGTCATGACGAGAAGATCAGAGGCATCAGTTATTTCAAGCAGCGCGGTAGTCCAGGAAGTACTTGCATCCATTTGTAAAAATATTCTGATTCGGTTTCTTTCATAATTTTATTCAGAAGCGCCCCTTTTATCACTCCCCTTTTATACTAAAAAATTTTTCGAGCAAATTTCTAAACAAATTCCAAAAATTATTCCTTTTGCTGCGGACAGATTTTTTTTCAGCTTTTTGGGTCATTCTGAACGAAAACCTTCTTAGGACTTTGTTGATAGTTCTCGAGATATAAGCGATTGAATGTTAGAAAAAGTACAAAATTTGCCATGATTGACCCCGTAAAGTAAAATGAAAAAACGAAAATTTTAATGCGTCAAGGTTCCCGAATATTCTTCAAGTATCCATTAGCAACATTCCAAAGCATCCTAGGAGAAACTGTCATTTTAAATTATGCTCTGAGATTTTATTAATGGACATTTGAACGATATTTAAGACTGTGGCAACATTAACATTTTCGTTTTTTAATATATTTTTCAGGGTTGACACACTTAGAACCTTTCCAAACATTAAATCGAATATATCCCGAAAACTACCAGCTTCAGAGAACAGTTTTTGAGAACCTTTTTTGTCCATAATGATCCACAAAATTTAAACCTTGTCTAAAGAAACAAAAATTACGATTTTGCAACTTGTTAAAAAATTTCACACAATTTTTGACGCAATTATGCAAATTCATCCATTTTGATCAAGATTATGACAAAAAAACAAATCAAAATTTATTTCCGAGCGGCTGCGAAGATACTTCCTATACTACAGAGAAAGTTTTCGAAAACATAAATATGTACACTTGAAGTTTCTCGATATGCAGCAACTGATAGAACTAACTAGTCGTCGTCAGCTAGAATGCCTCCGGACTCAAATCTCCTTGTCATAGACTGCCAACTGTTAAATATATCAGGATCATTTCTTCGTAGGTCACAGCTAGAGATTTTAGTGTTGTTGCTCATCAGTTTCTAACAGAAGCGCATTGAGATCTTTAATAGATCGAGGAAGATCTGGAGTAGACCGTGCTCCGTGACCGAACTTGAACAGTCTATCTGTTATTGGTTTATACAATTTTATTGGAAAATGTGGCAGATCTAAGGAATGAGTAACAAGAAAAGTTCAGTATTGTAGGGTGAGAAAAATGATTGCTTAGAATTTTACCTAAATGTAGCCATTTTGAACGTTTTTTTTATTAAGAACCTCCACAAGTGATTTTTGCTGATTAGAAATATGATACACATTTTTATTCGCTCTGTCCTAGAATAGACCAAATAATCACCACTTGAACATTTTTCCACATGTTTGGGAAACACTGTCTGCAGCTATAAAAGTAAAAAGTGATTTGTTCCCCTGTTTTAAAGCACCCTATAAAGCATAAAAGTAGTTATCAGCATAAACATCGATATGATAATAAATTGTATTCTGTCGAGTTGCTATAATTAATTCTGGTACTATTACTTCATGTGAAACATATTATTCAATGCACAGTATCAGACTTGATACATGTTTCGCGCTATTAGCCCAGTTAATTAACACTTTTGTTCAAACAAAAATTGTATAATGGATGAAAATTTGAATTTGGGTATTTGGAATATTACTGCCTAACGAAGAAGTTCCGAATCCTGCGGCAGGCAGTGACTGAAATTTTTTTGATAAAGCTTTTTGATTTTTGAGCTGTCATTAAACCATGCGTTAATGCTCGTATGCTTGATTTCCGATTGATCAAAATACCCCAGTCAAATCGTCGTGAAACCGACCATCACCTTGCAAAAAAATAGCGTAGTTGGGTTTTGTTTTAGCCTGAAAGAGGATGACTTACAGAGCCTACCAGCACATTCTCCACACAAATTTGACTTTTGGAGGTTAGGTTACACAAACAAATGCTGTGACCTTCGTTTAACTGTGTTACTATGCGTCGCATCTTAAAAAGTGAAAAAGGAAATTCGTCACCATATACGAGTATACCAGTTGTCTATGATTTTTGTGAAATAAATAAATTATAAATTATAGTTTTTGTTAACTATCTTTTATCGTTTTGTACCATTTCGATTGTGACGATGGATTTTGTATAATATGAAAAAAAAAATCAACTCAGACTTCGTAATGATTATGAGTGCGTCGGAACCTATATTGACACTTTTCACCAATGTTTGAACTATTTCCTTAAGAAATAGGGATCAATAGTTGGGGTATTGCTTAGGTTTGAAAGCGTACTACTGTCTGAACCTGAAACCACATTTTCCACACATATTAACACTTTTTGAGGTGATGTTAGTTAAACAAATGCATCGTTTCGGTTTTTCTCCTTTACCTCCGTCACTGTCAATTGGATCTCAAAGAATTACAAAAGAAATCATTCATCAAGTCTAAAGTTTTTGTGGAGTAAGCTTTTTATTAGAACCATCCAGAAAAAAATTACAGGGTTGTAAAGTAAAATTTATAATGTTTCTTAGCCATTTTTTATTGCTATCTACAATTTGTATTGCGAAGATTGTCTTTTGTCCGAACTATTTACCCGACAGGCCCGTTTTTATCGTTGTTCTAAGAGGCCTAAGAAAAGGACGAATTTTGGATTAAATTGGTTTATTCTCATATACGGTGAACCACCTGTCAAGTTACTATGTGTGGAGAAGAGCGGCTATACCGTTGCTGTCAGAGAACCGGCCGTCATTTGAGAATCATCTAGAATCATGTGGTCCACCCTAAAATATGTTCCACTATATAGATGTCTCATTTAGGTGAGGTGTAACATTTCAGAAATTCAAATAAAGCTCATTGTACACTACTGCTATATTTTTGAGCTATTTACCAAACCCTGCAATAAATGAATATTACACAAGGTGTAGAGAAAAAGATACATTTGACGTGGATGTACTGAAATTGCTCAAACAAATTTTGTTTACGGAATCATGTATTTCAGAGTGAGCAAACTATTTGTATATTTCGAAATTCTCACAGCGAAAAACCCTTGTAGATTTTTATTTTGCATTAGTTGTATCATAACTATATCGAAGAACAAAATTATCTGTTTGGCCATTATTTTCGGGCAAATTTTCTGGGTATTATTTAACGGAATCCTAAAGGGAAGTGAACATAAAACATAAATAATGACAGTATGATAAGCTGAAAATATACTTCCTTTCCGAATTTCACACGATCGGTATGGTTCTGTGATCTATTTATTCATGGAATTTGATTTATTGGCGGTGTAGGCAGGACGTCAGTTATTACGTAAATATCGACTGACGCTGGCGGAATGATCAATATTAATTTGTAAATACTGATGGTACGGACCACAGTATATATTGATCGTGTGATATTCGCCTTTCAGCGGTGACCCTTTTTTTAGTCCACAAATAGTAGTTTCACTAATATTTAAAGGTATTATATAGACTATGGTCATATGGAAATTATACTGTCAAAATATAAGTGACTGCTCCAATAATCTCAATCAACCCCCCATCCCACGCCCCCTCCATCCCTGAGACGAGGCCAGACAAAACTATTTCAAATAACCTTAACAGGGTGTC